CTTGGATTCTGGAAATCCGGTAATCATGTCAACTGAGATATGTTCCCAAGGTCGCGACGGTACAGCGTTGGGATGTAGCGGAGCTGCTTTCCACTGCATATCTGTTTTCATCCTTTGACACGCCTCGCATCCTCACACGTAAGTTTCCACATCCCTTCGCATTTTGGGCCACCAGTAGTCCCTTAAGACTAATTCTTTGGTTTTTTCGATGCCCAGGTGTCCTGCAGAGACATGATCATGGTGATGGGAGATGAGTTCTCCCCGTAGGGTGTGATCATGGGGAATATAGATACGTCCATTGTAGAATAGAAGGTGGTCTTTCTCGATGACCCCCTTCTCATGGTTGAGGCTCGAAGCAATCCCTCGGTCCCACCGTTGGTGATCGCTTGTTGCTCTTTGAATTTTGCCATGAATTTCTTCCTCAGTTGGCATTATCAAGGCACGGAAGAATTCTGGCTTCAAGAGGACAACATTGTCATTGTCCTTCTTGCCTTGGTCGTGGTCAGCCTTCCTATTGGACGCTCCTGGTTTGTGGTTGAGTGTGAAATGGTATTTCGCTAGTTCAGTAACCCACCGCACTTGTCTGCAGTTGAGCTTCTGGGGTTTGCAGAAGTATTGTAGATTGGAGTGATCTGTCCAGATTTCAAAATCTTGACGGGCACCCATGAGATAATGTCACCATTCTTCTAGGGCAATCATTATTGCTAGCAATTCCTTGTCATAAATCTCATAGTTCCGTTCTGTCGCAGAAAGGGATTTCGATAGAAATGCAATCGGGCACCATTTTCCTTCCTGTTTCTGTGACAGGACAGCCCCAATTGCCCCTTCGCTGGAGTCCGCCTCCAAGCGAAACTTGTTGTAGTCATTTGGCATCGCCAAAATGACTCCCATTGCGAATTGGCATTTGAGTTCTTCAAACGCTTCTTGTTGTTCCTTTCCCCATGTCCAAGGGTTCTTCCCTGTGAGTTTCGTCATTGGTTTGACAATTGCACTATAGTGCCAGATAAATCGCTGGTAGAAATTGGTGAATCCTAGGAAGGACTGTAGTTCCTGTTTCTTGGAGGGTGCTGGCCAATCCATAATACCAGCAATTTTTACTGGATCCATCTTAACGGATCATTCACTGATAATGACCCTGAGGTACTCTGTTTCGAGTACCTCGAATTCGCACTTTTCTGCTTTCAAGAACAACTTGTTCTTGCACAGAATCCTCAGGACTTCCCGCACGATTCTTCGGTGTTCAGCCTTGTCCTTGGTGAAGATGAGGATGTCATCCAAATAAATGGTGACCTTTCCTTGAGCAATGAGATCTTTAAAGATATCATTCATCATCCACTGGAATGTGGCCGGCAAATTGGTTAACCCAAAGAACATAACCAGGGGCTCATAGAGCCCTCGGTTAGTGCAGAATGTGGCTTTGAATTCATCCCCTTTCTTAATTCGAACGTTGTTGTACCCCCAACGGATGTCTAACTTAGTGAAATACCTCGCATCCTTTAGCTTATCCATAAGGTCGGAGATAAGCGGTAGAGGATAGCAGTTTTTGATGGTCATTTCATTAAGTTTGCGGTAATCTTGTACTGGCTGCAATTTTCCATCCTTTTTCTTGACAAAGAAAAAGGGAGACACCATTGGGGATTTGAAGGGTCGAATTTGGCCAGTAGCCAGGTTTTCATCAAGGAATCTATCCAATTCCTCCTGTTCCTTTGGGTTCAACGGATATATCTTGCAGTCTAGGCTGGCATTGGCATTGGGGATGAGCTCAATGGCATGGTCCCAGGGCTTGCGAGGGGGGAGTTCATCAAAGTTTTCTTTAGTGAAAACATCGATGAAGTCCCAATAATGTTTGGGAATGATTTCCTCGAATGATTTTATTTTCTTTCCCTCGTTGGCCTTGGCTGCTAAGTCATTGGCTTTATGCCCCACCGCTCATATGTGAAAGGCCTCCTCAAAGTCTATGATGAGGATGGTATCCCCGTCCTTGACTTCAGTTCCCCACTGCTGTTCTGGGTCTTCGTCTGAGAGACGGAATGGTACTTTGCGACAATCACAGCACGCCAAAGTTACCAAGCCCATGTTCCAGTCGATGAGTGGGTTATGCCTTTGTAACCAGTCGTGTCCTAGGAAGATAGGTGTGGTTCCTAGGTCAATGACTGCTAATTCAATACGTTCGCTGTGGTCTCCAATCTTGAGTCAGACTTCAGCAAATTCGGTGATGTCGCCACCTTTGTTGTGGGTACCATCTGCGTTATAGACTGGAGTGGGGTGAGCTGCTTTATGCATGGTAATACCATGATCATGGGTCCACTGTCAGTCGATAGCGCTTCCAGTACAGCCACTGTCGATCAGGGCCTTCGTGGAGTGATGGGCCATAGTATCAAAGGTTTCCAATTGTAGGGTGATCATGATATTTTGCCCTTTCGCTCCGCAGACGTACTGGGGTGGTTTGGTGAGCTGGTCCATGTGCTCCAGCTTCTGGTATTCGTCCAAATAGGACTCTCCGATCTGGTGCTCCAAGTTGGCAGCCAGCAGCTCATCCACCTTGGGTAGTCACCGAGGGTGGACCCACTGTTTGAGAAGCGATACCTTCTCTCCTGGGGTCTTGGCAAATCGCATGGCTTGCCAAGTCCAGGCGGCTCCGAAGGGCTTCAGCCATTTGAAGTCTTGAGAGTACTCCACCGATGCTGGTGGCATCAGGGTCTTCCTCTCGTCGTCACAGTCCATAGGCTGCAAAGGCCCTGCTCCTATGACCATGCGACTGGTCAGTTCCTTTTCACCTCAGTGCAGACACCCACTTGGGTTAGTTGGGACTTCACTGGATTTTGAAGAGTTCTGTAAACTCTTTAAATAACTAGGATTGCTTTCACCGTTAGTGCAATCCTTAAAGGGGAGACGTACCTGAAAGGAGGAGTCTCTCTCCCCTGTTCGACCCGCTTGTTCCTTGTGGGCGATTGAGCTTTTTCGGCCGGTGTCCTCTGTGATAGAGGTGGCCACTCCTGGGTTATCCTTTCTACTTGGTTCCACATGTGGTGCTGGGTTATTTCCAGAGGCTTTACAACAGTCTGCCATTGGGTCTGCTGGGCTCCACCGGTCCTCGGCTTCGTCCCTAGGCTCGCCTGGATTCCCTGACTTCACCATCACTGAAGTGGTCTGTCGTCAGGGAACCTTGATGCATGGAGGAGATGCCAGTTCACCATTGTCTGGATCCACTGTCGCTATATGCGACTTTCCTGGGAGTTGGACTATGTAGTCCTCGTTTTGACTTCCCATATGGCGGACATCACCTGCAGGGAACAATGATGTCACACCCCCAAGGTTCCACCCTTGGTCGCCTGTCGAACTGGTAGACTCCTCTGCATCGTACATGCACCCCAAAGGGGTATTTGCAGTGGCTTGGACACAGCAGGTACCGTCAGCACTAGAACTTGGCTGATGGGGTTCATTGCTAGTTAAAGCAGCGGAAATCCCATGTACGCTGTTAAGGGGCAAGTTTGAGGGTCCCCCTCCTGCTTTTATGCAAGCATCAGGTGGAGGGGACAGGCGCGAGTAGCCCTGTCGATCCTGGTCATGCCTGGACTCTTGATCCATTGATTGAGAACTCGTTCCGGGTTCTTGATCGAACGATCGAGAGTTGCTTCCGGATCCTCGATCGACTGATCGAGATCCATCCCGCACTGGTATGGCCTCGAGCTGCTAGTCAGGTCCAACTCTTTCGTGCCCGACCCTCGGGGTTCATTGCCCGGTGGGCGGTGGTAATCCCCTGATACACTGTTGGCGTCGCTCCTGCTTCCAGGGATGGAGGAGGTTACTGTCAAACCTTTGGAGCTCTGTTATGCTACAGGCCCCCAATATCCCTGCAGCTTGAATGTCCGCTTTTCCGAGGGGTTCACCACCATCACAGCGGTGCCTACTTGTTCTTGGTCCTGTACCGCCAGCAGCAGTACTTCGCTTGCTCGTTTCTGAAGTTGCACACGAGTCACGCTTTCCTGGGAGTTTGGCCTCTGTTTGGCCTTCGTCTTGACCTCTCGTGTCATCAGCGCCCCTGCAAGGCGGCATGTCCTGATGGTTGGGGTTCATTGCCAATTTGGCGGCAGGGGGAATCCCTCATACCCTGTACTTGTTTTGTGATTCCTTCATGGTGTGAGATGAAGGTGGTATATGGTTACAAGTATCTACAGATACAGTGTTAATATAAATATTCATGTCATAGGGCATACCATGATAAACCTCAGCTGACGAAGTAGAATCACAAAGTTCTACGCCGGCGTCTCCTTTATCTCCTCAATCTTTGTCGAGCTAGTGGGGCCTCCCTTGCTAGGACGGCTCGGAGACAGGTTGTAAAAGTCGATGGCCTTTTTCTTTGGGAATTTCAGCCACTTCGACTTTGTCGGGCGGGCATTTATTGTCCCACCCCTGGTGTCCGGTGTGTCCGCACCGAAAACATCGCTTTTCTCTTTTGAGACTATCGATGTCTATAGGTTCACCTTTCACCACTATAGGTGAATCCAATAGCATCCCTTCTGCCCTTCGAGCCACTCAAAGAGCCCCCCGCTGTTCCGGGCTTGGAACCAGCGGTCCTGCTGGGATACTTCCCACCTTGAGTGAGATGAACTCAGTAGTTCTCGTCCATTTGTAGGATCCTGCGCCTCCACTCCCAGTAGGTGGTAGGCCGCATACTGTCTCTGCCCATGATAATTTGTTGTTTTTTTTTTTGACATTGGGCTGGATTGTGAGGGCAATGACTTCCTCCATTTCCTCGTCATTATGGAAGCGCTCTGCTTCCATGGCCAATTTGTTCAAACTTCTCAAAGAATTTGATAGCCATCTGATTTTTAAAGGTTTTCTCCTTTCCTGTATAACCGCAACAAAAGGGATTTATTGTCCATATTCGTTTGACAGAGTTGTCCATAGTGGTACCTACAGATAGGATTTTAATATAAAATTTAGAGCCAGTTTTTACCTGAAAGAAAACTGAGTCCTGGTGTACAAGGGCGAATTGCCTAGTCCTTCGTTGACACCTTCCCCTCATCGTTCATTGTTGAGGGGTCCTTGCTCTGCCCTTTAAGCAGAACGTCATCTGGACCTGTCTGATGGGTATTTATTGTCCCATCTGATATGTCCATTGAATCCACAGCAGAGACATCGCTCCTTCGTGAATTCTTGTTGCTTACCTCCTCCCAATGTGGTTTCTGGGCATTTCTGAAATGGCATCGATATTGGCCTTTGCCTTTTTATCTCATGCCATTTCCATTTATCAGTGGGGCACCTTTGGTCCCGACTGAAGTGCCCTATGTTTCCGCATCGGAAGCACCTTTTCTCTTTCTTGAGACGATCCATGTTCATTCCTTCAAGGCATGGCATGCCTCGGGATTGGGAAAGGGAGGGAACCCTCTTTCCTAGTTCTGGGTCTAGAGACGTGGTCCAAAACACCTCAGATGGTAGGTGTGGTTTGGTCCAGTCTCCCCCAGACTTCTTTGTATCGAAGATGTCTCTAGTGCTGAAGTTCAGCACCAAAGATGTGGATGGTCTCATCACCGTCTCCTTCCTCTGGGACTGTTCGGTATTCCTTTCCGATGAGTATGGGGGTGGAAAGTGAATCCCATGGTTCTTCATAGACGGCCATTCAGGCCATGGGGTTGGGCCATATGACCTCATACGAGGTGTCTGGCCAGGGGGATTCCCAACCATCTCCAGTGGTGGGGAGCCAGGTGTCATTGGTAGGTGAGCCGGAGGACATGGGGGGTAGCTCCCAGGATCCCTCTTCAGGGGTGATCCAGAAATCCACTGGAAAGATGGTCCCCCAATCCAGTATCCCTTTTTCCTCAGCCACTCCTCTTTTTTTCCTGGCCAGGTTGCGGACTTGGCCCACAATTTGGAGAGCGACTTGATGGTACCATTGATATACCTGGCTATAGAGGCCAGCAGATCTCTTTGAGGCAACTTCGGATTCGAGCCAGATGACTTCTGGTCCCCATAGAGAACTAGTGTTCGGACTCCAACTGGAGACATTCCTTTTGGTATAGGAGCCTCTGATGGAGACGTCTGACCAAGTGTGGACTCCCCATGCCTCCCTTGGAGTTCTGGGGGAGGAGTAGATTCCCCTGTCGAACTCTGGGGTGTGGAGCATCAGTTCAGCATCTCCGAATGATTTCGGGGATTCATCTCTTCGATGTCCTCCTGCATCGGTCCTTCTGATTGTGGTTTGGCTACCTTCTTGATCAACTCCCCAGGCAGGGAGAAAAGGATCGCTGATCCTTTCGAAGGTGGTTCTTCACCACTCTGTTCCCTTAGCGGCATTTCCATCATCCTCTTCCAGAGTTCGTGCATTGATGAGTCGGTTGCACTCATCAGTGTAGAACTGCTGGATATTGGGGGTGATGGGGGTATTGGGATCATTCCAGGATCCCTCGATATCTTCCCAGTATCCAGTTGCAAATTGTGGATTTCCGGAGTACTGGGTCTGAAGGTGGTCGCCTCCTGTGATGGGGCGAATGGGAGCTGATCCATCTCGTGGGTAGGATCGATCACTGCGGTACGAGGGGTACCTTACTAGGGATGTAAGGGTTTCCAGGATGTGAGTGATGGTAGCATTTATAGGATTCATACCATCACCGTTGTTGAACAACAGGGAGAGTATAAAATATTCCTGTAGGGGTGAGCAACCCCAAGGATTCATTGTATAGCGACAAGGGTTCCTTATTTAAATGCTCTGGATGCTGCGATCGTTCTGTTACTGAAAACGATGATGGCAGTTACGGTAGAGCCCGTTACTTGCCCACTGAATGGGGGTCGGTGCTCTCAGGGGGTACGAGTTGGCTGGATGATGTGGATAACTGCAACTGCAGCTAATAGTGTCAAGGTACTGAAGGTACTTTCCAGGGATAATGGTGGCGTGATCTGAGGAGGTGAGAGGCGCAAGGCTCATTGTATTACAACGAATGTTTTATGATCTCGAGGTACGGTGGGTGCCATCTAGATGACGGGCTGAAGGTTTCCTTTCTTTGGAAGTATAACAGTGACTGCCTTGAAGCAGTACAGTTACCGTTGACAACGGTAAGGGTAGTAAGGGCAAGCTTCAGCTAATTGTTAGGCACTAACTTGAATCTACTCCAAGGCTGATCTCTATCCTGTCACTTGCGTTTGGTGATTCAGTGTTAGAGAGGCGTTGGTTGATTGCGAGAAGTTAGGCATCACTTTATAGCGAAAGCAAGGAGCTTGTAAGAAGCATGATGCCATCAAGAGAAGTGTGATGGCGCATGCGGGTCGCTGGTCATCTGGGGGGCAGCAGCATGAACTGGGGTGATGGCAGCCGGGTAACCAGGTAAAGAGTGTGCCGGCAGAATATCATGGGTCCAGGAGATAAGATAGGCAGGTCCGGGGTTCTGAGAGATAAGGATAAGATAAGATAAGGAAAATAGGAGTAAAACCATAATACACCCCCAAATCGAGAACAAAGAAACTGGGCCTGGTATGAGGCATTTGTTGATGCCCTCATTGGTGGTGTCATCCCGATGATGGATTTTGTTTCCCACAGGCTGGTCAGATGCCATGGCTGGGTAAGGGTACTATCATTTTCTTGCCATATTTGCACCAAATAAGCAGGGACAGCCGGATTGAAAAATGCTCTACCCGACTTTGTTTTGGGCTAATACGTTATCAACGATCATGCTGGAAGCCTGGAATTTGGTCTCATCCATACTCTACGAGTGCGTCCCCCCATTCCCTCTACTACATGTATTTTATATACTAATATTGTCTGCTGTAGCACTTCCAATCCTCTTTGTTACTCCTCTCCCACCACCCTCAATGAAATCCACAGCATTGGTGAAGTCTGGTCTAAAATATTGCTCAATGTTTACATGGCGCTCATTTCTGAACATTGATGGCCAGTCACTGCCAAGACAGATTCCACCAGCACAGCCGAGGAATGTTGTTTGCCTTAAATGTATGAGATGAGTTCGTACCCAATGCATGTTCCCTGAATGCCCTTGGTATTGTGTAGAGAGATACATGGCCATATATGCACCTATTGGCATCGCTCCAGGAGTAGTATAAGTCTCTGATTCTCTATCTGTGATGCGAGGGAAAGGTTGAGGGTGGGTGTGGTGCCTGAGCCATACAGAGCCGAGTTTGTGGCATGGGGTGCCTCCACATGGGGAGCATATGATGTTGTATGTGCCGCCATTGCTTGTGTGCCATCAGGGAGAGGAGAAATGAGCATTATGATGTAGGCCCTTGTTCTTGCTTGTTCATGTTGTCGTCCCTGGTAGATTTACCTTTGTGCAAAAAATTCGTTTGGGTCCTGTTTTAAAAAAATACAATTACCTGGCATAACCTAATAGTGGAACTCGGAGAGAGGTAATGTGTTTAATGAATGTGACATGGCTTCACAGGGCCCGACTAAACTGTGCTTCTATTACTGAATGACTATCCAGATGGGAGTGACAAGAATAGGACTCAGTTTTGCCACCGTATGAGCTGGCCCTCACCTGCTAGTGGATCAATGCTGGGAAGAAGTACATCAATGTTCCTGAGCCTGTTACACAGGAGCATGCATGACTGCTTCAGATTCCTGTAGTTTACCACTCAGTCCTGCCTTCAAATGACCTCACTGTCACTCAATTCTTGCAACTGCCAGTGTCCTTGCCAAGCTTTATTTAGCCAAAAGTGAGTCAAATCTCGTCAAAGAAAGGACCATCGCTAACCATAATAAACAGTCCAGACCATATACTCAAAGAGTGCTGGCAAAGGTGCCAATCACTCCTGGGTCTCCAGTGTAGAGAGCATCGGAGCGATTTCATATCTGGTTGCGCAAATATATGAGCACCTAAAACGAAGGACTTTCCAGTGAGTCCACCACCAGTTTGCTCCTATGGGCTTGTCTTGGATTTCACATCTGCCATTGAATTCCTTCTTGACACTTGTGCCTAGTGATTCCATAAAGATTTCGGGTGATCATGCCAATATCTTGTTGACAACAATGAATATTTTCGAGGACTTGATTACAGAGAAGGCTGGGATTGTAAAGGCTGTAATCAGCTTGAATACGGTGTGGAGAAAGGGACAGGCACATTACAATGTGCTAGCAATGGAGGAGATTGATGACATCGACCATTAGCTGATGTATTTAGACATCTATGCGATTTTGGCAATTTCTTGAAGGTCGAAATGAAAGTTCAGACAAAATTTCAGGGATGAACCCTTTCAGTGAAAGTTCAGATGAATTTTGGACATCAGCTGCGACAAAAAGTTCGGACAAAAATTTGAAACTGGCAAATTTGGCATACCAACCTCTATAGGGATAATTGGGGGTCCTGGTTTTCTGGGCATGAAAGTCATGTGCCTGTGTAATGGTAAAGAATTAGCTAATAAATACTAGTGGTTGTCAGTTGACAACACCAATACCTTGCTTTTGTGGTTGTCATCTAAGTATTCCCATTTTTCAGTGTTTCTTTGAAATGTATAATCCCGATCCAAGCCTTCCATTATTAAGGTACATTAAGCCTTGAGCTTGAGTACCTAAGTGCGGGACTTCTTAATCTCACCTTTCTCAAACCCCCCTGCCTTGTCCTGCCTTTCTCTTGTTCTTGGTTGATTGTACAACAGTGCGATCTCGTTTCCAAAAGGTCATTGGGTGCTTTCTTGAATCTCGTTCCATACAGTGTCCTGGAGGTCTGGATGGCATTTAGATATGTAGTAGTACAGGTATGGCCACTGGGTCACTATGATGAGATTGATTGCAAACTGTGGGTGATGTCAAGTTGCAGTTGAGGGAAAGCTGAAAGAAAGTGCCTCTGCCTTACATTGTGACGTTCAAATATCTGATTGATTTGTTCCATGTCGAGTTCCTGTGCGATGTCTTTCCCGTCGTGGAAAGACATAGCATGGCTGCTCAGAAGGAAAAAGGAAATATTAGCATCACATGATTGCCACCTCTTAGTCATCACATCATTATGCACAGCAGGAGGAGGAGGAGTTTTTATTCTGATCACTGTCCCTAAGAAGAAAACTAACCAGAATCCGTACTACATGTGCATTACCTACCCAATCCACTATGCTATGGTACCAAATGAGTGTTGGGCCTCACTGATACAGTCATGTCCCTGCAAGGTACGGCCTCTCAGCACCAGCATCAATGCCATGAAATTTGCTATAGATATATACTACAGTTATGCCACTACCCCTGGGTGTATATACATTGGTTTGTCTTCTACCTGCTTGAGTACTTCATACACATAGCAACCCAGCCTCAGCAGCAAGTCAGCATAGGTCAATAGTGTATGTAGCAGTTCCTTCGGGCAGGTTGCTCTATGATGGAGAGCCAGGTATGCCTTCCATATATCAGCAAGAAAATCATCTCGCAATCCCTGGAGTGTTGTGTCCAAACAGATGAAGAGAACATGCAACTCATCTTCAACATCATCGTGACAACAATGGCAGATCTGAAAAGCCCTCCGCACTGTCACCGACGTCCCATTCATCCTCAGCCACCTTCCGTGCTCGACCCCCAAGGCATGGTTGGATGTCAGTAGCCTTGTCAATGCTATATGATGCACTGGAATCCATAGGAGGAGGTATGACTGAAACACAAGAGGATCCATTGTCACTCTGCCCGATCTCATTCTCTCTACTCAGCCTTGAACCAGTTCCAGATGGGTGCTCGCAAACATGTCATCTGTGATGCATTTGTTGGCAAGCAGTGGTAGGTGATGCAAGAGGTGCTGAACCCCTTCTGAAGATGTCAGCATATTCAAACCCGTATCTGCAGATGGGAATCCAATGCTGCGGAGTACAATAGCCAGGTCTCCTAGCCAACATTGGCTGCCCCATCGCCACAGCTCTATGTTTTCTTGAAGGCACCAATGAGGGAACCGGTGTTCCTCCATTGTCACAAGGCAAGACAGGAACTGAAGTGCAAACCTAGCCCTGCGAAATGGGATTGGCAGAGTACCTGTTTCCATGAACAATGGTGTTCAGATGGAGCGCTTTTGTACCTGCAATAAGCGACGCAAAAATTTGACCTGTACATCCCTCAGCAATGCAATGTTGCCTGGAGACACACCCAGCACAACCTCCACACCATGAGTAAGATGTGGGTCTACCCTGCTATTGTACAAGATCAGCCCTTCACACAGGGGAAGATCACCAAGATAGTTCATGAGTGTGAAAGTGACATTTGTTACTTTCAAGGTGACTTTTGCCTTGTGTTCAAAGTGGTTGGAGAAGATGTTGGCCTGGCAGGAGGTGACATGAACTCCAAGGTATTTATGTTCATGCGTCCATTCAAGAGGCTGGCCATGGAGGGTAAACACTGGCAAGAGATCTAATAGTTTCCAAAAGCCCATAACCTGCACTCAGCATCAGAACATGGTATGCTAAGTGTTATACAAAGAACCTGGCGAACCTTGGTCTTTGAGATGTTCACAGTCAAACCTTTTCATGTGGTCCAATGAGCAAAGGTGTTCAGATGAGCTTGTAGCCCAATCAAACCTGAGAAGATTGCACCATCATCAGCATGCTCAATATTCATCACTGCATGACCATCAATCATCATGTCTTCTGGGTGGGGCATGAATTCCAAATCCAAGGAGAAGAAATTCCAGAAACCAGGTGAACCGGAGTCTCCTGCAAGGATGCCCATTGTTGATGTGAAACTTGAGGACGTCTCTTTCCCCACATGTACAACATAACTCATGCCGCTATACAGAAGATGCAGCCAATCAAAGAGAGGGTCAGCGATGCCTTTCTTATACATCATGGATCACAGAGAAGCATGATCTGTTGATGGAAAGGCATTTGTGAGATCAGGAAATGCGACATACAGTGTTTGACCTTCTGCCAGTGCCTTGTCAATAGCCATGCGCAAGATGAAAGGATTGTTCATTGCATGATAACCTCTACGAAAGCCGTTCTGAGACTCAGGCAGGATGTGATTATCTTCTATCCAGAGATGGACATGCCTATCAAGCAGAAGCGTGAACATCTTCAAGAGACATGATTCCAACCCAATCAGGTGATAGTTTGCTGGGTTGGATCCCTCCTTCCCTGGCTTCAGTATCCCTATCAAGACAGTGACCAGCCACACTCTTGGAGCACCTCTTGTCTCAAGGCAGCAGTTGAAGAACATGAGAAGGAGGTTGTTCGGGAGGGCCATAAATAAGTCATATGATGTTCTGTCCCATCCCATCCCACTGGGACTATGGGACCGAATGTTGTTCTTAATATCTATCACTTCCTCCAAGACAAACAAGCAGGAGAAATACTGTGCTTGTGAGTGGTTGACTGTTATGCCTGGTATTGAATCAGCCTCCAGAGCAGCCTGCAGTAGTGCATCCTCATCAAAGTCATCTGGTATGACCTCCGGCACATTCACCCATTTGGCAAACTCTGCCGCCATCTCCTGGACTGAGATCAAAGGACATCGAGGTTTGGGATCTATTATGTCCCTTATCGACCCCCAGAAATCTCCATCCAACTTCTTGGCTGTCTGTACAAACTCCTCAAGGAGATCCCAGCATTGGCGATGAGCTGAATCTCAGCTCCCATGTGAATCCCATGGTAAAAACAATGGAGGCATCTCTTGCATGACCTCAACATCAGCTTTAGGAATCGCAACTGGGGGAAGGAGTGTGGAGACCTTGGGAGTGGGTTTGTTTATACTGACTGTCGATGCAGATGCTGGAAAGGACAATGCAGTCATAATGGCAGGCAACGTGAAAGGGGATGTCTTACTGGCACCTTCCCTTGCCAGAGCATCCGCTGCATTGTTGCCCACATTCTGAGAGTAGCCTTTCACTCAACAGAACTCAATACCTGCTGTGCACTTCAAAATCAGGTCTACCCCATACTGTATCATGTCAGCATTGGCACACTTCCACCCCATCATGATCCTCCGTTGAACCCAGTGACAGTAGGTATGTATCACATTTTCACTGTTGGTATACACCCTCAAAGGAAGATCAGGTGGGCACTGAAGGAGAGCGATAATGAACATGACATGTTCTGCCTGGTTATTGGTTTGTGGACCTGGTACTCACTCTGCCTGATTGTGAGAGGAATTTATGCCCCAGAAAACTCCTGCCCCAGCATGGGCCCCATCTTGGCCATTCCCAACACAAGATCCATCCACCCAGACCACCTTTTGATCACCCATAGATGTCACATCACCGTATATCTGCCTCAGTGCCTCCTGGGGACTCATGACTGAGCTCACTAGTCCATCATACAGCTCGTCAAGCTCACAAGAAAGCATTGGCATCTCTGTAACAAACGGCAAAGGATCTCTTGGTAGACCCCTGAAAGCACTGACAGTGTTTCACCTCCATGTGGGTTGTAATCGTTGAGTAGGAGAGGTATCTGTGGCCTTGGAACCACCTGATGAATCCACGATGACTGATAGATATGTGTGATCTGAGCGACATGGTCTGTCAATGACACAGAAATGGTGTAGTCGTGGGAGAAGAGACTCACTCATACAGGCGTAATCAACCACAGCCTCGCCATTATGCTGGAAAGAGGACCAGAGTCCTGGGACATCATCATCAAACTATGTTCTGTTCAGAATCACCAGCCGATACTCTTCACACAGATCATGGAACCATTTTCCACGCACGTCCACCATATTATCCATCGACACATGGGGAATGCCCTCACAGGAGGAAAGTGAACCCATCCGGCAGTTCTCATCTCACAACAGCAGTATCGGTTTATCTAGCAAACCATGGACAGCCAAAACGCCCTCAAGAATGTCACCAGAGTCTTCCTCCATTGCATCACTCCACTTTGAGTTCTGAGGAGTCAGGTATGACAGTATTATTGTGAGATCATTGAGATCCAACATCAGGCATTCTGAAGATGAGAGCTCTTTGCATAGCACCACCTCCAGGCCAGAATGGTACATAACCCCAAGACCTCCACTTGCCCTTCTCATGCCTGATATCTCAGGGTCTGGGCATGGCAGACTGATGAAAGAGAAGCTGTCAGGTATCGGGAGAGTTAAATGCTGCTCCAGGAGAAGCCATGTCTCCTGGAGCAAGATGATATCAAAATCATGTAGTAGCTTAAGATCAGACAGGCTGTGCAACATCAAGTCCAGTTCCCCATGTATATTCCAAGCCAAAATAGACAGGTTACATGTAACTACAGAGTCTCCATTTTGAATCGCACCAGTACGATGAGGTGCCAATGACAGGCTTTTAACGAACTCGGAGGAGAGTGGAGGAGAGTCTGAAAGGGAATGGTCTGAGGGCACAGCCCTCTCTAGTTTCCCTGGATGGGATGGGAGAGGATGTTGAGCATGTTGTTGAGACCACTGTCAGGGTTCTGGTTTGATGGTGTATAAGCTGCAAAGCCTGCACTCGCACCCAGTGCCGCTACTGAGTCATGGTTATGGAGTAGGTGAACAAAGGCTGTCGCTGTTGACTGGGAACAGAACTGCAAGAGGGCAGAACTGGCAACTGTTGTTGGCCTCGCATGAGTTATTGCACCAACCCCAACACCTGGAATTGCTGCAGCCACACATCGAGATGTCTCAATCAGGTCCTGATCTCCACATGTGACAGTGAACACAACTGTCTGGCTCTGGGCATCTGTAAGAGGAGGGCAAAGGACAGGACTCGAAGCTGCTGTCAAAACTGGTGAGTCCTGCACGATGATAGGAGCGACATGGGTGCCAGTACCTCTTCCATGATTTCCCTGACATGTACCATTTCCATGGAGACATTTGGGTGCAGGCAATGAGTTTGAGGGATGCTGGGTATGGATCAGGGGATTATTCCCTGCAACAAGCACCAGCACCAGTGAGGGAGAAGGGTTGGATAGTGCAGACATCTGGGCTTGCATCCCATTGATTGAATCGTGAACGTCCGCCAAGCGAATTTTGACATCCTGAATTCCAGTGCGCATCGACTGGATTGCTGTCAAGTGGCTCTGTAGAGTCAGGGTGTGCGAGTTGATTGCACCTGCAGTAGTCTGGACAGCTCCCATGGTGCGATTGACAGCATCGGTAAGAGGTGCCATGATTTTGGTCATTGCACGGGCTACATCAGATGCTTGCTGAGCCATGGCACCAACATCAGATAGACCTCGTAACACAAACTCATGGGATTCTGCATGCTCGGCATGCTGGTCCTTAACGCGATCCCTGATCTCAACCACTGCCCCCACCAGGCTCCTAGCGATGTACAGGGCCTGGCTTGGCCTGGCTTTTAGGGCTTGGGCTTGGCTTAAGGAAGGCCTGGCTTTCGAAATCATAAGCCTGAGCCCTGAGCCCAAGCCCTACCGGGCTCAGGCTTGGCTTGGGCTCAGGCCAGGGCTTGGGTAGTAGGAAGTGATAATCATGTTTTCAGTTCAAATAATAAAATTTTCATTGTCAAGTGCATTATTGACTATAGTCTTGTCTTTCAGGGAATAGTTTACATCGTAAATCTGCTGCTTTACTTACTATATTGACTTCCTTTATTATCTCTTCTTTGAGAATAGCAGCTTTCCCAGAAGCCTCAGGGATTATCAAGCACTAGTCACAGAAATATTGATTGTCATTTTGCAACTGCATATTTCTGAGGGACTATAGAGCTTTGACAAAATTACCATGTAGTCATTTATGAAGCCTAGTTATAGTGCTACAACATCCTCAAAAGCCCAGGCCTAAGCCTTGGGCTCGGGCTTTCTGAATCCAAAGCCTGAGCCCAAGCCCTCTTCAAGCCTGACACCAGGGCCTGGCTTTGGAGGGCTTGGCCTGGCCTGGCTTGGCCTGGCTTTCGGGCTTGAGCCAGGCCCTGTACATCACTACAGACTCCCTTCATTCGCTGCCATTCGCTCCTGATGTGCTGCGACAGACTCTCCCTTGGTAGGCAGATGCAACCTGAGAGATTCGTAATTACTCTGATCAGAACCCTTGGGATCCCATGTCTTTCCCTTCTCAGCCAAGTCCTTCTCCCTCACTCTAGCTGCCAGGTGATCCTTCCAAACCTGCAAGCCTTGACTCTTTGGTAGACCACGAGTCGAAGTGGAGGGTGGTCCCTGGTCCAGGACCAGGTTAGGCAGAGACGGGGCCGGTGGAGATGGATCCAAGTTGACTGTTGAGGGAGATTGTACAGGCAAGAGTGTAGATGGGGACAGTGTGGGAAGGACCTGACTAATCAATGTCATGTCGTCTATCAAAAGGGGAGTGACGATGGGGAGAGTCACTCTGACGTCCACATCCACAGTTGTGATGGACAATTTGGTTGCTGCCGCCTCTCTGGAGATCAGCTCAGCATCAGGGAGGGCTCAACAGTGATGTTCTCAAGCTCAAAGTTAGGGACAGGTCCGAGGGCAGGCAGGCCCATCAACGTGGGATCTGAATCCATGGTAGGTGGGGTCCAGTCTTGCAAGCAAGGTAAAAGTCGTAAAATATCTAAATTAGGAAGACCATGTGGTGCATACGTGGTGGACAAGGCGGCATGCCTGCTGGCAGGGAAAAGTCATTTAGCTCTATGACTGGCCCCAGTAACTATCTTTCGGATGATTTCTTCTCCTAAATGACCAATGCACCTGCCAGTGGAACATCTCTTCGGACTCACCGGAGTCGGCCTAAAGTTTGTCCAAGTCATGCCGCCGCTTTGAGATAAAGGGAAGCAAATGGAATATGACTAGGAAATCTCTTCTACGCTTTACTTTCGAATGACTCAATACTCATCGTGTTACTCATCATGTTATCTCTTCAAAGGATTGACACTGGAGTGATAGGTCCTGAAAATTAAAATAAGCTTGAGGCACCCCGGTCTTTAGCACCCCTCTCACATCGGTAGTCATACGGATCGGTACGACAGAATGACTTTGCAGATTGTCAAAACCAGTGATGATATACGTATACGGATTTCGCGGATTCTGGTATAAAAGAGACCAATGCAATACGAGTCTACGACGCACTTCCTATTATCAAGATAGACATTAACAAGAATGCAGGGAAAGCACTGCGAGGTGACGTATAGTGAAAAATACCGAATGGTATTGGAAAAGGAAACAGAAAAGCAAGATGTAGTACTTCAATGAAATTTTTAGAGAGAATACTTGTGCTAGTGCGAGACGACAGGATCGAAAAGAGTAGTGCAGGTACATCAAGATTCTTGTACTCTTGTACCCAATGTCACGTCCATTCCTTGCACCCTGTACACATCAAGAGCAGAAAGAATCGTAATACGCTCCACTTCATCTTCGTCTGGCTCATCCTCCGTTTCAAGGAACCGGCATAGATTGACCTCGTCCAAGCGCTGAACAGGAGGCGATTGGGCATGGGCAAGTGTCCATCGGGACTCCACCATATCCACAAATGTCTGCATATTGAATGTCATTGGCCCACTTATATGCAAAGTATGCAGACGTGGAACCAAAGGCGTGGTTCCGTCAACCCTCAGCGTCAGCTGGAGAAGTATCTCGTCAGTAATTGCGCCTTCGTCTACGTCTGTGAGGCGAACATCCTCAAGGGTCAGACATGTGCGAAGTATTTGTAAAAGATCCTCCTCCAGGGTGCATCCATGGTCGAAGTGAAGGGTGGTGATATGTGGCGATCTCGAGCGTTCCAGGAGACCGCAGACAGCTGTGAAAGTTTCATCACTCTCACGCGGACGGTCATTGGGGAAACGTGCTATCTGAAGCTTCTCGAGGGCAGGAAGTTTGAGCCTGTCAGCAACTTGTTTCACAGGCAGGTCATTCCTGAAATGCCATGATGAAATGGTCAATATGCGAAGGCTGGAGCAGGATATAGGAAATTTTTTCCGGCCCACTCCCCCTCCGAACTTTCAGCTTCAAGGACCAGGTGGCATTCTTCAATATGCGTGAGCTTTCGCATATCATGCAAAACGGGTTGTGAGGCATGCAGCAAGTCTCCATATTCACTCCTAAAATGGGTAATCTGCATCCACGGAAGGCGAAAACAATGTGACACACGCTGGACCTCGACAATATGAAGCCGACGAAGTACCGGGCAGAGAAATAGATCTAAGTTCTCGTACCCATCCATAACTTGTATGTCCGTAGGAAACAGACACACGCTTTTCAACGACGGCAGCGAGAGATGCAATAATGGCATGGCTGAAAATATCTTGGACGTGAGATAGAGGTGAAGGCACTCCACATGGGTGGAAAACGAGTATAGGATCGCGGTCAGCGCGGGGGGGAGCTTGGTAAAAGTTGAATCATCATCGTCATTCCATACTGACAATGCTAAGGGATAGTTCTTTGAACGATCCAGCTGCCTGCCAAGCCATCGAATGTATGCGTTACCATGGGAATGATCGCCGAAGTTATCGTCATTGATAACGATGTTTATGGATGACCATAATTCTGGAAATGACAATGCCACCGTTTTCCACTCCCTACATACTTTCTCAATTTCCCAGAGGGTATTCTCGCCAGGATGGAAGTGCCATTGGTGGTCATCCACGTTATAAGACCGTGATACGGGGAAGTCAATCGTCGAGTGAAAGATACGAACAAGGATCTCTGCGGGGAGGCGCCTAACAGGATTGAGGATTTTTTCCCTTTCAATGATTGCGTCAGATATGGACTGTCTCTCTTGACATAGAGCATCCACTTTCTGCTCTACAAGAGAAATACGACCTCTCATCTCGGCGATGAATTGCACCAGACGCGATGCTTCCGTGTCGATATCCCGTATATCTGCTTTGTATGAGGCTATCATTGCCTGGAGCGTAATCACCTCTCCTTCTAAAGGCTGGTCATTCGAACCAGCAAGACGCGCCAAATTCGGGTCTTTGAGAATATAGCGATCAGGAGAAAAATCATAGGATGTTATGTGATGATTTGGGCATGTACACCCGGTGCAAGGAGACCAGTTCAGGGGAATACCAGCCATGATGGTTTTGCCCTTTTTAGTCTGTTTAACACTTGCAATCAGAAGAGATGGTGTAAGAAGACCTGAGGAAGGTTATCTGAGTTAGTAAACATGACAGTACGAAGTCCTTTCGTTTCTTACAGTCACTTTGTTGAATCTACGACGACAAATGAATAGCTCCTAGTTCCACGAACTGAAAGAAGGGAGCTCACTTGGAGGAGGAATTGATTGCGAACGCTGAATGATAAACATTGCAAAGTTTTTCTGGAGCGGCCTTGTGTTTCATCACATGATAACCACGTGAAAGATATTTGAAATTTGCTGTTGACCGCGTTGTTGCTACTTATGTAACTGTATCTAGTCCGAAAAAAGTACAATATCTGGAAAGTTTCTGATGCTCAGAGACTAATCCTGAAAAACAGCAGTATACCATATGTAGCTATGCGCCCAGTCCCGACACAGTCCCACCAGTTTCGTAATCAGTTTCTGGCGGTTAGAAACGCTCCGGAAAATTTACACCTTTCGGACTGTATTGCAACAGTCTTTATTTCTTACACTTATCAGCTGCGCAATGATCGTTAATCGAGGCCCATCGAAGCAATTAAATACGGCAATACATGTCGAATAGAGGCGGTAACAGCTGGAGCAGTTAGGTCTCAATCGAAGGTTGCAGTTGCTAGCAGTTTTGTCCGGTGTGAACATCAGGACCATTTCCAACAGTCACGAAGACCGTGCACGACAACCGTGTATGCCAGTGTATACCGATTTTCCCTAATAAAAAAGACCTTGCAGTACAACAGACTTGCTATAATTACATTGACGTCAACGAGAATGCAGATAGAGCAATGCGGGATGAATGAAAGAACGTCCTGAACCTAAATAGTATGCGAAAGTATGATTGATTGAAAGTAGCCGACTTTAACGCGTCGAAGTAGGTAGTGGCAGCGAAGACGCCGATAATCGTGTACGGGGAGGGGAAGCAGGCACGTCTGCCCAAGCAGAAGAACTCTCGTCCCATGGCGGCGACGGTGTACGCTGCCGCAATGGTTCTTCCGCTGCTTCCTCCTTGTCCGGGTATCGGATTGTTCTCTCCTCTGCCCATTGCGAAGGCGAAGGCGATGGAATCGTACTCCGGTGCTGAGGCGTAGGGTTCTCTTGCTTCTGCTCGTCTGCTTCCTCTGCTGCAGGAGGGGCTGTCTCGGCTGCCAAGACCGGTGAGAACGCCTCTCTGTCCACGGATGGCAAAGAAGATGATGATGCAGAAGCTGGCCGCGACTTGACACCAACTTCTGAAGAAGATCGCGAACGAATCTCTGACAATGTGAGGTTCTCCACTGACGGATCTGGCGTTCCCAAAGTAGATGATGAACCCCGCAAATGGACATTCTCTCCTTCCACGACCCTCAAGGCGCTCTTGAGTGCCTCCTTCTCTTGCCTGGCCTCCCTCAGTTCTTCCTCTGTCTCAGCACGCTTGATTCTTTCCGTCGCAACCATCTTGTTCGCCTGCCGTCATGATAATCAGCGATGGATGAAGCAGATCAAGGAGAGAACTCACTTCTTCGAACAGCGCCTGAGACAATGATTCAAGCTCTGCCTCCAAAGCCGCCTTCTCGCCAATGACGATCTTATGCGCCGCTCGCTCGTTCTCTAGCGACGCCGCTAGCTCTTCCAATTCCTTGTCCTTGCTAGCATTCACACTCGCCATAACAGGCAGACTGGGCATAGACGGCGACGTGAGCGTGGGATTAGGCGATGATGGGCCATTCCCAAGATTCGGCGTCCCAGGTCGACTGGACGTACGCGACCCGTTATTGGAGGAGGTGAACCGAAACTTGTGGAAGAACCTGCTGTCCTGCTGTGGTGGTGGCGGTGGTGGGCCTGCTAAGGACGGTAACGAAGGCGAGCTCGTCACCGATTTCATCGCCACGCCGTTCTCAGGCACGATGTCAATACTCTGGCTCTTCTGCCGGTGGTCCGAACTGCTCGACCGTCTCCATCCAATGTCGTTCGCATGTCCTTGCTTCAAGGCCTCCTCGAGCATCTCGTTGTTTGCAATGACGAGCTTCAGATTTGATTTGGTGACGTTCAACTGGACCTCAAGGTCCGCCTGGGTCTTGTAGGCTTCGCTGAGGAGTGATGACTGCAGTACTGTGGGTCAGTGTTGAGCTCATCGTCAACATCCAGGGCACTCGCCAGCTCAGTAACCCGACTAATAACCATGTTCAATGCCAACCGTAAATCGTCCTCCTGCCCGTTCGCATGCACGCGTCGAGCATCATGTAGCTCTTCTTCAATGGCAAGAAATAAAGGATCCGATGAGGATTTCTGCTGTGTTGCGTTGAGGCCATCCGAACGCCAGCTGGTACCATTGGGCCCGCTATTCTTGAGTGTCGAAGGGAAATGGAGCATCCAGAACGCGGCGGCCGTCGTGGACAATGACAATAGGGAGTGGAGGAAAAGCGTTATTGTGACTGTGACCAGACGTTACCAATGTGACGCGAGCGGTAAGTCGGACCGACATCCGGCAACTTCAACACAACGCGCATGATCAAGAGCCTGAGCAACGACGAGCTAATCCTGAAGGCCAGATTTATCAGTGGATAATTATATAGTAGAGGAATTTGCGATGCTAAATTCAACTTCTGATTTCATGTAACTGCCTGCCTATTTTTTCGAATTCGTACCTTATCTCTTCCAGAAGATTCAGGCCCGGATCCCATTCTTATCACCAGAGCCATGCTTCTGCAGTTGCCCGAGGCAAACCGTACAATACGCAGGTCAGTAACATACATTTTCTCGAAGTTTTTGCTGAACCTTGTTCGCAGGAATGCCAGCATCGTCTGGTGATCACGACGACAACACGCGCATCGCCTCAGTTCACACCGATAAGAGACATCGGTAGAGATTGCGTTCGAAAGGAAAATGTCCATCGGACCTATCTCCCAAAAATAGACACGTTTCCGGGGAACGGGTCCTTGAATCTCGATTTATAGTCATTGGTCTTTGATCTGGTTGGACTCTTTCCTACATGGCATCTGTCCCCCATATACATGACGAGCTTGCCGCTAATCCCGAACGTGTCATCGTAGACACTAAATATGGCAGCGTTACCGGCGGTCGAGCGAAGAATGGAACAGCCGCGTTCTTAGGTGAAGATCGACGTGCATCTCATAATGATCTACAATTTAACCGTATGTACTTTCAGAGGTACCCTATGCACTACCACCTGGTCGGTTCATGGATCCTGAACCACTTCCTCTGGATTACAAGTACGAGAGGAAAGAATATATCACTGAGGATACCTGTGAGTGTTTCCCTGAATACGCATCCCCAATATAGTCCTAACCTTCCTGCCAAAGGGGCATTCCAGCCAAGACGAGACGGCCAAGCAGCCGCTGGTAGTTACCATGTCGATCAAGTGGGCTACGGAAAACCGTCCGAAAATCCGTATGTCACTTTGTTCTCATTGATCGCATCAATGAGCTGATAGTCTTCTTTAGTCTCTTCGTCAACATCTTCGTTCCACCGTCTTTCCCTTCTCAGAAGGGATTCCCCGTCAAGGTATATCTGCATGGAGGGTAAGAGCCCAATTTACAATATTTCGCTAATCCGCTGATCTGGCGAGACAGGTTCCTGCAATATAGCTCACCCCATCGGATAACCTATCAAAACCAGTTCGTGGCCGCGGACCGTTCGGAAGTATGGGTGAACGTCGGATATCGCCTCTCCGCTTTCGGTTTCCTCGCATGCGATGAGCCCAAGGTGAACGGAAATTTTGGTTCCAAGGACCAGTGGGTTGCGCTCCAGTGGGTCAAGGAAAATATCAGCGCTTTTGGAGGTATGAGTAGCAGAACTCTGAGAATGACTCTGCCGCTCATCTATGAACAGGAAATCCGGATGATGTCCAGCTGATCGGGCTATCGGGAGGTACGAAATTGATTGCTGTAGGGGCCCATTCATCTAACAAGCCTGTTTCAAGGCGCCCACGCTGTACACCAGAATCTACATCATGTATCTCATCTTCCTGAAAGTGTCAAGTCCCCATTTCACTCAGCCCATCTAATGTCAAATGCCATGGTGTAAGCACCTCATCCGTACAAACCACTACATCCACCTCATACCGATCTTTTAACAGTCTAACCCCAAAGACACGAACAGAAATGCGTCCACAATTCCAAGCCTTCTGCCGCGCCCTACACCTCGACCCCACCTCCTCAACCATCCTCGACGACCGCGCAGTCCCTGCCGAGACCATCTGCCGCACCATCGAAAGCAAAGCCGCCGGTCCAAACAACAGCACCTTCCGCGGATGCATCGACGACGACTGGCTACCCTCAACAACCGATACCATGACATGGCAGCGCTCCGGCGCCTTCGCCCAGGCCCTTAAGCAAAAAGGCGTCCGGAGCGTCAACGTCGGAGACCTAACAGACGAATGGTACTTCTACTCTACCTCGTCTGTCATCGAGAAACCTGCAGATATCGTTCCCAACCTGGAGAGGTATTACCAGGATGATATCGCAGAGAAGATTATGGGGCAGTATGAGGCTTTGGGTGATGATGCTACCCCCGAGGAGTGCGCGAGGATGTTTGGAAGGATGACTTCGGATTATCAGGTTCATCTGCCGGTGAGGCTCCTCGCCAGGGATTTGCACAATGCGGGGTTTCCTGTGCTGAGGTATGAGATTCGATGGACACCAGAGCAGAATAGGACGGACGGTGAGTGATGCAGTGCAATTGGTTTGGAATTTACTGATTATTGGTTGGAAGGATATGTTACTCATGGCACGGACACGTATCTGTGGCATTTGCGTCTCCCGTCACTGGAGCCTTCTCAAGCAGAGATTGCCAGAGCATGGATAAGACGCGTCAATGAAGAGAGGATCGCGCTTGAACGTGCAGGGAAACCATCGAGAGCCAACAACGAGGTTCTCGCTCTGTGTGAAGACAAGTCCATCAAATGGGTGGAGGACGACAAGTGGGCTGAGAAGATGAGGCTTCTTGTTACACTCCCAGGAGAGGTATAGTTGGAATAACTGTATAGTCTCAATCGAAATTCTTATACAAGTTCGTAGTTATATTATAATGCAATACGACAAAACCTTGCGAAGCATTGTACATTAGAGCGTTCCGGAGATTGTAAATGCCAGACGCAGCGATTCGTCGCGAAAGTCGGACCGTCGGCTTTTTGGTAAGTAGCGCCGACGCGACGCGACACGTTGACAAAATCACGTGGTGAAACAGTTCTTCCGCATCCTCTGACCCAAAAAAATTCCCGATGCCGTGCCACGAAAATTTTGTGCTGACGCCGACACTATCCCAGCAAACTGATGTCGTGTCGGTGCTATTAAAAAGAGCCGACGCGATACTACGTTGAAAAGCCACGTGGCGGGAATTTTGTTCCTTATTCCCACCACCTCTGACTTGGTCTCGTTCACCAACGTGCTCAGTGGTGCGGAGCTACGGAAATTTCAAATTAAATTGCTCCTGTCAATGTTCATGCTGATGCTGATGCCGTTCCCGAGGTTCTCCACCGTGCCTCTCAATTTTTTTTTTCAATTCAGTTCCCGTGCAGTGTGAGACCGCGAATTCATTTCATCAGTCCAAATTTGTTATCGGGCGCATATCGAACCACTGGCTATATCTTGTTTGTTATTCAATAACTACATCTGTGTCAGTTCTTTTCTTCCTATGCTGTAACTGATTATTAACGGTGGTTTCGATGCACGCCTGCTCACTTTTCTTCAGTGTCGAGTTACCTTGACAGATTAGCGCCTGCCTACAGCTGTCCCCACTAGTCAAACGAATTCGGTCGGTAATCCCTTTTTGAACCTCACTCATAGCTTGTTCTCTCGCGTCGTCATCAGTTCTTTGTCATTTGCGTCGAAGACTTCCCATGGCATAAATTACTCATTCGCAAATCAATGACCCACTCATTGGCGCTCAGCGATGTGGGACGCTATGTGGAAGTGCTCATTTTACGGTCTCCGATCTTTTCAAAGAAGATAGAGAAAGACTCCAAGTGGGTTTCGAGTTCGATTTTCGGTCAAGGAATAGGCCACTGTGCCCGACGGGTATTTATGTGGGTTGTTTCTGAACCGCTCATGAATATTGGCACTCGTGGTGAAGCATGATGATATTGCAGAATCTTGATATAATGAGGCGCAAAGCGTAGCAAATTTTGATAAGCCATCTTTTTTGTCTAAATATTTCTATGAAACTGACTGAAGATACTTCTCGTAGGCTGAACAGTACCTTGAGTTGTAAATTGGGCATTATGTCATGACAAGCTCAATGAATCTCCGTGTAATATCCAAGCAAGCGCCTATCACTTTCCGGGTTCAACCGATGTGGACCAGCAATGGATTCCCAACAGATACAAGGCGGCTATATGTTCAAAGTTTTACAAAAGCAAGTGCCAAAATAAATTGGGTATAGTTTATAAGCCCGTTTCCCAGAGTTTCCTTTACTCATTCTTCATCCCACCATCCCTTCTGAGCTTTAGGTTCATTGAGGTGTGATCCCCCCTCCGTTCCTCTAGGCTCTCGATGGGATTGCTAACTGGGACCACCTCTTTCCTAGGAAAGCGTTCACTCCGAACAACCAACAGTCTATCACCCACCAGCCGTCCAGTCATTTGCAAATGGAACTGCTTTCAGCGTGAGTCCACGAATCCCGGTATATGCCGCATACTGTTGACTTGCTGAATTGGTAGATTACCAGCGGAGTATGCAACCTTCAAATTCCAATTAACATTTTCGATCTCCTACTGACCTTGTAGCAGAGCAACCTGCCTGCATGAAAAGGGCGCTTTCCAGCCATGTCTTTATCACTATACCTCAGACGCTGACCAGAAATATTCCCTGTGTGTCTCTTTTTGCTCTTCCAGCAGGTGAGCACCTTACAGTCTGCTACTATTTAAACACCGTTACTCACAGACATGCATATTTAGCTTCATCAGAATACGAATACTCTCATAGCAGCGCCTACTTACCCACTGACCCCACTGACGAACGGAGTATGAATGACAGGCATCAGCATAACTACTACGCCGGTGGCGGGAAACCGTCTGTCATCAAGGCAAGAATTATCATTCAACGCTTCATAAATGCTACATAATTAATCAATCTCGTCTCCAGAACGAAGCAGGAACAACTTCACAGTCTACAGAACAACCCGAATCTTTAGAGCGCAAGAGAGCACTCTGCGTAAGCGTCCACTTCCTCACGATATAATCCAATTGTTGCTGAAACAAATCCCTCAGATCGGTATCAACTATTACGATAAAGAAAACCGACTCAAAGGCTATATAAAGGATGCTACAAACATTCGCGGCTTATTAATGCGTAAACATCTTTTGCTCTCATTCAATTATGACACCAGTTTACTGAATACTCCTTTTCCAGAAAACGGTTATAAGGCTGATGATGTCAAAATGCTTACGGACGATACGGATAACAAGCCCACAAAAAAGAATATATTGGAAGCATTGCTCTGGCTTGTTAAGGATGCCCAGTCGAAGGATTCACTGTTTCTGCATTGTACGCTTAGTCACTTCCTCTCCATATCGTTCTAACTTTTTGCTAGACTCCGGACACGGGGGACAGATCGCGGACAAGAATGGCGATGAGATCGACGGAAGTGATGAAGGTTACCCCATTGAACCGTTGTTGACCGTTGCGCAATCTACTAATATCTTAACATTTGAATCTTACAGACATCGAGTGTAGTGACTCGTATATTATTATTGACGATGTGAGTTCATATATAGTCCATCCTCCGTGGACCCGTCTACTCATTTACGGCTCAGGAAATTCACGAAATACTCAAGTCCCTGCCTTCTGGTTGCCGGCTTACGGTACGCTCCTTCTCTCAGCTGCATCCTGATCAAGCGTCTAATGCGAACATATGATACTAGGCTCTGTTTGATGTAAGGAAACACAGATATCTTGTTTCTGCCTCCTCACCTTGATTTTGTAGACCTGCCACTCCGGGACGGTTTTGGTAAGCACATCAATTTCCGATTCCACCTTCCGTTTATTCCGTTCTGTTGTAGACCTGCCATACGCTGTGATTATTTTGTCTTTCAGACTCCTCGATACCCAATCTGACCAACTTGTTTAAGTACGACTGCCTTGGGCATTGCCGGCGCGTAGTTAAAGCGTCGGTGTCGGATAGACCTGTAACCGGTCGTCTTCTATATATGGGAGCAAGCTCACGATATATTTATAAGACGACCTGTACAACTGAGTTTAAATTTGGCGGGTTCATTTTTGCTGACAACGCACCTTCCTAATAAGATATAGTGTCCAAAATGGGAACACGCGCCTTGAACCAATACTTCTCGTGTGCTCGCATCGCGTCGCGTCTTTCTCTTGCTTCATGACGACTCTCCTTCCGCTTTTTTAACCACAACATTCTTTGATGTTATGACAACGATATCTTACGTGAAAACCCTTGACGAAACGCTGCATGATGTTCGGACCGCCACAACCCTTGATGAACTCGACTCTCGCCTTCTTCGTGTGCCTTGGTTCTACTTCTTCCAATTGCCTCGAAGCTCTTTCTCCTTGGATGGTATGCTACTCATGGAACTCAGGCTGCACGTGGATTACAGCTCAAGGCTGCTCTGGCCTCGTATCAAAATCAAGATTCTCTCGTTATTGCAAGAACTGGCTCTGGGTTGTAAGCGGGAAAGGATGGAAGCTAGAAGCATATGACTTCGGTCTTGTACACCATGGAGTTCATAAATTACGGAGAACGTTCCCGACTGAACTTTACTAGGTGTAGATTCCGAACCCATTTGCTCCACAAAAATTGATGTTGAGAGATTGATGTTATCGTACCCGAGAGCGTGCGATAGAAACAAGACAACAATACGGGCTGCATCAATACCCTTATCAGCAAGTGATTTGATCAGGTTGAACGTTCCGGAGAAGGACGTTGAGAGACTGCAATGACTGAGAAGTTCCATGACCTGACGAGAAGCCCCATGTGCCCATGCGAAGAGACCGATCATGCTCTGTAACTTAGAGCAGTTGACAGAACGGAGGTGAAGCACTTGTGCCGTTACGATCTTACAACCCTGGAATAAAACCAGTTATAACACGTTGTTATGGTTCATGGAGTAGGAACTGACGTACCAACTCTGGACTCCGATGTCGATTTTTCTCTGCACTCCTACTATGCGTTGCAGCCTCAATGATTTTCGACCAAGTCGGAAAGAGGCGAGCCATGTTCAAGGAGGATAGGGCATCATGGATATTCCATGTTGCGAGAAACTCAGGTGTCACCTCATCAGTTGACGTTCGGAAATATGGCTTGGCATGTTCCATCTCGTCATGGACGCAGTCCTTCACCATTGAAACAGCGTGAGGAAGCATCCATTCTGAAAATTTGCCTTTGCCTTCGGATTTGCCCAAAAGATATCCAACAGCTTCTCAAACCGCTTCGATGTTTCACGGAAGAAATGTCGCTGAAACTCGGTGAAAACACCCCCCGAGTTTCTGTGGTTGACCAGGGCAGAAAAGAAATCGAAGGGGGAAAGCTCAATGCTCTTAAGAAAGTCGACCGCTTTCGCAACTTTTTCAGAGAGAACGGAAGCAGCCTTAAGATCGACACTTTCCGTGTCAGGCCCCTTGAACTGTGATAAGGTAGCTTGTGTTGTAGCGGCCAATTGGTGAAGGCCCGCCAGATCTGAGTGAGAAGGATCTGGGGGATAGTTGGACTGATCAGGTGTCTTCGGAAGAAGGAAATCATCGTTAACGGGTGTCATAGACTGTGAACGGAAATCATCGATGTCTTCATCATGAGGTGTATGCTCGAATGCTGCTGGATTGATAATTTGTGGTGAGGATGAAATGGCCAATGCTTGCTGTACATTTTGGCGAAAGGACTGCAGAGGATTATGATTGAAGCGAAATGGCTCCAGTAAAATTCCAGCGGGGCTCATAAGAGATGATGGGAGGGATACACTAGGAGTAACTGAACTGGGGAGGGAGGTGGTTCTTTGCAGAGGAGTGCTGGCATTGAGACGGAATGATGGTGCAAAGGAGCGTCGAGGCTGGCGTCCACCTGTAGCTGAAAAAACCGTGTTGAGTGCAACTGGGACTGAATCGGGTGTCTCTTGGGCTATTCCATCGATAGAGAAGGTATGGAGAAAATTTTTGTTGTCATTATTGTGGGGGGGGCATGCGATTTTGACGATGGGAGTAAAAATTAACGCGATGCGGCGTGGCATGTGCAGTGTTCCCATTTTGGACACTATATCTTATTAGGAAGGTGCGTTGTCAGCAAAAATGAACCCGCCAAATTTAAACTCAGTTGTACAGGTCGTCTTATAGATATATCGTGAGCTTGCTCCCATATATAGAAGACGACCGGTTACAGGTCTAGGTGTCGGATATTTCCGCGGATGTGGTAAGTTTCCAGTTTCCAATTTCTATGAGATGAGTGATAAGAAACGCAGATATGCTGGTCTGACGCTAAGGACGGTCAGTATGGTGCTGACACATCCGAAGGAGGCGTCATGACTTGTGTGAGTGGACAATATAGTTTGCATACTAAGGTAGGCTCAGATTTAAATATAGGCATTCATCAAGTCGTCAAAGGAGAATCCCGGGCAGTCCTATCAAGAACTTCTCCACTCCATCAGGTCGGCTTTTTCCTGGTCCGTAGTCGAGAAAGTTGCTCTCATTTTGTTTTGTTCAGGAAGATTATCCAGAGTGAACGCTACGAGCAGATTCCACAGCTGGAAAGTTCTCGTCTAATGGTGAGAATACTTTTGTGCTATCAGTTCACTGAATGAATCGACTCTTCTCTCGTTGCCTTTGGTGAGCAGAACACTAGTCTCAAATTTATTTTATGAACATATTGTAGTGGAGTGTCAAGTCCTACTATACACGAGGAGCACGAACAGAGGGAGATATGGAACACCCAAGAATAGATAGATAATGTTCGTACTAAATATATCAGGCTTTTGAACTACTGGATATAGTTGATATAGGATCTGATTTGTTACAAGTTTGTAGATACATAACATTGCAGTATGACACGTCCCCTTGCAAAGGTGCTTCATATTAGAGTGTTCTAGAAACAGCGAATTTTAATCATCGACCGATGACAGTGATGTTGGCACTATTATTATTAAAAAGAGCCGACGCGACGCGACGCGTGACAGACACGTGATGGGGGTTCCTTTTTCCACCACTACCACGACTCACGAGCTATGTACGACCCAGACCCAGATCCATCAGCAGCGTACCTGACGCAGCACCACAAAAATTTGAGTGTACATTTCTCTTTTCCAGATGATTTTACCGTGTTTGGCTATGATTCCCGCTTTGTTGAGTTCAGTTCTGGACGTTTCAGTGTTCGCCGACCCAGATTCTTGTCAAGCGCCTATCGAATCACCGCCTTCTACCTCATCATCAGGGTACCTGTGTCATCTATTTTCTTCCCTCTCTGTAACTGATTATGACTCAAGGTGACTTCGATGATTTAATATTGACCCTACAAGTTGTTGGGGCCTCCACGTAGATACTGTCCACGCGCTCGCGACCAGTGACAAACTGGCGCCTGTCTAGGGCCACCTTGCACCCGCCGGATTCGGTCGTAATTCCTTCATTGAGCTTCGTGGATGTTCTTTGTATGTTCCTTAATGTCTCCTTATCACATGGTGGCCATTCGTTCGTGCAAACCCACGGTCTACTGGTTAGCGCCTAGAAAGGGGATGCTGGGAGGAAGACAGTCCTTAATTTACCCGAGTCTTCGAAGGCAATGAATATAGGTTTAAGTTGCTTTGTAGGCTAGTCCTTCGTCGATGAAGCATCGGAAGGAAAGCCAGAGATGTAACTGGTGTTAGGTGCGATATTCGTTGGTGGTTTCTGTCTCGTTGATGAAAAGGTCCCTGATGATGTGCAGGATCTTGATGTATTCTGGAATGCGAATCGTGGGGAATTTTGGTAAGATTTCTTCTTCTTTCAAATCTTTCTATGAAACTGATTGCGACGATGCCTCATATTTCCAAATTACCTTCTGAACAAATATTAGGCCTTATTGATCAGATCTCCGTACAAAATCAAGGGTGGCGCCAATATCTCTCCAAAACCGATGGCTGTCCGAGTCCACCAGCAATGAATTAGCAATCTTTATCGGATACAATACAAGCCCTAATGTTTTGAAACAGACGCCCGATTTTGCGGCAGTATTTAAACAGTGTTCTCCATCTTTCGTTGCTCATTCGTCTTTCCTTCATTATCCTTTCCGAGCTTCAAGTTCATTGCGGCGTGATAGCCACTACTTCCTGGGTCTCGGCTAACGTTTAAACTTGGTCCATCCTGGCTCTACATTTTGCCCATTTATTGCGGAATCTTTCATATGCCAGTCTACTGATACTCAGTTCATCAGACAGCAGCTACGAACTCGCTTGCCAATGCCATTGCCATTAGTGTGAGCCCACGACATCACATGTATAATGAATACCATTAACTTACTAAAACCATAGGTTATCGACAGAGTAAGCGACCTTCGAATTTCGGGTTACATGTAATGACCAGTTGGCGTTCTCATAGTCAAATCTACTTCGATGAAAGGGGTACCCATCTCGCATCTCGGTATGACCATGACTCAATCGCTGACTCTAAATATTCTTCGTGTGTCTGCTTTCCTTTCCACTGAGTGAGTGTTCTTTAATTTTCTGGTATCTAAACTATTCATGCGTACGCAGCCTCATTATGGATAACGAAAAATTTAGCAGCGCATTCCTACCTTCCGACGAAAGGAGGATAAACATCGGACATCATCATGACCATGGAGTCGAAGGTTGCCTGTATGATGCTTCACGTTTCAGGCTTCCTTCGATCATTAATGTAAGCAATTCCCATACGCCGCTTCTGATGGTTCGCCTCGCAAATAACATATCCCTGCTGTAGCACGGACTCGGAACAATGCGATCCGAACCTCAAGACAATATTGGGTACTCCGAATCTCCCGGACGCAAGAGAGCAGTCTGTGTATGCGTATCACATAGTGCAACTTGGGTGTTCGTGCTGAGAATATTTCTCTTAGATTGGTATCAACTATCTTGGACAAGGCGATGAATTACATGGCTGCATACTGGATGCCAGGAATATTCGCGATTTCTTGATACGTCGATATTGTCCTTTCTCATTTATCACGACACTGCACTGACTTCTTCTGTCTCCAGGTCATGGATATAAGACTGACGATATTAGAATGCTTACAGACGATACGGAGACGAAGCCAACAAAAAAAAATATAATTGCGGCTATGTCCTGGCTTGTGCAGGGTGCGGGGCCAGCAGATTCGCTGTTCTTTCATTGTAAGCCTCGCCTCTTCCTCGGTGCTTGTTCTCAATTATTCAATTTATTCTCAGATTCTGGACACGGGGACCAGACTGACGACCAGAATGGCGATGAGGTCGATGGGAAAGATGAAGGTCTTGCATCCAAATATTTTACCAGTTATTCAATCTGTTGACTTTTTGCCTTTTCAGAGATCATTTGTTTCGACTCGGCTCCATTTATTGACGATGTAAGTTTGACTCCATGCATATTGTGTACTAATAACGTTCAACCTCCAACTTAGGACATACATAAAGTATTGGTTGATCCTCTACCTCCTGGTTGCAAGCTTACGGTATGTACTCTCTTATCCACCTAGCTTCGATGAAATGCCTACCACGAGCCTTATTCTGCTAGGCTCTGTTCGATGTAGGTAAATGCAGGTTCCTTGATTTCTTCTTCGTTAACCATGGACTATAGAGTTGTCATTCCGGGACGATTTTGGGTAAGCGCAGCAGCTGCAGACTCTTTCGCGTGTTTTACCCACTCTGTTTATGTTAGATCTACCTTATATTGTGAGTATCCCAATCTCGGGATTCCAGTGGCAAATTCTTATCATTGTATCTGTCAGTATGACTCCCATGGTCGACCACGGCGCGAGTGTACGTTGCCGGGAACAGATTCTTTAGCAAATGTGGTAAGTATCCCTTGTTTCAGGATTGTGAACATTGTACCAGACATTGATCATGAAGATATGCTGGTCTGGCGCTAAGGACGACCAGCAATGCTTCGACTCAACCCAAGGAGGTGTCATGACGCAGGTGGGTGGCTATGATTTTTTACATCCTGGCACATGCTCACTACTAATCCGGGGGTCCTGTAAAGGCATTCATAAAGTCTCTCGAAGAAAAACCGAAGCAGTCATACAGAGGACTCCTTCATTCTATGAGGTCAGCTTCTTTCATGCCTGTAGCAGAGCATGGTTCTCAATTTTCTCTCTCAGGAAGATCGTCGAGCGTAGGCATCCTAACCAGAACCTTCAGCTAACATCTTCTCGCCAAATGGTGAGTGACGATTAGTTGTGTCTATGCGTCGAACGATTCTAATACTGTGTCGTTTTTTTGTATGCAGGACACTAATATGGAGTTTATTTTTTGAGGTTATGGTACCAAAAAGAGATCTGCTGACTTATTGCCGTCTACCTGTCATCGACAAAATGATTGTACAGTGAATTTTCTTATACATTCTCGTAGTTATATGATACCTACAGCATAATGATACAGCCTTGTAAAGGCGTCCGACATTGGAGCGTTCCAGAAACTGTGAATACCAAGCGCAGTTAATCTTCGCGAAACTCGGGCCGATGCCGCGCCAGTACTACTAGAAAGGGCCGACGCGACGCGACGCATGATAAAGCTACATGGTGCGACACATCTTCCTCTTTCCGTCACCACAGGTCACCACCTTCGCCTCGGACCCGTTTACCAATGCACTTGGCGCCACGCTGCGAAAATTGTAATGTGTATTGCTTGTTCCCAAGGATCTCCTGATCCTTAATCGGCTTGGTTCTGGTGCTGCTGTGAATTCGATCCGAATTTGTTATCAGGCGCCTATCGAATTGCGGGCCTGTACCTTGCTCTCACTGAACCTGTGTCACCTCTGTCCTTCTTTCGCTGAAACTGATTGATAATATTTTCGATAATTCAATCCGCATGAAGCGCTTCAGCCGTCTTCAGCATAGATATGATACTCTTCGCGTTAAGATGTTAGCTATCGAGACATTCATCCCCAGACGCTGGTTTTATGCTGTTTTCACGCTGTCCGGTTGATGCCTGCCTATGGTCCCTTGCCTGACGGGTTCGGCCGGTGATTCCGTATTGCCTCGTAAATGCCCTCTATCAATGTTTGTGTCTTTATCACTTCTCAGCCATTAGTAACATATTGAAGATCTCTTATCACATGAAACCATTCATTCACAACCCATGACCCACTCGTTAGCGCTCGGTAGCATGTGGAAGTAATCCCTTTTACAGTCTTCGAGTCAGTCTTCAGCCGCCGGTCAATGCATAGGCAGTATATCGGGAAGGAGAGCTGGCGCCAGATGGGTATCTACGTGGGTTGTTTCTGTACCATTTATAAAGATTTGCAGAATCTTGTCAATGGTAGGGATGCGCGCCGTCACCGTATTGTACGGTTTTCGGTAACCGTTATACGGAATACGGACCGAAGCCGAACGCACCCCAATGGCCATTTGTACGGTACGGCGTATGGTTGTTCCGTCACCGTCAAGACCTCTCACAGACGACCGTACAACGTCGTAATACGGCTTATATTTTATCTTACTTTTGACTCAGCCAAGAGTCTTTTTTAGGGCAACTCTATGACACAAAATAGCCATCATTCAATTTCGTAGCTTTACTAACTCACTCTTTTAGCTGTCTTATCAAATTTCCATACACAATCAAGACAATATGTGTGACTTTATTTTAGTTCCTGGATACCTCTAGCCCTGCTCAACGCGGCATAGCTGATTATGAGACCAGGTGCATTTTACAGATTTTTGGTAGTCTTAAAGGCATCTGACTCACTTCTTTATGAGCAAATTAATTTCATACTCAGGTGCACGGTCGTCAACGACCGTAGACGGCCGTAAGGTACCCGTACCGACGCCGACAAGGCATTCAAACAGACCATACGGCACGGTATACGGATAGTTCCGTGACCGTCTGGGACAATGGCTTTACGGCCGTATACCGTATACGGTACGGTGCGCATCCCTAGTCAATGGTGTCCACTAGGCAGCAAAGTGAGAAGAATTTTGATCAGATGGTCCCCTCTGGTACACATCTTTCTGTGAAACTGATTGTGACTACTTCTCGCAGGCTCCACTGCGCCAAGTTGTGTTCGGACTGTCCACTATGCCATATCAAGCTCAGCGAATCTCCGTTCAATATCCAAGCAGGCGCCCATCACTTTCCAGGCTCGGCGGTGGATCAGCAACGAACTCCTAATCCATACAGGATAAATATACATCCCAAATTCTACAAAACAGGCGCCCAAATTGGCCGCCGTAGTTTTTAAACTGGTGTCGCAGGATATTAGTCGCTTGACCTCTTTCTCCCACCCTGATACACCGTCTCTCCTGAGCTTCAGATTCATTTCTGCGTGGTCGACCCTCCATTTCAGGCGTGGCCTTACTATTTATTCACTATTGGGGAATCATTCAGGAACCAGGTACCTTGCTAATAGCTAGCGCTCTATCATCCACCAGCTTCGCGAATGTCCATGACGCTAGCGTGAGTCCATGAGTGCCTACATATGTCATGCGTTGTTGACTCATTTGATTCTTAGATTATCACCGAAGTAGGTAACCTTCGAAGTTCAGGTTGTGCATCTATGACCCGTTGTCCTTATAGAAGCCAAATCTATGCTGTTGGAAGGGGCGCGCATTTAGTATCTTATGAGTAGGGAAAACTCTTTTGGAAGTACCTTCTTACCTCCTGACGAATGCAGGATGAATATCGGGGACTGTGATCATGACCACGCAGTGGGTGGTTACTCGGACAACTCTTCACACCACAATTTTCCAGCCATTCCGGTGAGCAATTGTCTTACTTCGGCCCCAATAGTCTGCGCCGTGAATAACAGACCCCGTCTCCAGCTCAAATCGGGGCGTAAGAGAGCACTATGTGTAAACGCCCCTTTCCTCGCGATATATTCCAGGTATCGATACTAATAATGGATGCCTTAGATCGGTATCAACTATCGTGACAGAAGCAACCGGCTCCAAGGCTGTATAGAAGATGCTACAAAGATTCGCGACTTCTTGATGCGTGAACGTCTGTTGGTCTCAACCAATTATGGCAATAGTTACTGAACGCCCCTCCCCCCAGAAAACGGTTACAAGGACGATGATATCAGAATGCTTACGGATGATACGGACAAGAAGCCTACGAAAAAGAATATATTGGATGCCATGTCCTGGCTTGTTAAGGGTTCCCGGCCGGGAGATTCATTATTTCTTCATTGTACGCTTCTCTGCGCCCTCTCTATTTGTTTCTACTACCTGCTCTTTACTCCCAGACTCCGGGCACGGTAGTCAGGTTGCCGACACGAATGGCGACGAAATCGACGGCAAAGACGAAGGTTTTTCCCATTGGGTCGTTTTTACTCGTTGAGAAATCTACTGAGTTTATGCTCTTCCAGACATTGAGTGCAGCGACTCGTCTATTATTATCGATGATGTGAGTTTGTATACATCCATTCCCCCCGGGCTCACCGACTTTTCTTCGATGCAGGAAATTCACAAAATTCTTGAATCACTATCTTCTGGCTGTCGACTTACGGTACGTTCCTTCTGTGGAGCCTCGTGTCTTGGTGAAGCGTCAAACTGAGCGGTATTATCATAGGCCCTGTTCGATGTAAGGAAACACAGTATCCTTTTTCTCGCTTGTCACCTTAATTCCAGAGCTGCCATTCCGGAACGGTTCTGGGTGAGTACATCAGCTGCTGATTCCATTATCCATTTACTTTGTCTTGTTCATGCTAGACCTGCCCTACGTCGTAAATTTTTATCTTTCGGACTCCTCGACGCCAAACTTGACTAGCTTGTTTCAGTACAACTGCCTTGGTGGACGTTATTGCGCAACTAAAGTGCCAGTGTCGGATATTTTAGGCGATGTGGTAAGTGCCAAGATTCCTGTATCTACGAGATGGCTGACAGTGGCACAGATATGCTGGTCTGGCGCTAAGGACGACCAGGAAGGTACCGATACGCCTCAAGGAGGCGTCATGACCCGTGTAAGTAGCTAATTATAACTTGCATCCTGATGCGGGTTTAAATTTTAGCATAGGCATTTATCGAGTCACTGGAGAACAAACCTGTGCAGTCATATCAGGATCTTCTCCACTCCATCAGGTTGACTTTTTCCCTATCCATAGCCAATGTTTTTCCCATTTTCTTTCGTTCAGGACGACGATCCAGCGTAAAACCTATAAACAGATTCCGCAGCTGGGAAGTTCTCTTCCAATGGTTAGAAATCCTTTATTCTTTCCGTTTGCCGAATGATTCACATATTGTCTGGTTGCCTTTGGTGCGCAGGACACTAGTCTGGATTTTATCTTCTGAACATATTTTGACCTCCCCCGAGCCGAATTATCTGAGCGCTTAATGTGTATTGTATAATAAAATGCTAATCCGTGATTAATTGATTATCGGATAAGAATCATGGTCCCGGAGAGTATTTGCAGAATCTGGAATTGTCATAAATATGAGATTCCATGAAACAAAAGGTTTTAGTCTTTTTTTCTTCCGGACCTCGGGGAAAACGGGCACGCATGGAGAGCTGTCAGTAATACAGTAGGTAATTGTACGGAGCCCTATGTCGCAGTACCAATCCAATAGTTGTGACCTCTTTTACTAGACAATCCGAGGGGAGACTCGCTCGTCATACAATGTATGTCATCATGTATTCTTTCTTCAGATAAGATGGCAACACGAAACTGATTCCTAAGAAGGGAAAAGTAAGCGTTGCTAGTCATATATCTCCTGTGGTCAAAGTGTATTCAGTCTTGAACGTGATGTTTAATCCCTCTGCTGCGTACGCGTCCAATGCGGAAAGGGCTGTCGTCGTAATTGGTCCGTCACTGTTTTGCACATTTATTGAAATGAGTTGGCATATATGGACCTCCTTTAGACGTTGCAGAGATTTGAAGTGCAGGGGCTGGGGAGGCAGATCCCACCGCCCTTCCACCATGTTGACGAATACTTCCATGTCAAACACGATATTCCCACCGAGATGAAGCGTCCGCAGGCGAGGAACAAGAATTTCTCTTGAATCAAGCTTCGGAGTCAACTCGGAGAGGGTTTGGTTCAGAAAGCCTTCAACGTGGGTCAACCGCACGTCTTCCAAGGTAGGCCTTGTGCGAAAGACATGAAGGATGTCTTCTTCTAAAATGTCACCGTTGTCGAAGTGGAGTATAGTGATAGGGCATTGAGATCTTGTTATGAGCTCTCGAACGGATGTGAACGTGTCAGTCTCTTCGAATGACATACTATCCACCTTCAGTGAGGCGAGTGAAGGTAGTGTAAGTCGGAAGAGAAACTTTTTTAATGGTGTGGGCGCGTCGCCGCAAAAAAAATACATAGACGGCACAAGATTCAACGACCGTAGATACGTGCATGAGAAGTTCGTGAGTACCTTGTTCCCAGTGTAAAGCGCAATCCTTTAGGTGAGTGAGCTCTCTGGAAACCTTGAGATGATGATACAATGTGGAATTTGAATTTGGGTCCCCTCTGCGACTATGGTGGATTTCATAGGTCGTAATCTGGTGCCACGGAAGAATGAAATAGGCGGTGGGTTCATCAATATCAATGATTTCTAGTGTTCGAAGCTTTGGCACTGAAGGAAACAAATGAATCTTCTCAACCTGGTCGAATTGGTTCATTTCAAGGGAAAGAGGTGAAAGGTTTTCCAGGCAAGGTAAGGAGAGTCGTAAGCGTCTGACTCGGCGGAATGTCCTTGAACTGAGGAAAAGGTGAAGTTCTTTGATGGAGGGGGATCATAAAAAGAATCTTCGCCAGCCACCGCACAGGAAACTTCGTGGTTTGGTCTTCATTTCTTTCTGCAATGCAGACGGATAGTGGACGATCTTGCAAGCGACGATGCTGTTCGCTGAGACATCGAAACGTATGTCCATCTAAGTAGTCAGACACAATATTAATGTACGACCAGAGTTCGGGGAGAGACATCACTACCATCCTCCATTGCATCGACACGGCTTCGATGGTCCACATAGGGTTATTAGTGAAATGAAAGTCCCACGCGCTAGCATGAGAGAATGGATTCTGAGTCCTGTGAATGGGAAATTCGATGGTATGATGGAATATCTGTGCAAGGATTTCCACTGGAACGCGCCGTAGGGGGCTGAAAACGCGTTCACTGTCATCAATCGCAGCCAAAACCCTTTCCTTCTCCCGATGCAAAAGATCTTTCTTCTCCTGAATGGAACGTTGCATCTGAGCAAGAATGACGTCCAACTTTGACTCCTCTGCTTCTATATCCCAGATCTACTGCCGATACGAAGATATCGCCTCTTTTATTTGATCTTCTTCCAACGTGGACGGAGATTCATTGGATTGAGTCAAATGCATCAGATTCGATGCGAAAAGTACGTCTTCAGGAAAATTATAAGTCGGGAGCTGGTGATCAGCGCAGCTACAGCTAGTGCGAGGCTCCCATCCTGACGGTAGTGCCACCAACATCTTGCTGATGCGTAGAAAAATATACCTGAGATTTGTAATTCATGACAAAAGATGGAATCTTACTGAGTTAAGAAATCTATGGACTTGGTTTAACCGCTTCGTAAATGCCAGTGGATGGTGGAAGTGAATAAGAAGCTGTTGTTTGGAACGCCACGTGCCACGCCCTTGAAATAAGCGTGTCAACAACGCGTTGCCTTCAAGGCTTTGGCCATCACATCGGCTGAACTAATGGCGACTACAGTAAGATAATACATTTACTACTTATGACGTTCCTCAAATAATACTGCACGTCCAGATTCCTGATCTGATTCGTGATACAAAAAATTGTCCATACTGGCTTACTGTTCTCCTACGTTTAGCATATACTCAGTACTAAAGGTGAATCTCAGTCCCTGAGTCATGTACACGTCCAATGTGGAAAGAGCTGTCGCCATATTTACCTCATCGCTTGGCTCATCTGTCGGGAGAAGTCGGCATAGACTGACCTCCATCAAGCGCTGGCCAGAGGGAACATGTAGAGGTGCGATATTCCATCGTGCAGCTACCATATTAACGAAGACTTCCATATCTGATACGACGTTTCCGCCGAGGTGAAGTGTCTGCAGATGAGGAACAAGAATCGTTGCTCCGTCGAGCTTCGGGGTCAATTCAGTGAAGGTTTTGTCAAACGAAACGTCAACATGAGTAAGCCGCACGTCTTCCAAGGTAGGAGTTTGGCGAAGGATATGAAGGAAATCCTCTTCCAAAATGAAACCGTGATCGAAATGGAGGACGGTAATAGGACAGTGAGATTTGATGATGAGCTCTCGAACAGCGGTGAAAGTTCCCGTACCTTCGCATGAAAGGCAGTCAACTTTCAGCGAGGTGAGTGCAGGTAAGATAAGTCGGACGAGGATCTGCTTGAGTGCCGTGTCAGAGCTACTTTCTGAGACTCGTGCAGAGGAGGAAATCTTCATTGACCGTAGGTTGGCGCACGTAAGAGGAAAGACTTCATCGCCAAATTCAACCTCAGCGATATTATCCTCACAACGTAAAGTGCATTTTTCCAGCTGCGTAAGTTCTCTGAGAACTTTCAGATGTTGATATGAGGTAGGCCCCCAATTAAAATCACTGTCCATGTGGCTATGACTGCTTTTGTAGGTATTGATCTGGTTCCAAGGAACAACAAAATAGCCGCTGGGCTCATTGATGTCAACGATCTCTAGGGTTCGGAGCTTCGAAGATGTAGGGAAGAACTGTAGCTTCTCTTCATCATCGAATAAGTCGGTGTCGAGGGCAACAAGAGAAAGTCTTTCCAACGATGGCAACGATAATCGTAGCTGGTCGAATTCAATGAATGTAGATGAACGGAGGAATAGATGCAGTTCTTGGATATCACGAGAAATGGTGAAAAGAATTCCAGCGAGCTGGTCCGGAAAGTTGTTTACACTGTCGTCTGCAATGCAGACGAATAAAGGGTGGTTTCGTGAATAACTGCACTGTTCACCCAGGCGCCGCGCATAAGATTGGTCTTCGAAGTTTTCGTCTGTGAGGACGATATTGACGTACGACCACAGCTTAGGAGAAGACATGGCCACCATCTTCCACTGCTTCGAAACACATGCGATGGAGAACATAGGATTATCGGGGGGATGTTCGAGATCGGTATAAAGGTCTTGCGTGCGACGAATGGGAAATTCGATCGTACGAAGGAATATATAAAATAATATTTCCACTGGAAGGCGTCGTACGGGGCTGAGCACGTGTTTTCTCCTATTGATGGCAGCTAAGGCTCGTTCCTTCTCCCGAAGCAAGATACCAGCTTTCTCCTCGACGGAGTCTTGCATCTTCGCAAGCATTTTCTGCAGCTTTTCCTCATCGGCTGTCAGATTTTGAATCTGCTGTTCGTACGATAGTACTGCTAGTTTCAGTTCGTCTGTTTCAGTCGGCGATGGTGGATCGTTGCAGAGCGCTAGTCGCTCGAGATATGGCGGAGATATATTTTCTGTGGGGAAGTGATACGATGGCAACCTGTGGTTGGAACAGGAACAGCTAGAACAAGGCTCCCAATGTGATGACAATAAGTCCGCCATCGCCAAGGATTTTGTGTCTGCAACGAGAAACAACCTGAGGTTGAGGATTGAATAATAGGGGAGCAAAAGGAAACTTATCACAGCGTACCTCAGCAATGAAGAAAAATATACGAGATGTCCGGAGGTGATAGTAGCGTTTGAAACTTTGAATGGTTGTTGGTATCACGCAGTGAATCGGTAGCGGCGAAAAGGCAGCCGAAACCAATTGAAAACCACGTGGCGGGTGAACCAACATCCCCGGGCCGATCCGCACCATTCCGCACGTTGGTCCATGATTCTCATCTGTCCATTTCTCTACCCTTCCGTGCGCCCAATTATGAAACATTTTTACACGATCTCTTTGATGGTTGTCGATAAGCTTGCGACGTCACTTCCTTCCGCTATGACTGCGTCTATTTCGAAGGCTGTTCGAGGGCCGTTCAATTGAACTTCAATAAGCCCGCATCCTGACTCCCAGTGAGGTTGCTTTGCCAACATTGAAAACTGTTGTCTTTCACGTCTTTCGCATCCTGGTTATATAAAACTTCCCCTTCATTGTGTCTTCACTGGGCGTTTCCGGATTTTATTGGAATTTCCGAATGCCGAGTGCGTACGTTCGACTTAGATTTAACAGGCTTACTGTCATTTTCTCACTGTAGAGTTGGGGCTTTATCTACACAAGTTTTTTGGTATTCTTCAGATGGATCGTCACTTCCGTACGTTACGTATTCCCACTTTTATGTTCTGAATTAAATTACAACTGATTAATCAGAAGAACCATGCCGCCCACTTCACCATCCGTGGAATTGACGTCAGGATCGGACATAAGAGTGTAAAGTAGTATGTTCCGTTCTGCACGCCGCAGTAGACCGCTAAGACTACGAAATGCGACCACTGTTTTAGATGTCTCGTTTCCACTAAATGTTTGCTGCAGACCTGGCAGATACGAGCTTAACTCACGTCACGTCAATTCGACTACTCCACCTTCATCGGATGGACATTGGGCTGAACAGGACTCAAGAACTGGTTTCAACATCATCTCGTAGGTCCGGCTGTGTCATCAATCTTCTTGGGCGATCTTATAGCGCTTTGTGGATAGGCTGTGTAGGATCTGCAAAGATGTCTAAGCGCCTATTGAATTACGGCGGTGTAATTTTTGACGTATCATTTGCGTAACATGATCCCCACAGGTCGGCAACCTGTGCTGCAGCGTGATATGGGCGCCCGGGGGGGGAGGGTTTTGTAATCAATTTCCAGAAACCTCGTCACCTCCCCTTTCTCTTCACCCACGACTAGCAGTTCCAGGATTCAGTGATTCTCTTCAATTATAGCAGGGGAATTACACCTTGCTGTTGTTTCAATCTTGAGCGATGATATGGGATTTATCTGTTGGTCGAAGGGCTTCTTTGGAGCTATCTTTTGGGATGCCATGGCCATTGTGAGTTCCCGATATTATCTGGATCACGTCTACTGATCTTCTCACAATTCACACAGGCTCCCAACAGTGTGAGTTGTCTTCAACTCTTGGGTCAATATTGATAATCATCGAATATCGTTCTCCGCTTCGTTTGACGCTATCCACATGATAGCGAATTCTACAACTTTGATCAACGGACATTTTCCTGGGCAGGGCGAACAGATTACTACTCGTACTATGTCCCTGCATATCTTTCTTCGTGTTCCACCGAGTGAGTAGTTCTGACTGTCTTCGATATACGTTCTCCTTACCCTGAAACAAACAGTTCAAGCTCCCAGTACGCGCGAGATCATATGCCTGGATAAAATTAACTCATGCATCGAAGTCTGGTTCTGACGCGTAGCGGGTCGAGGGCTTCGTCCTACTATCCACGTCGACTTCATCACCATAATAAGTATTACTACTTTTACGGTGGCGGTGGTCGTCATCACAATCACTCAGAAAGCCGGCACCATCTCGACATCGTCGCCCACTTTCCTCAGCCGTGCTCTAAATACGCATATCGTGTTGGGAGGAAGAACCGGAGTGATGTCGCATTCGAATCGATGCGATACGCTTCAACGGTGGGGACCTACCCTCCGGAGGGAGTCCCCGAACAGACTGGGCGCAAGAAGGCACTTTGTGTGAATGGACATCTCCGTTTCCTGTGATTGACGCGAGAGCGCTAATCAACTTCAATTTAGATTGGTATTAACTATTTGGAGCGTTCCCAAGCACACGCGCAGCTATCGGGCTGTATCAAAGATGCCCTACGGATCAATGGCTTCTTATTAAGTACGTGTTGTTTATCAGTACAAGTCGCGGAATGATACTAACCAACTCTGTTCTTCAGACCACTGGCGTTCCGGTGGACGGGGTGCCATAGAGATCAAGATTCTTAAAGATGATAGTAAGAAGGCCGACCAAATTCCTACCAGAAATAATATCGTCAAGGCTATGCGTTGGCTTGTCAAAGATGCACTCCCAGGAGATTCGTTGTTCTTTCACTGTAGGGCCTCGTCTCTCTCTTCAGGTTCTCGACATCGATCTGACGTCCAGATTCTGGCCACGGTGGTCAGATACCAGACACGAACGGTGACGAGGACGATGGATATGATGAAGGTATCTCCTTTGAGATGTTTGGTTCGTCGGAACATTTTCTGATTGCCTTTCTCTAGTCATCTACCCTGTTGATCCTGGCAGCCATATTCTTGATGACGTATGTTTTATCTCTATCACTATGTATATTTCTAGTTTCACGAAATTTCTCGAAGGATATGCATGACCTAATGGTCAAGCCCCTTCCTCCGGGCTGCCGGCTTACAGTGCGTCGCACAAGCGTCTATACCTTGGGTATGCACCTGACTAGTACACTATTTTATCAGGCGATTTTTGACGCAAGTTTCGAATACACACTAAATTTCCGTTTCGCGCTAACTGCCTGACAGTGCTGCAATTCAGGAAGCGCTTTAGGTGAGTGTTTCAAGTCAGCTGTCAAACATTCTTGTTCCTGATTCCGCTTGCTTTGTGCCAGATCTACCTTACGTCTGGGTACCGCGTCTTCGAGGTATTTTGTGGCTGAACTGATGGTTTTATGTGTTACAGCGCAAATCCAAAGGTTTATCCCCAGACGGATCCGTTACGAAGAAGTGGCTTAGTCGCAAATCGACTTTCGCCGATGTTGTGAGTTTCCTACTTTAAGCTTTTCTCCTTGTAAGTAAGTGCTTACGGACCTTCAGATATCCCTTTCCAGCGCCAAAGATAACCAGACGAGCATGGATTCACCGCAGGGAGGTGCCATGACCAACGTGAGTTCTGACTATTTTTGACATAAGCGGCTTACACCTGGTAAAGGCATTCATATCGTTCCTCACACATAACCAATATCCGACATACGAGGACCTTTTCTGTTCAATCACGTTAAGTTTCTAGCTATTGATTGCGGAGCGTAGTATTCAATCTTTTTTCTCTTGTTCAGGGAAATCATGGAGGAGCGGTACAGGCAAACGCCACAAATATGTTGCTCCAGTAATATTGTGAGTCTACGTTCCGCTTCCTTCAACTGCCTCGTTGACAGAGTCTGATCAAAGGACACAAAGCGAACATTTGTTCTGTGAGTAAGGGTCTCCGAGTCGATGACTCTCGGGTTACTGGATATTTTATGTTACCTTTATTATATAACATATTTTTTGTGAAAAGCGAAAACCGTTGAAAGAGAACTCGGGGTGAAATGACGCGTCTTTAACTTGACGCGTTGCGGTCACAGTCACGTGATAAGGTAACAGGGCTTCCCATTTCAAAATCCTCCTTCCCCAGCTTGTCTCATACCTTGCATATGCCTCGAAAGCGAAAAGCCGATGCAGATGACGAGGATAACAATGCGCCGCAATATGGCTGCAAGAAATCCAAAAATCCTCCTGCTGCTGTCGATAGGTTCACCAAGCTGCCAAGGGATGTCCATTTAGAGGTGAGTTTCCTTTTTTCTACAGACGGGGCAGGGATAAGAATCATTTTTGAAGATTTTTGGGTACATAGATCCTCTAGATCTCCTTCACTTCGCTCGTCTGACGAAGGAACTCCGAGCTGTCCTGGTGGACAAGGCGTCGGTCGCTGTTTGGAAGGCGGTCTGCAGGAACGCTGAATTACCGGGGCCTCCAGAGGGAGTATCAGAGCCGGCATGGATTAGTCTCATATACGAGTCGAGGTGCCATGTGCGTGAGATTCTGCTCTATTGATATTGTTAACTAAAATTCTGTCATAGCACTGCCAGAAATACGTCCGTTTCCCAGATTTCAGCCTTCGTATTCGAATCTGCCACGCCTGCGCCAAAGTGCAGTATGTTTCCTTGATATATGCCTCGATATATGCGCATATAATGGCATCTTTACAGCCTGAGGGAAGTCCAAAGTATCTACCTTTGCCGTACGCAGGAAGAGGTCACGATCTCTCGCTTGATCGTCTCCATGATACCCCTGGAGTACGTCAGTAAGTGTACTGTTTTGTTCCGTATCCCTTCCATTCTGACGGTACTTCAGAAATTACGGGAGGGAGGAAGAGTTGGGACGAACTGTACTTTCTGCCGAAGGATTTTGAAGCGGTCCGCGCTAAGCTCATCAGTCTTAAGCCGGAAGAGACAGAAGCTTATATCGCAGAGAGAAAACAATTTGTTCGCTCGAATGAACGAGTAAGTCTGCTCTTTCCGCTTGATCATAATATTTTTCACGTCTTTCAAAAGGCGGCGGACTATTACCGCTTATGGTACGACCGACGCCCGGCTTCTAATGTCTCCATTGATGCAAAGATTGGCCGCATTAAAGCGTGAGTTTCCCTCTCTTTTCACCAACAATGCTGCTAATGCCATGAAGTATACGCGAAAAGCTTATCGCCATGGGCTATGAAAACGAGCTCAACAATATCAGGTATCCCGACAACTTCTTTACCCATCCTCTAGTAAACCAAACTCGCGCTCTTACTGATCGAAGTACGTACATTACCTTTCGAGGTTTTCCATCCTAACGTTCTCCAATAGTCTGGGCCAATATCAAAGACAAACTCGTAACTTATATGGAATCAATGAAACTTAAACGTCTCGCCCGAGAGCGCATGGACGTTGTCAATTCCCGAAAGACCCTTGCTGTCGAGATTCTACGCGAATTCAAGAATACCTTCTCTCCAAGTCTTGTACTTCCCTCTCTTACCGATTTCCTTAACTCGCCGCTCGCCAACTCAATATTAGAACTTCCGTCTGAAGTCGAGGTTACTCACCAAACCTTTGCTCCAGTCACCTCCGGCTTATCGGCTTTCTGCATTGCTTGGAGACACGACGTCCATCGCCGGCTAGCAGAGTTTGTTATCGGGCCTGGATCAACCTTGTCTGCCGACGATAAACTGGTCCGTCTGCAGCTGGCGTCGACCGTCTTTCTTTGCAGGCGTTGCCATCTTGGCGCTCACAAGCTCATTCCCCTCATGTACCCTGATACCATCACCCATCAATGCCTAACGATCTCACCCCTCAAAGACGCCGTACCGTCAGATCCCGCGAGGCGGCTCAACTCAAAATCATACTTTGCGCGCGATACATGGAATACCGACTGCCTGATGCGGGACGAGACGCTCTGCCGCGTTACGCAGGGTGTCGTTCGCTCTATGGGGTTCAATCCAGAAACAGCGTCCACTGCACAACTGGATATATCCCCACTGCTTCTCGAATGCCAGTCATGTCCCAGAAACCGTAACGCAGACGGTACCCACACAAGCGTCGCGTACGGATGGAGAGCATTGGTATGTGGTCATTCTCATTCTTCTTCAGTTTACCCATTGCGCTCTAGGTTCGGCACTTTTACGAGAAGCATAGATCTGGGCCGGCGTCTACTGTGAATGCAGCTGTTATAAAGGACGGCCGCGTGCTCGAGTCCGGCAGCAGCGTCAAGTGCCTCAAGGCAGTGCTGTTCGATCAGGTATTCCTGAGCACTCACTGTCGAGACCTTCCCTGCGAAGACTACACACGGCCTTTTGATGGCTTAATAAAGCACATCACCGACACGTAAGTTGTTCGTGCTTCTGCATGTTGTTCTTGATCTTTACCACGTTTTTAGGCATCATATTCAGGTTCCCAGGATGACTATTGACTGGTACGAGGAGTTCGCGTGGAGTAAGGAGTCGATGCACCCGCGTTTGAAAGTGGACATCTGCATTGCCTGAGAATGGCTGTTTCTTGCTGAGTTTCTATTTGCCTGTATAACTGTAGACTGAATAGCTTTGACTGTAGAAAACATATGCACTGTATCGAACCTGTTGTAGATTGGGATGTATCAATAGCCAAGAAGGCACTGCAATCGCATATGTTGTATTTTCGAACCTTGTGCTCATGCTTCGGCACGGGTCGCGGTTTTCTCAGGTACGTACAGCCATGAAGTGATTTTTTAGAGTCTTTAGAGGTCTTTAGTGATGTTCCCAGGAACTTCGGACTGACTCATTCCCGGAGCAATCGGCAGTTCAAAGATGAAGATTGGTTAACTGTGCAAGGTGGAGCAAGGCAAACTGAGTACCTGCGACCATCCTGCTTGAATTTGACTTTCTCCTATACATATGCGATGATAATAAGCTTCATCGCTGTTCTCGTGAACAGCGTTAAATTTTTATCAACCACCATCACCATAGCCTCGTGTATACAGCGGTATGGCGGCCCGCTGTTACGAAGCCCAGGCCACCTTCCCCATATAGAAGGATGAGGCTGTACTGGTGCCACATAAAAATTCCAAGGGAACCAGGTTCCGTCCCGCACACATGTACGTTCCTTTCATCTCCCAGCGCCCACGAAAGATTTACCGTCGCAAGGGTGGCGGTAAAAGTGGTGGCGGCAGTACCGGAGGTGGGAAGAGCAGCAGCAGTTCAAGCACAAGCGGGAGCGGCTCCTCCGGTTCGTCACGGTCACTAGCATTTATCACTGCGCAATGCGCCTTACGAAATACTCAGGTTCGACGCGTACTCAGTCTATAAGTAGTAGTGGATCCTCGAAGCAGGCTACGTCGTATGGAAGGGGCGGAGGTGCCGTGTCGACTATACCTTCTGGGCAGCTCTTTGCTGGACGTACGCAAGGTGGAGGGACTAGGGACCAGGTAATGGGAACCAGGTACGTCCTAATTTATCCTCAGGTAGAGGCAATTTGGTTAATGGTCATTGACAGTACCTACGGGAGTGGATACCCAGGTGTCGCAAGCCGTGGTGTAGCTGGACTGGGTTTCCCTTTCTATTACTGGCCACTAGCCTGGGGTGGTATTGGGCTGGGGTCTGCCGCGTACTTGCACAATAATGAGGTACGGTATCCCCATTCTTTCCGTGCTCACGAGCTTATCACCTTTGATAGTACGGTCGGCCAGATAACTCGAGTCGACCTGGAGGTGCTATGACTTACGCCACGTTCCCTGCGACTTCTGGAAACGCCACATTCCATGTCGTGGCTGACAACAATACCGTCGCTTCTCTTATTACGGACCTTACCAGTAACTGCTCTTCAGTGATCAACACTTCTTCTGTGTCCAGCTCGCCAATAGCGTTCAATGACTCAGATTCGAGCACGCCGAAGCCGGAACAGTCTGTGCAATATTACCGTGCGAGCTCCGTGGCGTTGACAGTAGACGGATATAACAACACTGGAGCACTCCAAAACGATACCGCAGATACGCCGATACCTTCCTGGGTGGATACCAACGCGCTGAATTGCCTGAATTCAACTATTGGAGTCGCCGTTCCCCTCGTGGATGGTGCAGCTCGACAATGGGTCGCGCCAAATGTTGGTTTGGTGGCGCTATTATTTGTCTTCTACCATCTCTCTTCGTTTTTCTGATGACCTTCTGCTTTCGATCTCGACTTACACACGGCGATACCCATACACGATCAGTCATGATATTCGTATTGTATTAGGTCTATAACTTTGCATTTTTTAACGATTACTGTATCTCTATACCTTTCTTCGGATGTATCTCTTTTTGTTTGCTACAATACACCCTGCATGTTGTTTTTTGGGGCGAGATGAAGGAAACTTAAATTAATATAATTCTCAGGTCTTCACATCGTCCGTCGATGGTGCGTATTCCTGCATCTATTGGGACCAGGATATTGAAATGGTTTCATTTCAGATGCTTCTGCAGCGTGGTGTTGCATTGCACATGACCGTACTTCTGCCTGATCGACATTATCTCTCACTCTTCCTTCGTGTTACGAGGTTATTTGCTATTGAGGTTAAACGCTCGATCAAACGAGCCCCGTCGTGACGTCGTCTATGAGTATAGCACGTACGACGACTTGCTAATAATTGGCATCCGACCAAACCAGGGCTCGCTCGAGGTTATAGCCGCTGGCAGCCAGACTCTCCAGGAGGAACGTTCAACAGAGATCGCGAGCTGAGGTCAATAACAGGAGGTGACGTTCCTCTATTCTGCCCATGGGATCCATGCTCTCACTCCCTGCTTTGACCATGTTGTCCGCCTTCGTTCAGCACACCTGTATCCATAAACAAAAATACAATCCAAACATCTAGAGCGGTAAATTTAACACAGAATTGCAGTACACGAAGTACAGAAGCTATGTGGTCATCGGCTAGTCGGTATCCCAGTGACACGGTTGCTTCCCTAAAGCCTTCATAAATGTTTCAAATGTAAGAATACCGCCCAAGGTCTCCGTGTCGAGTTCTGACACCTGCCCTCTCCAGATCTTCTTCCTGTGCATCCTGTCCGCCCTCCACGCATCCCAAAATAATTCTCTCAGGGGCGCGATCCATTCATTCCACAGAGGGATAAATTCTTCTCGGAACTGAGAACGAATACCCTCTGCCCGAACATCATTAATCCAGAACTGGCTTTTGTTATCATGGGCACGCATCAAGTCTGATGACGCATGTGCCGTCCATCCAGCAATGAACTCATTTGTTATCCCATGAACATGGCGTCTGATGTCAAAGTGAACTCCGGCCCAAACAAGAAGGTAAACGAATGATTCCAGGTCGTGGCGGTAAAAGCGGGGCATGGGGGCCTTATATTCATCTATAATGTCCAAAGCCATGAAAGGAACTGCTTCCGCACGAAATGGTACATCGGCTGCGCCGTTGCTGGGTCCGTCTCCAGTCGATGCAGAGGAATTATTGAAGCCGTTGAGGCATCCTCTGATGCCGTGCGTTCGGTGGCGATAAAACATGGCATTTTCTGCAGTAATATCTCCATGAAGGGCTTTCCCTTTGACAAACGCTCGATGATGGCCTTCATTTAGGTACGTAAACTGGTTTGCTGTGGACGGGATTCCAAAATGATAAAACTCACATTCGAAGATGTCAAGGAAGGCTGTTTTAAATTCTTCAAGAGAATCAACCTTCCATAGTTCGTAGCAGCGATCGGCGGCGATAATCTTCAGGTCTCGAATCTCCATCTGGTACACGTCGTGCCGAGTGTTCAGATTGAAGCAGACACGAGGCAGATGTTTCTGCAGCTCTGGAGCGGCGTCGAGAATTTGCTTGATCACGTCAATCTCGAGAGGTCTCTGATTATGGTTTTGCCGTGCAGATCTTAACACCACGACCACGCCTCTGCCGCAATCGTGTGGAGCAACGCATGGTGAGTCCTGGTTGGTATAGCGTGATTTGTTTAACAAAGGTCTCTGTGTCGCCTTTGTGAACAGAAGTGGAGTCAAATGGCGATTGCCTATACTGCTTCCTGCCCGGGGAAATGCAGGGTTAGGTTCTCTCGACAGACCCACTACGGCATCGTCATAAATGTTCGGGGCGGACTGCGACATCCAAACCAACGGTAAGGCTGCAAGGTCCTGGTCTATCTCTTCTCCCTCCACCGCCCATATTAAGGACGCCGGTTCATTATCACGCGAGACTTGATCACGAAGATTGCGGCGGCGCGGATCCATCTGATGTCGCATTTTGTCTTTTGAAAAAAGAAAGTTGCCACTAAGTGTGGTGACGCCTGCTAATTATTATAAATGGCATGAAGCGAGTATGGCTGGTAGACGCACCGTCTGATATGAATATGCGAAACAGAGGATTAGACGTTGACGTTGCAACGTTGAATATCGAACGGTGGCAAGTCGGTGTCTGAAGGTAGAAGAATCGAAGGAACGTGGTAAGCCCAAACAATCGATCCAATTTATTAACGACTCCGCGAGTTGCCGCAGCCTGCAGGAAGGACTCGTTACAAGGGTTCGCTAGACAGACAATGCCAATGCCACATCGAATTTCATTGGTGCCATGGTGCCACGCAGCAAGGTATAATAGGGTATAATTATTTCTCCTGACAAAAATATTAGTCATAAGTCCTTAAAATAATTAAGGTTAGCAATCGTTGTGTAACGGCATCACCGGCTCACTACTAGTACTCACGGGCCGAGTCTTAGGACATCGTGATGCCGTACACCAATGTATACTGTCCAGTCAATAATTGACTCCAATACAAACTTAGTTTAGTTGTTATTTCATGTCTTGAACGATGAAGAGATCGGATTTTATGATTTATCGCGGATATTCCCCATGGCAGTCAAACGGCCCGTTCCAGCCGACCCGCTTTCAGACGATGCCGCCGGTAGCTGCATCCCTTCTCCTACCGCCACCACTACGTTCTTAGCTGGTCCCGAGCATTGAATCTGGGACTTGCGCTGGACACTAACGCGAGTCGGGCACTCAGAAAAATTGTAAGGTATTTATTTTACTTATTAATCAGTGTATTCCCCCTAAATACAGTTGCTTTTTTTTCAGTCACAAAACATGGCGAAATTGTCAAACTGGGAATCTTGCACAGAGTGCGAGTGCCCTAACCATCACTTGCCCTCTTATACGTTCGACCCGCAGGCAAGACTCTCCGATAGTCCTGACTGGGCCCGTCTTTTGCATTCAAACGACGTACCTTCACCTGGCGAGGAGAGCACCCTTTTATCGATGATATCTTCCTATGACTCTCAGCTTCAGAGCCTCGAATCTGAGGAGGCTGATCTCCAGGGTCTTCATCACGACCTAAAATGCCGCATAATGTTCTTGTCTCGTCAAATGGGTACACTACGCCAGGAGCGCCAGCGGATCTCCGAAGCGATCAGTGAAAGACGCAAGATCCTGAGTCCCGTTCGACGCCTCCCATCCGAGATTCTTCATCATATATTCCTCGATACCATCGATTTCCCTGTTCAGTACTCACAGTCAAAATCTAACAACGCCCATTGGGATTTTCATCCCACACAGAGCTCCTTATGGTTGATTGCGAGCGTATCAAAGAGGTGGAGAAATGTGGCTCTGTCTTCCCCAAAGTTATGGTCCTTTGTGAATATATCTTTCACACAATTGACTTTTGACGACCTTAACTATGTTCAACAACTCGGACTACAATTGCATCGTGCGTTGAAGCATCCACTGTCTATTTCCCTTTGTGAAATCGACCCACCATCGTGCGATGAAATCCCCCCACAGCTCATAGCCATCCTCTTCTCTTTTGCTAGCTCCATTCACGAGCTTCACCTCTATCTCCCATCGGCAACACTCTCAGACCTCACCAGACTTCGATTATCGTTGCCTGCCTTGGAGAGTTTGGTCGTTTTTTGCACAGATGGGATAGATCTTCCCGACTTTGGACCACTGCGCCCGTTCTCATTCGTTCCCAAACTGCGATCGGTCCAAGCCGTAGATATCATAGATTTTGTATCGAGCTTCGAGCTTCCTTGGCATCTCGTGAAAGAATACCGAAGCGACCACGCATTTCTGCCCTACTATCCGTCCAGATATATCGGACCTCGAGCCCATGAACACCTCGCCGTCTTAAGAAGCCTCGAACAGGTGGAAGAGTGTGTCTTGCGATTAGGTGATGCTTCCGAGTCGGATGAATTCGGGGACTCCGCCTTCCCTCTCGTGTGCTCGCAGCTCAAGTCATTGGAGCTCTCATCGTGGAACATCGACGCGAACGAGGATCATTCGGTCTTTCAGCAGGTCGCCGATAGGCTCACACTTCCCGTACTGTCAGTTTTGAAGGTTTCGTGTGCCGAAAAAGGCAACGAAGAGACCGAGGCGGTTTTTACCTCGATATGCCATCTCCTTCTGCGTTCTCATTCTCCAATCACCGTTTTTCATTTTAATCATTGCCGAGCGCTATCGGGAGACTTATTACAACTCTTTCGCTCTGCGCACACCCTTGAAGATGTTCGGTTGCTACGCACGAATAGTGATTTCGTCGGTGCAGAAATCATACAAGAGCTCATTGTGGATCATTCCTCCTCCAAAGATCTGGTGTTGCCGCGCTTGCACACTCTCTATATTTCGGGGACCAGGGCTTCACGGAAAGACCTCATCCGCATGGTCAAGTCCCGCTGGGGTAGTGGGGAACAGGCGCAGGGCGTTGAACGTCTACTAACACTCAAGTTGTACGGGAGATACATAAAAGCGGATTGTCTTCAGCAAGAAATATCGTCCCATCTCAAGATGTGCATGGCAGGAGGATTTTCTCTCGAGATAGTTCCATATATGCCGAAATGATAGATGTATAACGATAGAAACATGGCTTTTCTCAATATGTGTTTAGATTTTCTGCAGTGCTTATTATTTATGTAAACAGCATGCGAGCTTCAATTGGAGAATTGGGTGATTTGTATCTCGGAGCCTCCAAGACCAGCCCGCTCGCCCTTTGGATCAATCGATGCCGTGGATGCCGTTCAAGCAGCTTCGAAATGTAAACACAAAAAAGGTTAGCCGAGCTATCGATCAGACGAAACTCGACTTTCTTGCACATTGCCACTTTCACTTGAAGTTGATTTTCTCTTCGGTGTTGATGGAAGAGAATAAATACCCATCCCCTCTCACCGAGAAAAGTCTCTGCACACGTGCTTTCAGAGAGAATGAGGCGCGTTTAAGCTTCCGTTCATCCTCTGGATTTCCATTTTGACACTGCATAGAATGAAAGGCAATCCAAATGTTTATCCGACTTGGAAAAACGCAACGAGAAAGTAGTATCACTAGAAGGGCTGGAGTTAGAAGTGACAAAGGTGCCGAGGATGAGAGAGGATGCCGACTATGCTGAGGTTCACCAGAAGGACTACGAGTTGACTCTGGATCCTACGAGGATATTGGATCAGCTCAATGATGATACTCAACTTCGCCTTGATGATAATCGCATCCGAGACCTTCTCGACGATCCAATTGAACTAGAAATGCATTCCTTGCCGCCATCCGTGCGTCCGTATTCTTAATGACCGGCCTGGAGACTGATTAGTGGTGTTCAAGCCTTCACACCTTGTGGACGCTTCTCAATTCTTTGCTATCATCATCGGAATTGATGCGTATGGATCATATCCTCTGCGCGGTTGCGTTTCAGATGCGCTATTAATGGAGAAATACTTGACAGAGGATCTCGGTGTGCCCGGAAATCATATTCAGCTTCTACTCGGATCAGGAGAGCATACCTCCCCCGACGATCAAATGAACCCGTCGCGCGCCAACATCATCAACGCGCTTACCAGCCTCGCCGCCAACGACGAGGTCAAATTTGGCGATATCATCATCATCTATTTTGCTGGACACGGTTCTTCCTACCCTCCCTCGGAGGACGGTGTCACATATGGAGTCATCGAGACACTGTGCCCCCTCGATCGTGACTCCCTCGATGCCTACGGAAAACCCATCCCTGACATTAGTGACCGCGAATTCAATACTATCCTATCCCGAATCGCCGAAGCTAAGGGTCACCGAATCACCGTCATTCTTGACTGTTGTCACCATAGTGGTGCCAGCCGATGTTTACCAGAGGCGGGATCGCGCACTCTCCCTCCAATGCTAAGTGTTACGCTTCAAGATATGCTCCTTGCCGGAGAGAATAATCTGAAATATTATCCCAGCTATCGCTCCATTTTAGCGAAGGACTGGTATCCGGATACGGAGTCCCACGTTCTCCTGGCGGCGTGTAAAGATTACCAGTTTGCAAAGGAGAAGAAGGTGAATATAGACAACGGCACAAGATACAATGGAATTTTCACAGATGCGCTTGCGCGTGCTCTCCGGTCCAGCAACTGGAACAAGGAGATGACGTACACTGATCTTGTGCGTTATTTGGGCAAGACATCTCAACAGACACCTGTCGCTGCTGGAAAACGCAGGGGCGCGCGCATCTGGTATCAGGAGTGAAGGTATCATGCGCCGCTCGCTTTGTGTGTCCACGATACACAGTGAATCGCTTCAATTTTTATTTTGTGCTTTGTTCGCTTGATTTCTGCGTGCTTTCTGCGTGCTTTCTGTGCTTTGACGTAGGGTACTGTGCCATATGCGCAACACACTTTGTATCACTCACTATTCGTGTCACAATTTCTTTTTAGCTACCTACTAGTATTTCAAGTCATTTGAACGATGTCGGGTGTTTGCTTTTCGATGATCAGCTTGTGTCTGGAGCCTAAGCTTCTACAGTGTGCATCAGGGAGGCGATGCTGTACTGATGTCTCCGTTGCCAGCAATATTCCTCTTGTCTTTTGTTAATAAACTTTCTTATTGTGTCCGCAACATAGCAATAGCACAATGGCGACCAAAGTTCGACACATTCTGACCTGGCCAGATTTGGGCATCACCGCCATGGAATGATCCCGAACTTACATTGACCTCGAAGTTTTCCGATTTTCGCGGCGGAGATTCTAGCTGATATCAGTACTCTTCGGGGCACAGAATGGACTGTAATCGAGGCATGAAATAGTAGTGCCTTTATCGGTTACCCCATTGGTCATTCGCCTGCAACGTTGACAGACTAGGGTACTTACGTGTTTACCCAACTTCCGAAAATGCGCAGATGATATACACGTCGTGATATGGCCTGCTTCGGTCCATCAATATTATACGTCTCATGAATCATCAGGTAGATGGCTTCATGACGATTTTGAATAATCGATAATTATTTTACAGACAACCTTCGTAGTCCCTGTTTCAACTTTCCGGGAGATTCTAGGAGGAAGAGTCTTAGTTTCATAGATTTGATAAACGAGATATGTTGCTCTATTATCTATCATGCTTACCAAAAGTATCCGGTTGCTCGCGCTTATTGGTCGCTTCAAAGGTTCACTTCGTCTTTGATGTATCATTTGGCATCTGGTATGTTTATCCTTAAAGGGCGGCTTTGGACATCATGAAACTCATCTTCCATGGAAACAGATCAGATAATTGGTCAGGGTAAGATTAGATGTTGCTCTAGAAACGACTGCGGTGCGGGTGTACCTGGTCATATACCCCACTCCCCGCAATGAGCTCATTGTCGGCCCACCTACAAGGTAGACGGAGAAAAGAAGCCAGTCTTCGCATGGCTCAAATAAATGATAACGAGTGAAACGAATCCTTCGTGTCATACAACGGCGATACATGACTCTCGCGCAGAAACCACTTTCTCACTATTGCGAGACCCTCCCCAGCCCCACGAGTAATGCGAGCAGCCGGATATCAATTTCAGGCAACCACGGAAAATTATCGTCGCGCTCCACACACGCGCCCACACACGACCCTGCTCAGAGTCATAGCACTCGTATAAATTCACCAGTTCAACACATCATCATTATCAGCCTCACGATGTTCTTCCGCGCCTTGACTGCACTTTTAGCTGCCGCCGCTGCCACATCGTCACCACTGGCAGCTCGTGATGCCGGTCCTGAATGCACCATCGTCGTCACCCCAAAAGACTCCAGCTATGCTGCCGGAGCTGCGAACCAGTTGACCTATGGTTCGTCCTCCAAATGGGTCTTCTATGACACGATCAGTTATAACCATTACTGTCCAGGTTTCCTGTACCGGTTCGGACAATCGACCTATCCAGATGGAACGAGCGTCACTAGTACCTCTGTAAGCCCGGTCCACCGCTGTAACCGTCCCGCTGACGCTTTACACGTAGCTCGCCTACGGCCCATCCGTAAGCTCGAACGGCGACGGAACCTACACCGCCGTTACCGTTATCACTGCGACGGGTCTGACTTCAGATCAAATCGCGACGATCATCGAGGAGCAATGGCCAGAGACGTGGGTTTGGGGAGATTCCAACCCCGGATATGACTGGTACATGAACAGCACGGCGTGTTAAAGGATAAACAAGGGATAAATGTCGCTATGAGTCCTAGTCTTTTCTTTGAATGCGGTGAATGAAAGGCGTTCTTGAAATAATATTTCCGTGATCAATAGCACCAGACAAATGATTGAATATGTGCTCCTCGACTGCCTTCTGACATGTTCGTCCTTTCGAGAAAAAAGAGTTTGCGGCAAGTTCCAAAACAATTCTTTCTTCCCGTCTTCCGCGGCATCCCGGCCCGCCTGTAGGTCAAATTCGAAATATGACCAGCGCGACCCTCAACCAAACCTCCAGCCCCCGCTGTCCTTCTTCGAGAATCTCCACATCAACTGGTCCTTCCAGCCCTTCTCCTTCCACCCATTCACACTGGCCGGAAATTCCTCCACTACACCAGGTGCAGTCCCGTCCTGTGCAATAATCATCAAGCATCCGGGTCCACATCAAGACGTGACAAACGCCCTAGCGACCATATCGTCGCCTCGCAATCCTTGTACACCGAATGTACAAGTGGTGGAAGGATCTTTAGAAGAGGCTCGGGCGCGATTTTAGGGAAGTGGGATTTACAGAGGGAGCGTGTCGCAGTTTGAAGGAGTGACGCAGGGCAGGGACAGGGGGAATGGTGGTGTGCTGTGGGACGGATATCGTCAACATGGTGGCAGCAATCGCCTCCAAGTAAGGGGAATGTCGTCGGTGTTACGCGTGCGAGGCCGGAGATTGGCCTGGGTGATACTGGTGGACCGTCAGTACAAACCGAGGTGAAGTTGAAGCATAGAACTTACGCCGGGGTTATCAATAATATAAAAGCTTCCATTACCAAAGTAGTTGCACTGGAGGACGAGAGTTCGTTCCCTTCACGCCCACTGTTAGTCATGAGATTTTAGTATAGATCTTGGAATCGCAGGAGAATGAACTAACGCGGTATCGCTTTCGATAAGTTGTGCGTCCTCGTGATCAGGAAACATCCTAAGGTCCGTTCCGGGTCCAACCACCAGCTCCGTAGTCGATGGGAACGTTGGTATATCAACTATGAAATGGAACTGTAAGTTTTTCCTCGCGTAACTGAAGAATGAAGGTGTAGGCATACCGATATGTTCAAAATGGGGAAGTCTATATAAGGAAGTGCATTAGCAAGGACGCAGATAGGGCCAAGACAGAGGCCTCACCTCCAAGTGATAGCATTTACGCTGTCAAAATCCACTCCTCCCTTCACAAACTGCTCACCGACCATTTCACCCTCATCAGTGCCCATATCATACGGTCAGCCGACATGGCGTCGGCTCGCAGAGTCTTAGAGATAGAATGGATCGATGGAGGAAGACCAACTGTGACAAAGGCATCTACTTGCCCTAAACCGTCACGTGTTCCGGGCCGGTTCCGCCTTGGTCTCGTCTACGCTCCCAGCTTGCTCCCAGCGTATCTGTAATACTCAAACTGACGAGACATGCGGTCCCCGATTCTTTCCGAAAGTAGAGAGGAATAGAGTGTGTGTTATCAACCGTTTGCCCACCATAGACCGTGGGCAGGGGCTATGTGGTCTTGCTTGCTTTTGCGTACTTGTGCTTCCGAACCAAACTCTGGGGTGTTTGGGGCATCGACCAATAACTCTGCTCCTTGGCGATGATCTATTTTCAGGACCCCGCTATCCTCGCTTTTTCTTTTTCGTTTGGCGAGGATTTACAAGATGAGCATCCCCCATGTTCTCCGAGAGTTAGGTTACACGACTTGTGGGGAGGAGCTTGTCTCCAACTTCGCTGCTCTCTTAAAACGGTAGTGGTTGCCGTGGGTCCTAAATACATCATCTTCTTTCGCTGACTATACGTGCAGCGTGTCCTGGTTCGCGGGATCAGTTTGCTTCTTTTTCCTGTCCCCAATTTTGACACTTAGTGATCTACAGGGTCGGATATCTCTCGGAACAGAATACAACCGCTCTTTTGTTTTTTCATTGGCCTGCTCTCCTCGTTGCCAACTATTATATTTAGGGCATCCCATTCGAGTTGGATGACATACTCTCCTTGTTGCGGCGGCGGCTTACAGTCGTATCAACGGTGAATGCTGTAAGCTATGGATATAACGAGCTGCGACGTCTTCGTGCCATTCATTCAGCAAAGTCCTCGGCATTGGAGAGGTTTGCACGGTCGCGGCAGCAGTCTGACGAATCGATGGCCCGTTCTCTAGCCGGATTAAGATTTTCTTCCCTTTCCATTGATTCTGGTGGGAATGAGAATCATTTCGCAAGAACCACTGGTGAGAAAATAGTCTCTTGCATTCATTTCATACTAGACATCTGACCTGAAGCGTTCAGAACGGTTCCGGTCCCTCATTGTCAACTCCGCGAACGAAAATCACGCCATCGGATGCCCGACCCAGGACATGTGTACTGGTTTACCGACGTCTATTTCGAGATGTAGACGTCACCTCTGGTTCTGGACATAATTTAGTCAGACCCAGACTGAATTAGGCTACAGTTGAAGACTTTACGACTCTTCCATCTTTCTAATCCTCTTCATATTGGAGCCGGTGACATGGGCATACTATCTTTGGGACTCACGACCGGGGAATATTCAAATTGATGAGAAAGGCGGCTTGTCAGAGGTTGGCCAAAATTGGGTTGCGTAGATCGAGATAGAGGTGTTGAGGTACAGTAGGCCCATTGTGAATGTCCAAGTTGACCCTTCCCCTCATTCGTGGTCGTTTACGAAGCCACTTGCGCTCCCGGTGTGATGATGGTTAGACCCGATATTTCCAATGTCGGGCTTTAATTTGTGGGGACTACTTTTTTTTTTCACTAACCGTCACGGCGACGACGTCGTCGTCCAAACTGTTCGACGCATACGCCCATTTACCGGGAAATAGAGTCGGCTCATCCGTTGGAATATTTTTGTTACTCGCTTGGACGATATCCTCCTGGCTAGTTGCCATCAAGCGCGGCTTAGGATCGAATTGGCTCCGTTCCTTTTCCGGGAACTCTATTGTCGGCGGAGGAGTGGACTCCCTTCCGTTGGAGCTCCTCATCCAACGCTGTTGCGCCCTGAGGATACCGCCGGACCTTTCCAGCAAGTGCGCTAGAGTTCAGACGCTACTGGACCGCCCCCCCGCCTTGCGCCCAAGTCACTCGCGCTCAGAAATTCCTCGACCTTATACGCCTTCGCCAATCTTTATTCCCGTTCCTCTTTCCAGTAGGGGGCACCAGGAGGGGGGCTACAGTGTAACCCCGGATTCTCTCGCTGCGAAAGAAGGTGCGTCTTCATGTGCTCCTAACTTTGGGGATAAAGGCCCATTCATCTCATTTTGCAGAAGGCGCGCCCTCTTTATGCGCATCGGGGAGGAGGAGGAGGGTGCTCTTCGAACCAAAGGGAGACGGCAATGCTATCGGATCACAAATGATGCATCAGGTTCGTCATATGAAGCTGGAAGGTGCTCAAAAGTGCCGGGGTCAGGATATTTGCGATAGGCTACTTGAATGGGGCCTCTAATCCATCCTTTCAGCTTTATCGCATTGACAGGCAGGATGAAAGACTCTCAAGCTCCAACAGACCAAGTCGGAAAAGAGGATACATGATTTATTGGAGAATAGACTCGTGGAGTAACTGCACGGTAATATCCCGTTTACGTCTGTGCAGTCGGCTGATATGCTGGACAGACAGGACTCGCTGAAAACCTGAGCTATTCAGGTTAGAAAAGAATAAATCAGGGAAGACCCTATCTCTGAAATACCAAGACTCGGAGTTGTTGAAGTCCTTACACCCGCATAAGACCACTACGAAACTCGGGCGGGGTCCTGTGGTCTTGAGGCCTGAACCCCGGGCCCTGGCTGTTGCCCGTATCGATTATTGCACATTACATTGTGAGGCGACACTCGGCATTGCGGCAACTTTGTGTCGTTGAGGCGGTCCTCATGGCAGCAACAGCAACTGGAGCTTCAACAGTAATGTGGCGCGACGCGTTCTAGCGCCTCCCTCGTTCGCGTGGGACGGATTACCATCGACACGAAGTAGACGATATCTGAAACTGCTTAACGAATGATCGGAATTTAAGAATGATACAACGGTAGACTCTCTATTTCTTATTTGTTCTGGTCGCCTTGCCATGACCGCAAGCTTGTCGCCCCAGAGTTTTTAGCACCGTCTACCCGTTTCATGCGATTATTCTGGTAGTATTCTTGGCTCCATCAGACGTTCGATATATCGGATCCAGTTCGTTGTTGATCGGAGTAATGATTCCAATAGTACGGCACCGGTACGTTTATCATGTCATATTTCATGATAATTTGCTTCTTGTTAGGCTTACCCGTTTGTGGAAGTCTGAAGGCCTGGCGTCAAGAAACCAGCGTCTTCATTGAGGTTTAGCGTTACTAATATCCGTTATTCCAAGTTCTTGGTCAACCTCTTGATGTCAGTGCGCCCTCGCTCCGCATCATATCGATCACCTCGTACATGCAGCTGGCGCATCGTCTCTTATAGAAACATCGCGGATCTTCCCTCGACCCTGACAAAGTACGCATCACAGATCCCGAGCGATGGTGATGATACTCTAGGTCGGTCTATCTATGGGCATCCAAGGAAACCTTGTGAAGTGTACAACTGTCAAGGGTCGGAGGCGGAGGTCCTTGGATTTCTCAGCGCTCATTTGCGCCCTGTAAACGGAAGTTCGGATGAGTCAGAGTTGATTAAGCCGCTTTCATTACCGTCATTACCGTTACTGAAGCGGCTTTTCAATTGAATGCGGTAATTATTGATACCCTGGCGATTCATAAAACCTTCTTCCTCCTAGATGATGTCAATAATTTGTGATTCCCAACACGAGGCAGTTTCCGAGGGTACTTCTCCGGGATTGCCTAAGCTGAAAGGTATGTGAGAGTGAAAGGCGAAGAAGGGGCGGCGTCTTTTGACTGTGGCCGAATTCCCCACGACATCCAGGGAAGAGAATCTGTGCCCAGATCTTTTACTACGCCTATCGTAGGTCATGAGAAGCCCAGCTGCAGTAGCTGGCATGATGTTGCATCATGCCAGTCTTACTTTGACACTGCACTTTGGCGTTTTTCGCACTCGCCGCGATGGAACTCTGATGGTCCAAGTTGGCCGTCTTTGAATAGAGAAAGCATCGTTATTTATTTAATGGATGTACTCCGCAGTTTACTATACATCTTACCTACGTATCCAACTTACTGTTTTCCTTCGAAGAAACGCATCATTACTGATAGTACAGGATCGAGGAGCGGTGAGAGGCTCCTTACGTTCGCAGGACAGCGGCGATCAATATTAGGGCGAAGTGCCTTTATCGGTGAACTTCGCCTGATGGATGGGGTACGAGAGGTTAACGGGCACAGATAAAATATGTATATTACACTGTCAAAACGAGGCGAAAAGAGGGATATGTGGACGTAGGGAATAATGCAGACGACATTCGTTAGAAAAGGGACGCCCGCGATAGGCACCGTGATCGGGGATAAATACAAACAAACACGGGAATTGCCGAATCCAGTGAAGGAATCAAGCAGTCGGAGTTTACCACCACATTTAACTTGCCATGAATCTGGCCTTCTCTTCGTCCTACATCGTCCCCGCCGTCTTTATCCATGCAGCATGCCCACCCTTCTCTCTTTACCAGCAGAACTCATCGAGGAAACTGCGCTCTATGTTGCTTGTTCGACGTTGGAAGGCCGTCCGAATTCTATTCGTTCATTTCGTCTGACATGCAAGGCCATTAACAATGTCTTTTTGTATTCAAATGCTATCCACAGGTCGATTTTCAAGAGGAAATTTAGTCACAGCGCCGTAGCTAGGCGATCGTTCGAGCCCACGTCGAAAGAATATCGCCAGCTGCTTCAACTGTACGACGACAGTCTGCAGTTTATCGAGGAGCGACGGGGCCTCGATGGGAGGGAACCTGTGGATGCTGATCATATGTCGACAGAAGAGGTCCTCTGGGTGCTGACGTTCATGTGTTTGGATGACGACGGTGCCAACACCCTCCAGCTGAACACCGTCGGTGCGTACGAATGGATTCACGAACTCGTCACCAAGCGTTTGTATGACGGTGCGAGTGATAATGGTGGATGGCCGCTCGACAACTGCAAGAATTCGTTGGCATTATGGGTGTTCTGGTCCCTGTCGACTAAAGGTATGTTTCTTGCGATATCGAACTCTTTTTTCCCCTGATGTTGTTATATATAGAGCGAATCCTATCTGAACCAGAAGATGTTTCTGACAGAATTGTCAACTTAATCCTTCCCTTCGTTACCATCCCCTTCCGGTACGCCATGGCCTTTGCGCCCCCCAATCATTTTACCCTCCCACTGGTTTCCCAGTCTGCCGACTTCTCCAATGCTAATGCCAGTGCCCGTATACCCTTCCGTACACGCCAAACGCACCTTCTCTCCGTTCTTACTCCCCATGGCCCCTTCCCCATCTACCGTTCTACGGACCCGATTTGGCTCCAGGTGTACTTTACCAGGCGCATAGAGATAACATGGCCCCTCATCACTGCAGCGGCAAAGTTGCTATACTTTGCGAGGAGGGAGAGGTACGCGTTGGGCATGATACCTACTCTTCCTAGAGATCGCACAGATGCTATACAGAGGAGAATGACAGGCGTCACGCAGGCCGATATCATCGAGATCAACCGGAATCGATGGGGTGGTCCCAACGGCAAGGACGGCGGCACGAAATTGCCTGACACCGTCACCAGTGTCGGTCCTGATGGCATTGATGAACGGTTGCAAGCCAGCAGGCTGTATGATGCAGACTGGTATCGGTTGCGGTTATGTGGGAACGTCTGGAATAACAGTCATGGAGATGACGATGAGATCTGGAGACGCGTCAAGCTTGGCAAGAATATGCTTGTCCGACGTGGGAGTGGGACTCGCAGGTTAAAGTTTCGACGCGGGGACGTATACACGCTTGGCTCGTTAACCGGATTGTGGGCCGGACGTATGTTGGTAGGTGTTCATTTCGTCCGTTTGTGGTTGGGGCTGGTGTACCTCTTGAAACGACAAAGAAACCCACAGTTTGCTTTACTGACCCGTCGCTTTTCAGATTCCAAACGAACAGGCGCTCGCTCAACTTCTGATGATCCAGAACCCGAATCCCCACCAGCACAATGGCCATCCTGTACCTTTGCCTGCAGGTTTCGACGAAATGCTGCTGTCGCTCACGAGGCGACCGATGTATATGAGGTTACAAGAGTTCGTATCGTATGCCGGTGGCGATGTCGTTCCTTCTGGTGCACGGGGACCACAGCCACTGTCCTTTTACGAAGATGCTGAGGGAGATGAAGAGGAGGAAGAGGATGAAGACGCGGATGACTCGCCCGTTCCCGAGATCACCGACCAGCGGCTCCTCGAAGAGTTCGACCAGGGCCTACAGAATGCCTATTTCCCTGACGGCGTCACGGAGGAATCCTTCAAGGGCACGTATGATGGTACCGGCATGCGTATGAATTGCGGTGGGGAGGAGTATGTCTACCATAAATTGGGAGGTACGCAGCACGATCCTGATTCATGTGTGGGGTGTGCGATGAGGGAGAAGCAGAGGATGCCTGCGTGGGCGGAGGAGGAGCACCCGGCGGATACGGTCCTTCTGCCTCCTTGTACTGGTGTGCAAGACGTGATTGTGACGGGTTCGACGGATGATAGACACGGTCAGGCGTGGAATCATTATACGTACTACGGTCGCGTGCGGCGGTGGGATGGGATGATTGGGATTCTGAGGGTCTCGCGAGATAGAGGGCTGGGCAAGTGGTTCTTCTATGGATATATTGTGGGTGGGAAGAACTTTGTTGGGAACTGGAGGATTACGCATGAGGATCCGGGGATGCCGACGGTTGAAGGAGCTTTTTGTTTATCAAAGGTGACGGAGGAGTGATTGAATATTGAGTATTTACTATATACCCTGTGAACTTTGGAGACCTGTTGTTGTAATTTTTATTGTACTGATTTTGTTTTAATGCTATTGAAAGCATTGGCTATTTTGTATCAGCATAATCTGGATGGCAAGCTGCTTATGATACCCATTTTTGAAAGAACACGAGAACTCGTGAGGGAAGATTTGCACGTGTTACGATGTATTTCGACCTCGGTGGGATACTTGACTGACAACGCCGAGGTACGAAATTTTATTATTACCGTGTACATCAGCAGGTCAAAGACTCAAAGATTCTGGGTTTCGGTTAATGGAATCTGGAAGCGGAGTTGGTATCCGATTCATTCACCGCCGGCGCGGGATCATGAGTTGAGTATTACCCTGAATATCAATAAGGTCGGAGTGTTCACGATGATGGCGGTTAGAATTTGTCTTTCCGGCGGCTGCTCTGAACCGCGGGCGGCTGGCCGCTGGATGTTACCCTGACGCTTATCATTATGGCTGTCAAACTTGTGTATAGGGTGGTACTGAGGTGTGTAGATAGAGAAAAGTTAAGCGCTCCGAGGCGGAGAAGGCTTCGCGTTGACGTCTTTCCATGGAATCCAAGGCCTCTTCCCGCAACCATCTTATCGTGTAGGTGTGAGGTTCCCGCGAGCCTAGATCAGCACGTAAAAACGTTTGCTACGCGACTAAAAAGTCCATTTACACGCTTCGCGGCCCCAGTTTCCCCCATATTTTTAGCTGTGCGACATGGATGTTCCTGGTTCGCAAAGTTCCTCTCTAAGTCCTGGTGACCCTGACCACGGATGTTAGTTGCTCCACAGAAAATGAGAACGAAACTCCGCGAGCGCGGACGTTTAACGGGACCGATGTTGTGGTATGAACGGAGAATGTACAGGGCCTGAGAACGTAGTTACTTCAGATACCGCAGAGGATCTTTGATTGTAAGAGCGTGTGAGACGGGGAGGTTCTGTGGAGTTATTTTTGTACCAACGGTTAACAAAATGCCGGTAGAATTTACGGGAACGGAGGGCTGAGATGTCGTACAATGCTGTCAGAGGAAGTCCGATAGATTCCCCACTTCTCCGTAACATATTTTACGGCCCTGGAATACACGAAGTAATGAACTTCTCGATCCGAGGCACATGATGAGTCGCTCGCCGTGAATATGAGAGAAGGCCGAAGGAAGATAGGGTAAACAGAATACTAAGTGGCGTGGTTATCGAAGGCACAACGACCACATGACATAGGTGCAATGATTTCTGATTAGTATCCAAATGAACCATTGGTACAATTTGTGGCTACTCCTTCTTGGGCTTTGGCTTCTTTCCCCCCAGAGAGTACCATATGGTCCCTAAGAGAACCATAGCCGCACCGGCCCACAAAAGATGCATATCAACGTTGTTAGTCGTCTGGCGCATCGCTATGCTCAGAACAAGGCTAACAGCTTTGTGGACAACAAGAACGAGTCAACCTTTCCTGTCTGTCTTGTACACAAATCCCTGTAACTACAGGGGAGCTATTTGTGTGTACAGGTCAGTAAATGATGCCGTGCATGTTCTTGTAGTGGTGTAATCAACCTGTGACACCTCTTGTGACTACCTGGTGCATGATCCTGGGAGCAGTTGAGCTCATTGTCACCTTTGATGAGCTAAGTCCCTTTGACGCTGCGCTCGATGACAAAATCAAGCCTCCCCGACCCCTGCCTAGTTTGGATTTCATATCGAGATTATCTGTCATCGTCTATTGAGATTAGGTGATCGGTACTAGAGACAGGAAGTTGAACAATGATGATGGCATTCATCAGGCACACCTATTCTTGCATCTCTGCTTTTGGCACATGTCATTGGTATGCTCCGTCTTCCATGTCTACTTTTTGTTGTTCCATAAACTCCATTTTATTTCAATTCGCCATGCTTCAAGCCTTGCTTTGCATCATTTTTACCACTTCAAAAGCTTCAATCAACATTGGCTGCTGTGTTGAATTACATCTGATGGGTGTCAGGAATTATCAGGCAAATGAGGGAGAATGATCACCAATTACAGTCAACAAAACATTGTAAACAAGGAGATTGTAGGTTCAACTCTTGACAGAATAATTCTTCACTGCACATACCAGGCGCCTGTATATACCGTCCCCTCCTTACCGGTGCACAAGAGAGAATGAGGTAGGCATAGGTACACGCACCATTCCTGATCTGTGCACAGGACTGGATAGTGCTATCATGAGCTGAGAGGTACACATACGTCGATGCTGAGCTGTGCACAAGAGAGAGCGAGTATGCATATGCCTACTGAATAAGTAAGGCTGGCAAGCGGCAACACCTGCTACCTTGTTTCAGGTCTGTTAGCCGGAAATTTCCATAGTAGCCACTTCTACAGACTTACTTATATCTGACTGAATTTTTTCCGCATTTGACTAGGATTTTTAGAGGCCATTCTGATGTGTAGCAAGTAGAATACAGTGCATATAGCATGTAGATACCTATGCTAAATAAGGACAAATGAAGTAACATCAAGAAAATCATGTGTGTCATGCAAGCGCCCTCTTCCACCACCTCAGTCACCAGACAGCCTCACACATGCATATCTTCAAGACATCCTATCAAGTAAGTTACCTTTTTCCGTTTCTTGATGTGTTTGCTTACTGGGGTTCAACAGCAAACTCACAAAAATGTCTCTCAAGTCCAAAATCAAGCAGCGCTGGCAGTAAGTCATTGGGCCCTGGCAAGGATGAATGCAGACTGATGGGGGATATAGAAGTGTCGTTGCGATGATGAGACGGATCATCAATCGTTTTAGAGGGGAGAGGAGTGCATAACAGTTCGTGCTCCATCGAATTTCTACTAATTTCTTGCAGATCTTACCCGCGAATGGGACTCTAGGTCCCCATACCAAGTTTTCAGACAACAGCGAGGACTTGCGATGTTCTTGGAATCACAATCGGAAGGAGATTCGGACACCGAGGTCGAAGACTAGCAGGAGGACGTTGAGGTTCCTCATTCTGTAGGGCATTGAGGTTCATTCACATGGGGAATCTATGTCCAAAAATGTCTAAGTCCCTCAGGTTCATAAATCATGTAATCTCAGACAACGTACAAATTTTTTGCTGATTTTTCGAGATTTTTTTGGATTTTTTTGAAGCGAAACGGTGGTTTCGCAATGTGTTATGGCCATAGGCGCCGAGCATCTAGCGTGACGATGGGCACTAAACCCGAAAAAGGAATGTGGCAGTGCCCACACCAACCGTGGGTGCTGACTACCATATCAGGGTTGAGTCAGGAGATGAAGAAAAAAATTTGTATCAACCGGTATTCTAGCATGTGCTGAGATGCCGGAGTCAGCCGGCACCTCGGCACCTTGGGAAAATCCGAACAAAAATCCATCAATTCTGTAAATTGCCTGGAGTGAGTCAGTGTCAGGAAGTTGCTTAGCTGTGTAACAAAGGGATACATACCTTTTGTGTTGTTATGAACAACAAGTTATAGGCCATTAGAGAGAGGCGACGATAGTAATGTTTTGCTGTGCAGTGCATACACTCATGCTGTCCGCAAGGATGTGTAGGCAGTGGATGAGTCTTGTAGTATGGGTAGAATGTGTTGAATGTCAGGAGCATATGGCATGTCCTTATAAACATTTGAGTCATCATCGCAATGGGAAAAAAAGGACTCACCCATTCAAGTATGTCGTATAAGAGATGGTTTTTTTGCGCAGACGTGGTCAGTCTGTAGTGCGTTACCACGAGCAGCCTATATGGTCTCAGATCCAGGGAGCAACGATGCATGGATAATCAGTGAGCAACACTGGGGGTCAGGATTCTAGCAGGTTCTGGCATGCACAAGCATGCAGATATGAATGAACTGATGATGACAATTGTATAGTCAGGAATGGTCTTCAACTTGTTCAACTTTATACCACTAGCACAAGCATACAGGCATGAATGAAATAAGAATGTCCAGATGGAACTTGCACTGAGGACAAGAGTTATACGAATGTGACGTGGCATGCTCAGGACACTCACTAGGAGACAGCATCCGCAACATTCCATTTTTTTTCTTCCGCTCTTTTCACAGTGACCACCAAGAATCAAGAATGCGAAAAAAAAGTTGAAAGAGCCGAAGCATGCATAAAGGATGACTGCATAGGAACTGAGAGAGAGGGGATCCTGTGACTGTGACATGGCATATGACATGCATTACAGAAACTGTCATTGAGTATATATATGTATGGGGGTATACATTTTTTTCGGTGAAAGGTGCATCCATCTACCAGTAATCTATCATGTAAAATAAAAGCTGGGAATATACAATAGTAAATAAAATAACAATATACAGTGCAAATGAATGATCTACAGGAAATAAACATATCATACACGAGAATGCAACACAACAATATACAGTCAAAAGACCGGCGGAAAGCAATACAGATAATGCATAACAAGAAGATAGGAGTAAACATCAATTCACACACAAGAAACAATGCCCAAAGTGTTCAAACCTTTGCATGCTTTGCATTTCCCTCTTGGACATCGTCACTTGGACGCTTCTGTCCCTGTTTGCGTTCTGGATGAAGAATGATGTCAATAGTCTTTGTGATGTCATGGACCATGCCCAGCCAAGTATCCTCTAAGCTTTGACGACCATGTGCCCACCAATATAAGCCAAGGATAATGGTCACCAGTCCATGCTGACCTCCCTTTCGCAGTGCCAGCAATGATTTGCTAGTATAGTCGGGTCTTGGTAGACCACCAGTCAACGAGCGTCACCAGCTAGGATTAAGTTGGTTCCATCAATCGATCATCTCAGACACGAATTGAGAGTAGTCTTTGACGACTGGTGGAAGATCAAAATAGCATGCACCGTTGAGCCACAGAGTAAGGGGATGCAGGCATCGCCTCAATACCATTAGCTTTCCCTAGAAAAAAAGACTTTATGTCAGCTTGATGTATGATAGACCAACGTAATGAAACCATACCACAGGATCGACATCTGAGCTCCAGATGTCGCACTCAAGCTGCCTCCACTTATCAAGAAGATCTGCCCACGCTGGGCTGAGAGATTCATCTTCCATCTGCAGCCTTGCCTCGGCAATCCACCTGGGTGGACCATGCACTTTCTCTGTCACAGAGAGAGTCATCACCTCCTTGGGGCCTGGGTGCTTGCATTGTCTGGACAGACATGATAGGTTGGAAACATCTGGCAGTGGGTCTGGGATTGATGTTGACATGGAAATGGAGGAGGTAGTAGAAGTCGTCTTCGACGGAACCACCGTTTTCATCGCTACATGCTTGGGAACAGAAGAGAAGGATATGTTGGACAAATCTGCTGTTCCTGAGACTGTTTCCATAGTTACGAGATCATCCGTCGAACTGGATACATTGATGCTAAAGCTTGAGGGTGGGGGCACAGCGTTTGAAGTGGGGATAACTTCATCTATCGAGGGTGAAGGCAGCATGGGCGAGGGCACAGCATTCGAAGTGGGGATAACTCCGTCAATAGAGGGTGAAGGCAGCACAGGCAGGGATGCTGGATTTGAGGAGATGACTCTGCTAGCATCTAATTTGCTACCAAACAGTGTGGTCCAATCCATGGCTGACCAATCCAGCCCATCAAAAGCCGAGTCGTCAAATGGCTCTGAGAAGTCAAACATCTGGGAGGAGGAGAGACTATCCAACGAAGAAGGCAAATTGTTGGAGAAGGGATACATTCCAGGTAATGATAAGTTAGACTGAGTCGAAGATTGGTCCAGTGCACCAAATACATCATCAAGAGGATGATCTGACAATAGAAGACTATCAGCGATGTCCTGACATGCAAATGAAGCAGTTGGTATACTGATGGACATTGATGATGTTGGAATCTGTGGGAAAGGCTGGGAAAGCAGTCCTGAAGGGGGAGGGCTCGAGTTTTGAACTGGAGGCAGCGGGAGAGACTGTTCCTTGGAAAATAGCGGGGCATTAGCTGACAGAGAAGCTGATTCTTGATGTGGCAGTAACTGGGAGAGATCATTATTGATCTGAACTGGCAAAGGGGCACAGTTCTGATCTGGAGGCGATGCTGGAACCGGCTGCTTAGGAACCGGCAAGGGGGCGGAGCTCTGATCTGGAAGTGGTTGCTCAGCTTTGGAGAGAAGAGACAGCTGCTCTGGTAGCACGGACGAAAGTGGTTCCTCGAACAGGGCTACAGGGTCAAAGCTGAGAGGGGCCTGGACAATGACCTGGGTTTCTTTGGTGGTCTTGCCAGAAGCCACAGTTTCTCCTTCAAGACCTTATGAATGACAAGAGGAAGAATAGATAATAAGAAACGTACAATTTAATTTTTTCATGTGATGCATGAACGGTATGCTGTAGTACTCGGAAAAGCTGCGGCGGTCACCCGGAATTGTGCCAGAGGTGTATCCAACTGCAGCATTTTCGTTGAATGATTTGATGAAGTCCTTACCATTAGTGCCCTTACAGCAAAAGTTGTGTCTAGACAAAACTCAAAATCAGAACAAAGTGGCCAAAAAATATTATAACACTTACCCTGTGGTTCGAACTCTGCCACTCTGTGGGTCGTAACCTCCAGCTATCACAACGAATCCCCAACCAATAAACTTGTTGATATGCTCAAAGATAGATGTGAGCTCATACTGAAGACTTTCGATGATTCTGTAGAGACATACAGTTAGTACCAGCGTTTACAGAAACATAGAAAAAATGGACGTTATCTTGTCAGCATCTGAAACATTAATGTCTAACGTGCTGTCCTTCATCGCTGCAATCAACTCCTTGTCCTTCTTGATGGCATCCATAACCGACTTCTTAATCTCCTCCGACTCGTTAGCCCAAGCATGCGCTGTCATTTCCTTCACAAGAAGGAGCTCATTGTGGGGAACACCACGAGACTCAGCCTCAGTGATAACACGAGGGAGGACATGCTCGGTGTAGTACATGTTGGAGTACTTGTGAATCGGTTGCAGAACATGAGTGGTAGAGAGTGCAAAAGTCGAGAGGCCTCCTAGCTTCCTGATATGATGACCGGGCTTGTTGTTACCATACCAGTTAAAGAGTTTCTAATGAAAATATCAGCTAAAGTCTTCCACGTAAAAGAAGTAAAGACGCACCGTTCAATGTTCCTCAAGAGCCACACCCAAGGCGATGCGAACCTCCTCTACCTCTGGGTCTGGCTCCCACAGTGACTCCTCCCCATTTCCATCATCCTCCTCATCCTTGGGATCCGCAAAATCGCAACCGTCAAGACAATGGTCCGGGCCCAGGGTCAAGATATCACCAACCATTTTCAGAAAAGGCTCATCCTTTGGCGAGTCCGTGATGCCGATGAGATGACCAGAAACCTTTCGCACCCTCCCTTTATGATCCAAGAAGAATTTCCCCTTCCTCTCCGGCCACCAATCCTGCCACTCTCCTACTAACTCAGCCTTGAACACCGCCAATGTCCCATTCACAGCACACAGTTCAAACCTAGGGATCCTATTGGATAGCATGTCATACTGGTCGTCATTCATCCATCCTCTTTGCTTGCGGAGAGGTACTAGCTGACTGGAGCTGGTGGCAGGGATGGTCGAAGTCGCAGATGAAGTGGAAGAAACAGTGGCTTTAGAGTTCTTCAACCTTTTTTTGGACATCTGTCGCCCTGGATTAGCAAGACATACAACAACAGAGCACGTGGCAGCATACTTTCGACTGATATGAGTCTAAAAATAGCCTCAACTGATAACACGCACAAGATATCAAAATTGACTGACCTGTGGTGGGGGGAAGAAATGGGTGGGATTTGTGGACAGAGCGGTGTCCTAAGGTGTGTACTTATGCATTGTCAGATCCCTGAATTGTGTACAAGTTCCACTCCTGAATTGTGTACAAGGACAATATCTGCTCTAGTATAAAGGACAGCGCATTTTTTCCTTCATGATCATCAAACCTATCAAACTCATTGCCTCACCGCTCACTCGAAATTTTTTCAATGACTCAATTCACCCCAGAACAGCTTGCTTCTGTGTTAGCTGCACTTGGCATTACGCCACCCGAAGGTATAGATTTTTTTCTTTGGGTTCTAATTTATTGCCCTGACCTCTTATTCTGTCAGCTACACCAACTACCCGCAACTCTGATTCTCCCATCAATGACAAAAAAGCTGCCAGTATGGTAGAAGTTCCCCTGCACTCGTTCTATTGCTTTAACTGTGCCTTTCCAAATGTAGTCCCCATCAATGCCATTCCCATCACCACCACCGTCGTCCAACCGGCTCATCATGGTTTAGCACCAGTCCACTGCAACTCACCCTTGACTGGGTTGCCATCGACCTCTCCAGTATCCACACCCATGGCCCAGGCTACTGTCGCTCCTGCACCTGCCTCCAGTCCTGCCACCGCTGCTGACCCCACCACCATCGCTCCCACCATTCAGGGATCCTCCATTCCCAGCCCCTCTACGGTTAGAGCTTCTGAGGGCCCATGGTACGCTGTTTCTAAAGGCCTCGCTGTAGGGGTGTTTCAGGGATGGTAAGCTTATTTCCTTCCTGCAATGTCTGTTTGAAGGTCTCATGCATTGTTATTCAGGCAAAATGTTAGCCCTTTGGTTACAGGGGTTTGTAGAGCCTGTTACTTCCATCACAGCAGTCAGGCTGCCACCCAGGAGGCCTTCAATCAGGCTGTCATGACCACCACTGTGGAAATTCTCCATTAATTGGGTTTTCAAATCTTTTGTTGCTATTTTTTGGACCACCGTCTTCAGTAGTATCGTGTCAATCATTTGACGTATACCTTGTTGTATTTATTAGCTTCCACCCTCGTTTGATGACAGTCTTTACTCACTTTTATCTAGTTTTCAATTGATTGGCATGTAAATTTTTTTAGTTTCTCGGTGTCCATATTTCCTTTTCCTTGCTCTGTACATATTTTTACCCAGTCCATAGTCGCTGTAGTTACTGTCCTTCTGTTGAATGTTCCCTACCTGCTGCCCTCCTCCAATATCAGTTTGCATCCTGTTCCTTTTTGGTGTGACTGCACCACTAAATTCAATCAAGCTTTTCACATCTAAATCAGAGATCCGTATTATGCTCAAGTTCATAGATATTTTTTCTTGCTGAGTCTCAATTCCTTCCTAGCAACCAGGCAAGGAAAAAGTTTGCAAAATCAATGGTTGCATACAATTTTCTACTTCACTATTTCGGGTCCTGCAGCTCGCTGAAAACCATCTGGTTTCCCCTATTATTCTCCTGGTCCTCAGGTACAGCAGCGAGTCTATATTATTGACATCTATTCCTCTGGTAGATCAGATGATATCATCTGGCATGCCGATCATCATTTCGAAATGCTTCCATCACCTCAACTGGTTCGGAAGATTTTCAGCTTCTAATCAGGCGACAGATTCACATTAAACTCAGTTCCCTTTTTCGTAAGACTCTTGACTTCTCGGCATGGCTTCCTTTGTCAGGTGACAGATCTACATTAACTTCGGTTCCCTTGTCCACATCACAGATGACTGCATCGGGTCATGGATCTAGTCCGTCAGTCCAGCTTGTGCACAACTCAGGCTGTTCGTACATGAGGCCTGTCCTTCCTGCTCTGTTTCCATCTCAGAGCACGGATTCCTGAGTCCTACTTGTGCACAACTCAGGCCATTCGTACATGATGCCCGTCCTTCATTTACTATTCAATGGGTTGTGCTCCCTTCAAACACCATTTTCGAAACTATTTTCATCTACCCTGTCCCATTTTCACTTTTCTTGGGACGCAAGCATTTTTATTAAAATAATTTTCAACCTCATTTTACTCATGCTCGGTACCTTGGTGTGTGTAAAGAACTGGAAAAACATATCGTATTCTGCATGATACACTACATATGAATGAGATCACCATCCGTACGCTTGATAGATGCTCTCAATCCAAAGATTCATTGCATGGGCATGGATAGCATCCCTCTCCTGTGCAAGCTGGTCATGCCTTGCCTGCAACTTCGCAATCTGGGCATCAAGAACATCCAGCATGTTGAAAGCCTCTTTGCCTGGGGATACGGTGCTCCCTGAATCGTCAGAACCTGATGCAGTGGCGTTGGTGGTTTCATCGACGGACATACTATTGACCAGCTTACCTCCGAGCTGCATAATCTTGGCATCAACAACCACTAGCATGTCAACCACCTCATCCTCTGCAGATTTGGCGGTGTTGTCAGTTTCTGGCTGTTAGCCACTAACTCTTATCGACTTAGATCGTACTAGGATCCCTACTCGCACTTCGGTAGGAGACGCTCTAGCAAGTCAAAGGCGATGAAAGTCGATGGGACAGATAGTCACGAAGAACGGAGTTCGATATTAGGTAGATTAAACCTTAGCCAAAGCTGGGGTTTAGACCAGCTGAGGCTCTACTTAAATACAGATGGGTATACTAATAATAGTACTGTGGGAAATGATCTGCATGGATCGCATATGAGTAATCACACTGAGTAAAACGAAGAAAAATGAATAAATCATAACATTACCCCCTCCTTAAGACTCATTCGTCCTGAATGAGTCATCGGACTCCTCCCCCTCTGTCTCGTATGAGTCGATTTCTGAGGCGCGTTCATTGTCGTTCCAGTTTTCCATCACCTTCTGGAGTAGGTTTACATCCGTTTCGTCGTCAGACGGAGGGTCAAGCAGAACGGGAGGATTTTTATACGGTCGATCTTCTCGTCGCGAGGCTTTGATTTCGAGTTTTCGTCTCTTTAAGTAGGAGTCTCGTACCCGGGGATCATTGAATTTGTGTTCTACACAGTGTCGGGGGTACGATACGATGGGGCCTGCCTCGCTGGGGTGGTCTTGGATGTATTTTTTGTTTTTCTCTAGAAGCGCTTTATCCATGGATTCAGAAATGTCGCCTATCAGCTTTCGAAACGAAGAGGGGACTGATACTGGTCCCACATTTTGGCCCGCGTCCGAGCCGTCTACTTCCCCTACCAGGTTAAGTTCTTCGGAATGTCTCGACGCGGTGCATTGGGAGGACGGAACGGTGATGATATCGGTGGCGCAGGGTGTGTTTGGTTCATGATATTGGACCGGGAGATTCCGGGGTATGTTGTCGTCTATCCCAACTGTCTTTCCTTCTTTGTTAACCGTCCACCAAACCTTTTGGATATGCGACTCGTAGTCGTTAACGAGTTCTTCGGCGTTGGCCATGTCGGAGCGTTTGACCCACGAGTTCTCCTCCGTTGGGTATCCCTTCCATTTTACCAGGTACTCGGTAATCGTTCGGCGGGTTGGTCCTCGACCGACAATTCTATCCCTTTCTTCCACAATCTCTTCGATCTCGTATTCTTCCTCATCATCAATTAACTCCAGCGGTGGTCATTCAGGGCGTGGCTGGTTTGAAAACTCGGGGGCATGATATGGGGTCAGGAGGGATTCGTTGAATCGGTTATGGATCCGCCACTTCGTCGGTAGCTTCAGTTCGTAAGCGGAGGCTCCTTTCTTTGCCGTGATAGTAAAAGGGCCTACCCGCCTATCATTCAGCTTCTTCGCAGGGCGAGGGAGACTTAGGTTGGTGGAGTCTAGCCACACTTTGTCGCCGATTTGGTAGTCCACTGCCTTCTCCTTCTGCTTGTCGTATGTCTTCTTCATCGACTCGGCCGCCTTTTCAAGGGATTCTCGGGCCTTTTCCTGGACTTCCTTTATTCCTTGAACTAGCTTTGACACTGCGGGAATGGAATCTGGATGTTGGGCTGTCTTGATTACCTGCCCGTCCCTGCCGAAGACCACCTTGTAGGGCGAGAAACCGGTGGCCGAATGCTTCCAGTTGTTATGGGTGAATGCCGCTAAAGGCAACCACTCACTCCAGTCGTCCTGTCAGTAATTAACGAACATTTTGAGGTATTTCTCGATCTCCTGATTAACCCTCTTGGTCTGCCCGTCCGTTTGAGGGTGGTAGGCCGTTGAAGGGTTCCCCTCTACTTGCATCAGCTTGTAGAACTCCCTCATAAACTTGGATACAAATATGGCCCCCCTATCCGAGATGACCTTCTCGGGCATTACTCCGTAGGGCACATAAACATGGTCCCTCAGGATCTTGGCGAAGCCCATGGAAGTGAGCTCCTCGGTGCACGCGATAGGAATGATCGTCTTAGAGAACCGGTCGACGATCACCAGGATAGAGTTAAATCCCTTTGAGTCAGGGAGTTTGGTAATCATGTCGACCGATATGTGGGTCCATGGGCGATCCGGTACTTTGTTCGGGTGAAGAGGTGCCTTCTTGGGTCAACGATCTGCCTTAGTTCGTTGGCAGACTTCGCACCCTTTCACGTACGCCTCTATGTCCCGACGCATACGAGGCCACCAGTAATCCCGTAGGACGAGTTCTTTTGTCTTCTCTATGCTGGGGTGACCTGCGGTTACATGATCATGCTGCAGGGCTATGATTTCCCCCCGTAACTGTCGATCGGTGGGCACGTAGATGCGTCCGTCGTACCAAAGTAGATCTTGAACCCGAGAAATCCCCTTTTCATGGTTAAGGGAGTCAGAGATGCCTCTATCCCACTTGTGCACGTCATGGGTAGCCAGTTTGATGCGTTCATGCAAATCTTCCTCAGTAGGCATGATTAACGCCCGGAAGTGTTCGGGCTTCAAGATGACAACGTCCTTGTTGTCGCTCTTTCCCTGGTCATGGTCCGCCCTTCTTGACAATAAATCCGCTTTGTGATTTTGGGCCCCGGGTTTGTGATGTAGGGTGAACTGGTATTCCGCCAGTTCAGTTACCCATCGAGCCTGACGTCGGTTGAGCTTCTGGGGCTTCCTGAAATATTGAAGATTCGAGTGGTCGGTCCAAATCTCGAAATCTTCTCGAGCGCCCATGAGGTACTGGCGCCACTCCTCCAGAGTGATCATTATGGCAAGGAGCTCTTTGTCATAGATTTCGTAATTTCGCTCGGTAACCGACAAAGATTTGGAGAGGAAGGCCACCGGTCGCCATTTCTCTTCCTGCCACTGGGATAGTACTGCCCCGATCGCTCCCTCACTAGAGTCTGCCTCTACCCTGAACTTTCCTTTATCGAGCGGGATGGTGAGAACCACATCTTCACGAAACAGCTCTTTTAGCCTTTCAAACGCCCTCTGCTGGGCCTCCCCCCACTTCCACTCTACCTTTCCTGTGAGCGCAGTGAGGGGCTTGACATGCTTGCTGTAGTCGCGGATGAATCGTCGGTAGAAATTGCAGAAGCCTAAAAAGGATTGAAGCTCTTGCTTTCGGGTGGGTACCGGCCAGTCCAAAAGGCCGGCGATCTTGACAGGGTCCATACGAACCTTCCCCTCGCTGATTAGGACGCCCAGGTACTCGGTCTCTTCCACCTCGAACTCGCACTTCTCTGCCTTTAAGAACAAATGGTTGGCCCGGAGAATTTTGAGCACTTCGCATACTATGTGTCGATGGTCTTTTTTATTCTTCGAGGCGATGAGTATATCGTCGAGGTAGACCGATACCTCTCCAGCCGTTATGAGATCTTTGAAGATGTCGTTCATCATCCACTGAAAGGTCGCCGGGGAGTTTGTGAGTCCGAAGAACATTACTAGGGGTTCATAGAGGCCGCGATTGGTTCTAAAAGCGGCTTTCCATTCATCTCCCTGTTTTATCCGGACGTTGTTGTACCCCCACCGCACGTCCAACTTCGTAAAGTATTTGGCCTCCTTCAGTCGGTCCATGAGTTCTCCGATAAGCGGCAATGGATATCGATTCTTGATGGTCATCTCGTTGAGCTTTCGGTAGTCCTGGACTGGTCGAAGCTTCCCGTCCTTTTTCTTAACGAAGAAGAATGGAGAGGCCATAGGGGATTTCGACGCCCGAATTCGACCCGTGGAGAGGTTCTCATCCAAGAACTTATCCAACTCCTCTTGTTCTGCTGGATTAAGGGGATAGACCTTACAGTCTAGGTTAGCATTGGCGTTGGGTACTAATTCGATGGCGTGGTCCCAGGGTTTTCGTGGGGGTAACTCATCGAAGTTCTCCTTGGCGAACACATCCTCGAACTCCCTGTACTCTTCAGGCACTATTTCTTCAAAAGACTTGGTAGTCTTGCGGGTGTTGGCCTGGGTGGCTAATTCATTGGCTTTAGTCCCCATGGCCCGCACGTGGAATGCCTCTTCGAAGTTGATTACTAGAATAGTGTCTCCCTCTTCGTACTCCTCCCAACATGACGAGGGATCGGTGTCTGGCAGGGAGAAGGGAATTTTACGACAAGTGCAGCGGGCTAAGGTAACTGCCCCGGTATTCCAGTCGATGAGCGGGTTGTGTCTTTGTAACCAGTCATGTCCGAGGAAGAGGGGGGTGGTTCCAAGGTCCATGACGGCCAGCTCTATCCTCTCTACATGATCCCCGATTTGTAGTCGTACCTCGGCGTACTCGGTGATGTCACCCCCCTTGTTTCGGGTGCCATCGGCGTTGTAAACCGGAACGGGTCGTGCAGCCTTTTTAAGGTTGAGGGCGTGACTCTGGGCCCAGGCGTGGTCTATCGAACTACCCGTAGCCCCGCTATCCACCAGCGCTTTTAGGGAGTGTACTTCTCGAGTGTCTAACGTCTCCAATTGCACGGTAATAGATACATTCCGCCCCTTCCTCCCTTGGATGTACATAGGGGGTTTCTGAAGATCTGCCATCCACTCCCACTTGTCTCTCGCCTCCCCCGCGGTCTCAGGTTGTTCCTTGAGAGCCTCCCACAGTTCTACCATCACCTCACTCTTCCGTCGAGGGTGAATCCATCGGTTCAAGGTGGCAAACGTGGCCGATTCGTCCTTGGCCAAGCGTAACGCCCGGCGGGTCCAGTGCGCCCCGAACGGTTCGTAGTAGGTGTCCTGGACTGCCTTCTTGAGGGCGGTGGTGAGCTCGGGATTGGGGGTCACGGGAGACTTCCCCTTGGGCATGCTAACCGGAATGTCAGACCGAAGGTGGGCCTCTTCGTCTTTGACCTCTTCTATAGAAACTGGGGGGTTCTTGACTCGAGGTGGCAGTTGGTCACCGGGCCGGTCGTGAAGGCCCCTCGGCGGCATTTGGTCACCTTCCGACGAGTTGGTGGAGGAGGGCTCGCTGCCCTGTGTTCGGCCCTGGCCATGGGCGCTTGTGCGTGGCGTTGTAACCTCCACCGTGATTCCGTACTTAACCTCATTCCTAACGCCGGCGGTACTCTCAGAAACCCTAGGCAGACGCACACATATCGGCTCGTCAAGGGGGTCGGCATCGTTTGCAGATGAGGCCACTACTAAATGTAGGTGGTCCCCTTGAGTCCCGGCCTCAGCTGCTTTTCCGCTTCTGACAAGAGGGACAACCTGGCCTACATCTGGACAGGAAGGTCCTGTTGTCGGAGTCGTCGGCCGATTCTCCCTGCCGGGGCGACGACGACCACTGTCTGGCATCCATCTTGTCTTGACCTGAGGCGCTGACTGGGTTCTCCAGTTCTTTCCCCGTTCGGTCAAGCAGGGGTGTCTGAGGTGGACCGGCCCCTAGGGGTTCATTGTCCATCGCAGGCTGCATAGGACGGCGGAAATCCCCTCCTACGCCATGGGTGTTTTGCGATTCCTCGTTCCTAGCTTCCTCGACTGGTAACGCGGCGAAAAAATTGGTATATTGATCATACGGAGTACCTACATGCGTAGTATAAGTCCGACTAGAAGTACATGAGTGTGCACCAGGGGAAACTAAGTCCTTTGCCGACACCATCGAATCGCTTATTTCGACGCCGGCTCGTCTTTTGACGACTCCTCCTCTTTCACCTCTTCGACCTTCATGTCCTTTCCCAACTCTTCCTTTTCAGCTTCAGCGAGCAATTGGCGGAGTCGGGCGACGTTGGGTTTCTTGCGAGGTGGGAGTTTGATGGGAAGCCACTTGGACCTGTCCGCGGGGCATTTATGGTCTCGGCTCCACCCGGTGTTCCCACACTTGAAGCACCACTTGTCAGACCGAAGTTTGTCGATTTCCATTGGCTGCCCTGCTCCCCCGTACGTGGTTCCCGTGGCGTCCTTCTTGTCGCCACTGGGACCCTGTCCCTTTGATTGATTTTGGTTGCCTCGACTCGAACCGCTTGGGTTTGAGGAGGGCTTACCTGCGAGGCCTTGGGCCACATCGTAGCGATAATTGGCGTCGATCCTAAGGACTCGTGCCTTCCATTGTGCGTAGGTTGTGGGGCGCTCATTGTCCCCATGCATAACCGTTTTGCACACCATCGGCCTAATCGCCGCTTCTACGGCCTCGAACATCTGTTTCTCGTCTTCGAACTCCTCGCACTTGTGGGCTAGACGTTCGAACTTTGCGAAGAACTCTACCGCGGACTTGAACTCCGACTGTCACACCTTCTTCCACTCTTGCTTCCATATGGCTAACTCCGCTACTTCTCGGAACTGAACCGTTAGGTCATGGGAGAATTCCTCCCATGTGGGGAACCTCCAATGCCCCTGCGGTGTTCGATAATGGTAGTATTGGTCGACCCACCACTGCTGGGCTTCTCCGCGTAAATACCCTTGGGCGAAGGTGACCCGGTAAGGGTTCTGCCCTTGCTCATTCATGGTATAGTACATCGGGAACATGGCAAAGTATACCTCGCAGTGATGGAGGAAGCGCGTGATATCCGATGATACGCCAAAGAAGTATTCTGGCTGCGTGACCAGCTTGGGTTTGACGTCGTTCCACGGGTTATTGACGGCCCCAGGAGCTAACTGCCACAGTGGGATTGGGTCCAGTGGTGGTGGTACGTTCGGGGGTGCCGGCGGTTTGGGAGGCCTGGAGAGAGAGCGAAGATGATGATTATCGTCCGGAGGCGGATATCCTCCCGGTGGTTGGTTTGGCGGCACAGGCGGCTGTTTCGGTACCGTCGACTCTTTTCCTTTGGAGGTTGATGCCCCCGGGTCTTCCCATGTTGCTTCCGGGTCGTCGGGTCCTGCACCCGCCCAGAACTCTTCGGTTTCGAGCGGATGGGGCATCGGTTGCAGTCGTCGGTAGGCCGCACACCCCTGTTTTTGTTGGTCGGGGTTCGCCAGGTTCCACACCAGGGCAGCCCGGTGCCATGTCTCCACCTCCAGGATGTTCTTCATGAGGTATACGTCCCCCATAGTTTTCGCGTCTCGGTAATCTTCTCCCGCCTCCGTGAGGAGCCACTGGAAGTCCTTCTCCATGTCTTCCATCATTATTTCGTAGAGCCCATGCCATGGGAGTATATTAAAGATTGTTGGTCGAGGATCCAGAGGGTGGACCAGGAGGGTTCGGACCGCCGTCATTACCTCCGTTTCGAGGGAACTGTTTGGTGGTCGACTCGGCATCCTCAGCCTCCTTCCTCTCTCGGGCGAGTCTATCGATCTCCTTGTTTCTCTTCCACCGCCCGATGTCGGAGTCAGGGTCGCTGATCTCAGACTCATAGGCCTGCCAGGCTCGTCGGTGAGCCTCGAGATCTGTTCCCGCCCGCTCTGCAAGCCCGGAGTATCGAGAGGCGGCCGCTCGCTGCCTGTTCTTGATCTCGGCTTGGGTGGCGTTGGGTTCGACGGGGAGGTCATAGAAGCCGTCGGGTCCGATGAGGGCATTGATTTCCGCACATCGAGTGCGTGCGTCTGCCGCTCTTGCTCGGTCCATTTGGGTCTCGAACTCTGGGGACTCCCGGGCATGCTGAGGGAGCTGGAGCGACTCGACGAGCGTGTGGTAGAGAAGTGGTCACGGACGCTGGTTGATAGGGACGGGGTCGGCGAATGCCTGCCCTGCGACCGATGGTGTAAAGGGGACTGGGGCGAGGTCTCCGGCGCCGGCAATTGCTCCAAGCTCCTCCTCGTCGTAGTCCGGGAACTCATCCCAGAGCTGCTGATCCGTCGGTTCAGCCCTGGTGATGGGGGAAGCGGGCGTTGGGGTCTCTGGGCGCTCGGGGACAGGGACGCTCCTCGGGGACGTGATTCCGGCCACAGGAGCCTCTTCCCCTGGCTCGGCGTAGACCCAACTGGTCTGGGGGTGCCAGCCGATGGGGGTTCCTCTGTTTGTCGGCCAGTTAGAAAGAATGGGTCCCGCTCCATCTGCACGGGAGGTAGTTGCGGCGGAGGCCCCAAGGGCAAGCTCTCCGGAATCACTGTCGTAGTTGTCTTCCTGGGCGACTCTGTATCTTCTGCTTTCACTTCCCCAGACGGCATCTGTCCACCTGTTTCCTGACCTTCCACTGAAGCTGTCTCCGGTATAGGTCGCATCTTCCTCCGTATTCGGGTAGAGGTCGTTGAGGAGGTCGTCGAGTCTTGTCCTCTCCCAGTCTGAGAGATCGTCCCCTTCGTACTCGGTGTCAGGGATTTCTTTGCCCTTGACCAGATGCCTGGTGCCTTGTCCTCGGGCTCCGTCGGTACTTGACTCGCCTTGGACTGGAGACTGGTCGAAGAGACCTGGTACGGGCGAGTCTCCTCGGTCGAGGAGTATGCCCCGGGTATCGGTGATGTCAACTGAGTCTGCTGACTCATTGGTAGCGCTTCTGTAGGAGTCGGTGCTCAACTCTGAGGATCGCGAGCTGTGTCGCGACGATCCGTAGAGGGACCTTCCAGATCCCCCGGAGGCGGTGGGTTCGACATCTTGTATCGTCTGCTGAGATGCCGTGGGAATATGAATTACTGGGGGAGGATAGGCGGGAGTGCTGGGGACGTAGTGGAACGGGAGTTGTGCGCGGACTTGCCTCTGTTGTTGAAAACAGCGGTGTAGTCGGTACAAAATAATGGACAAGAAAAAGAGTATAAAAGTCGCGAAGACGGCGGGAATGGCGTCGGACCAGGGCATCCGTGAGTGGATCTATCCTTGGTGTAAGTCGACGATTGACCATGCAAGCTGATAGACAGCAAGTATGGTGAGGACGATGAGGATTGCAATAATCAGGCTGAGGTCGGTTTTGTAGTTTGAACCATTCATCAACAGGATTTCGCTAGTTTCGGAGGTGCTTGTTAATGTCAACAACAGAATTGTTAACAAAGAAGCGAGCTGAAGGAGTAGAGTGAAGGGGTTCGTGTTTTTTCCTTAAATGCGTAGGAGACCAACGTAGGCTGCTACAAGCAGGGCTGCCAGTAGTGGTGCCGGGATGGTCGCTAGAACAAAGAGGGTAGTCACAAGGACTATAAGGATGACAGTAAGGATTGGGTCAGGTAGTACGAGTGGAAGGATCCAATCGGCTACCAAGAGGAGGATAATGAAGAAGTAAATGTTGGGCAGCGTGATGCTGAGCAACGTTGAGCGAGCTTCGGCTAAATGTTAGCCACTAACTCTTATCAACTTAGATCGTACTAGGATCCCTACTCGCACTTCGGTAGGAGACGCTCTAGCAAGTCAAAGGCGATGAAAGTCGATGGGACAGATAGTCACGAAGAACGGAGTTCGATGTTAGGTAGATTAAACCTTAGCCGAAGCTGGGGTTTAGACCAGCTGAGGCTCTACTTAAATACAGATGGGTATACTAATAATAGTACTGTGGGAAATGATCCGCATGGATCGCATATGAGTAATCACGCTGAGTAAAACAAAGAAAAATGAATAAATCGTAACACTGGCCTGACGGAGAGTTCATCGCTGAAAGCACCGGCGACCTCACGGATGGTCCTGAGAGTAACGTTGGCCCTCTTATCATAAGCATACCCAACCTTTGCCTCACTGCATCCATGGGTATCCGTCCACTGGGACAGTCGCTAGCCATGACAGTGTAAGCAAAGAATGCTGTGAAGAGAAAATATACACATACCTGCTGCAGGGACTCAATGCTCCAACGGTGCAAGCGACTGCCTGAGGATTGTTCATCCAGCACCATGTCTGGGAACTGCACAATGTAGCGTGGCAAAAAATCGTTCCACCAGGTCTGCACGCTTTTGGTGTATATAGCATCGATGCATGCGTCAATGTTATCCAACAAGAAGGCCTTCTGCTCACTGTCAATTTGACAGGCGATCTGGCAGTGAACTCAGCTACAAGTGCTAACAGCCAACAGCGAGCAGAAATTAGAACTTACATCGAGTTGCCTTTGAATTGCATCCATATGTGTTCTTGGGTAGATGGGTACTGGCAATAACTACGAAAGTCAGTGAATACTACGTTGGCATAGGGGAAAGGAATACCAACCGTCTTTGTCGGCTAGGAATAAGTGTGTCATGTTAAGGCATGAATGAGAAGGAGGGTAATTGGACCTTTTATACCTTCACAACCATGTGGTAGGGAGGATCGACAGGGGCTAGTACTGTAAAACTCCAATGCTCAGTCAACAAGTCAGAGGGAGTGTAGTGCAACGGAAAAATCAGAGGGTAAACACTAACCTGATGTCAGATATTGAAGTGAGAGGGGAAAAAGACCTTAACATACCAGGACGCATGCCAAATAGAAGACTCCACTTGCGACGATAGTTAGAAATTAAAGGGGGCATATAAATGTTCCAGGAGCGACTTGAAAGCTCTCATAGCATACAGAAGATGCTACCAGACTTTGCTACGGTCCTAAGGTGAACCAAGAGAGCAAAAAGAACTAGACTGTGAGTGAGGTCAGGTGAGGTCCAATACAGTGAATTGTGCCAGGTTAATACACGTTGGTGGGTCCTAAAATCAATCAGTGGCAGGCGTTCACCTATATGTCTTAACTAGCAGTGTATAAGAGTGCATACCACATGAGGAGATGATTGAGAGGATGAAAGAGCTGATACAGTGAGATGATCAGATGAAAACACGAATCGGGCATGAGAGTAAGCTTGATCGCTCCCTTGCGAACCCTCTTCACAACGTCCATATGGCACCTTGGAGAAAATATCTCACCCCTGAAGACAAACAGCAGGCCATCAGAGATAAGAGTAACCGCTATTATGCGAAGTACATGCCTGTCCATCATCTTATGGTACTTTTGATGACGTTGGCTTCCACTCAGAAATAAAGACAGCATTTCATTTCGGCGTAGGACCATGTATCGTCGCCAAGGGTAAGCGGCAGATGTTCGACTTTGTGACTTATTATCTTATCTATGTCATTAGAATTGCACCTGAGCCAGGGCCCTCCAATAATGAGGCAACTACTTCCACCAAAGTGAAAGTGGTGACTTGCCTGAAGAGACTACATCACACGAATCAATATGAACTTGACTCTGTGTATGTTCCCTCATTTGTTTGTATTTTTCCATGGTAATAATGGTAGATTCTAGGTCTGTTGCTGTCCCCAAGCCTGCCCCTCTGCCAGATCCATTTCCAAAATACAGGGCGGATGCGAGAGCCGTTGTACAAGAGTTTGAAGACTTTCTTAAAGGCAGGACACCGCATGACTATGTTGAACTTCTCTTGTGACTTTATTTCAAAAGCAACTCTTGCCGGCAAGGCCAGCTCTCTCTGTTTGTCAATCCCCTCAATGACTTATATTGAATGCAAAAGAATTATGCGGAGATTGTCACCAAGGCATTACAATCCGACAGTTCCAGCGAGCGGCAGCAAAAATTGGCCTGCACTGGAGAGCCCATTGGATGTTTAGTTCATTGGCTGGAGGATATTTGGCATGTAGCTATTGATGGTCCTGAGAAGTTGAGGCTTGCGTATGGCAAAAATAGGTTGAAATGGCAGCAGGATTCTATTGACGTAGCTACAACAATCTAAATCTGCTAATTCACCATCCTGAAAGCAAGCTCACGTCTTTTATACTTCTCTCTCAATCCTTCTGGACTGATCATCACCTCACAAAGCATCTCTTCCAGCCAACCCACCAACGTTCGTATAGGCTCCCAGACCAAATGATAACGTTTCATCTCCTTGCCCACGCCCGCACAATTGAGTATGACATTCTCATATTCTTGAAGAGACTGTTCGAGGCATGAGATCTCTAAGACTGCATCATTGAGGAGGCTGCAATACCCTTTGGGGTGATTCTTGGTCAGTGTTCCCATGTACTCTGTATATACCATGCTGGCATATCCTGATGGTGATCCATTTGTGATTATTCCGAAACAGGCTGAGATTCAGTCGATTTGGCCCATCGCCTCAGCTAATTGGGGACTCCACCTGTAGAGACAGCGTTCATGGGGGTAGAGCATAGAGCATAGACAATGTACTGTGCATGGGAATACCTGCTATTAACTTCAATGTCAATCAGATGTGTGGCCCTTCGAATGAGAGGCTCCAAGGATCTACAAGGTTGTTAGTTGGCACAGAGCATATGATAGTTACAAAGGTACTCACTTTGCATTGACTTGGTGCTTCTTCTGCCAGCGATACGTGTCTTGCCGTCGTTGATTAATTAAGTGGCGATTCCTGGGATATATTGAGTACTGGTAAAAGCAGTCATGCATATGAATTACTTGGCATAGCTATGGCGGCTGCTTGCATTATGAGCCTCTCGGTGCTCATCTGCCTTAGCGGGGGAGTCTCTATGCAGCGTAACCATATTCGATGGGAGGTGCAAGATGAATTCATCCTCCGACATGGCAAGACTGCTAATCTGAGTAGCCGGTGGTGTTTGTGCACAAGTCAGGGCTGGGTCGCAGGTCTGTACACCGGTCAGAGAAGTTACTTGTACGCACAAGACAGAATACACCCTTGTACAAATGTCTGCATGAGACATCCTTATAAAGAGGTGAACAATGAGTTAAATAGACAAAAACCAAACCGTCTGTTATCACAATTCGCAACCACCTAAGCATGAGCATAATGTGAGTATTTTGTTCATGGTGGAGAACACTGGACTTATTGAGCTAATACAGGTCTCCGCCACCCATCACCAAGACCCAAAAACAATTCCTGCAACCTTATCTCCTTGAGTATCACTGTGTAAAGAAAAACACTCATACCAATCCCAAGGCCTATGCTCAGTTCCAATTGCAGCTTTGGTTGGTCTGGCATGACTGATTTCGAAATGATCTCCACCATCCGGATCCACTAGATAAGGATGCTTGTGCCTATTGGAACGCATGTCGCCAAAATGTAGGCCTATCAATGTTTGCTCTGTTTCTCCAACTCGACACTGACCTACCCACAGGATCTTGCCATGATTGTTCAATCACTCAAATTCTGGAACCCGTTTTACGTGGCAGGCTTATCACGAAGGTCTGCAAACCAGAACACAGCGAAGCATGTCATATTGGAAGCCAAAGGGGCAGAGACAACAACCGATGAAGGCAGAGGGCAGGAGGAAGAGATGCTAGGAGCTTCCATCAGGAGGAGTGAAAGAACTCCCAAACCGCGCAGGCTGTCTGATAATGAGTTTTAAATAGTACCATTTGTTACCTTCTGTTATTCACCATATGTTTGACATACACGTGAAACATACTTCGGTCTTCCTAAATGGGACTCTTCCTCTTCTTCTTTGACTGCTCGGACCAAATCAGTGTTCTTGGATAAAATCTGGCTATATGTCGGTGGTCTTGGTTTCTTGGACTCTCATCAACTGCCATCTTAATGTCCAGTTGCTTTCTGGCACAGTTGCACTGGAGATTAAAATCTCTTCCAAATATGCGGTCCTCTCGGATAAAATCTGGCTATACATCGGTGGTCTTGGTTTCCTGAGCTTAAGAGCTGTTATCAAGTGCTGTCTTCATGTCTGGTTGTTTTCTGGCAGAGTCGTGCAGGAGATTAAAATCCTTTCCAAATGAGTTCTCTGTAAGCAGCACTGGTCCCTCCACTTGCACAACTTACTCTCATGAACTATAATCGCAGAAAAAAGGGTGGCCATGCACCAGTGGACATCATTGATGAAGCTAGCGATGAAGAGGAAGTTCGTATTCGTGTCCCTCGCTCCTCACAGACATATCACCATCACATGGACTATTCCTCTCAAGTCGGTTCTTCCGGCATCAGTGTGCGAACAACTGCCATAGCGATACAGCCAGGACCTATCTCTGCCATGAATACACAAGATCCTCCTTTGCCTCCTCCAGAACCTACTTTCTATGATACCTCTTCATTACTCGCTGGTCTCTCTGGGCTTTCTTTCCTTGACCCAGACTATACCACTCCTGCGGAGGTCGCCCATGGTGTGGAAGAAGGAGTGCAGCATCCTAGGCCTTTAGGCATAAGTGGAAGCTTTATACCTCAAGAACTTGTGGCTGAAATTTAACTAGGACCACCCACTTTTAGTATGGACATCCCAGTGTGAGGCATTCATGGCAGAGATCTTATGTTTGGAGGCACCAGCCTCAGGAATTGAGCAGTGCCATGTTTGTCACGCTGATCAAGGCTAATATCGTTGTGTCTCTTGTTTTGATGGACAAATGCTTTGTGCTAGCTGCACCGTGGATGGTCATTGGGCGATGCCTTTTCACAAAGTTGAGGTAACGTGAAAATTCTGCTTGGCCAAGTCTATGCTTACAAGCCATTTTCAGGAATGGACAGGTACCTACTTCAAAAGAACGACTCTGGCGAACCTCGGCCTAGTAATACAGTTAGGTCACCGACTTGGCCAGAAATGTGTTCTTCCAGCCATCGTCAAATCCTTTGTGGTAATTGATGTTGATGGTATTCATACAGTGCAGATGGGATTTTGCAACTGTACACAATCCATTGAGCAACAGGTTCAATTACTTAGGAGCCGCCTGTGGCCCACGACAACAATTTATCCTCAAACGGCTGCCACATTTCATGTTCTCCACCTATTTCAAGTTTTGTCTTTCATGTCCAAGGTTTCTGCATACGAGTTTTATCACACACTGGCATGCCTCTCAGATAACACTGGACTATATACACCCCCAGTATGTCTGTCCTTTCCATGCTTCTTTTCTCACATCTCACCATGACACTAGGATCGGTATGATACCTTCCTATGGATAATGTGCGAGTGGCATCACTTGTGCTCTTTGAAACGTTTCAGCCGTGGCCATGAACCTGGTGGGATTGCAGAGACGAGGCCTGGTGAATTGGTACTATGTTGTCCTGCCTGTCCCCATCCTCATGTGAATCTACCCCGTGGTTGGAACGAAAACCTGTAAGTGTATCGAGAAGTATCATGGCACAGTGTTAATATCAGATTCCAGAGGAAAACATTGGCTGTATCGCCTCTTTCTTGCAGTTGATGCCAATTTTCAGCTCTGCTGCCTGAACGTATCAAATGAAGATAATGACCCGAGTTTGAACCGTGGCTATGGTTACTTTGTCAAGGAAAATTCCTTTTGGTTGTTTCTTGAGATGTATGGCAAAATTATCCTGGCAGAAGAAAAAAGCACTTGCAACAACCACGATGCCGTCAAGCTGGCCAATAGCCATGGAGGTCAAGAGGTGGCAGCAACTGGTGTCGGAGCTGTAGTATGTGGTCGCCACGATATGAAGTGCCCTTTATCTGTTGGTGATCTTCAGAAGGGTGAAAGGTATGTCTGGTCTCCATATGAAGGATCCAAGTACTCATAATGGTCCTGCCTAGGTACATCAACATGGACTACTTCGTCTTGTCAACCCTGACTTGTGATATGCCACCTGACCTTGTGATTTCATACAATATCGCATGCCAGTGGCACAAGAACCTTTTTGTACGTATCAGCAAATATCCAATGGATCTGCAACCTGGCCAACTGGAGCACAACATACTCTATCTTGTGCCAAAGTTCCATTTGCTGGCGCATATCCTCAAGTGTCGCAACAACTTTTCCTTCAACTTCTCAGCGAAAGTAGGATGAACAGATGGAGAAGCACCCGAGAGAACATGGGCTGCAACCAATGCCTTGGCAAATAGCACCAAGGAAATGGGTCCAGGATCACGTCAGGATACCCATGATGACCATTTTGGGGACTACAATTGGCGGAAAATTGTGATCATGGGTACGTTGTTCTCTGCTACCATATTCGACATTTCAGTTGATGAACATGAACAGCACAGACACTCTGTGAAAAATTTCGGGATGCGTTCAAAGCACGTGTGGAGCATGTAGCTGAATTTATAAGTTATGAAGATGCTCTGCAAAGCAAACATGCAGATGCCATCATCCAGTGGTGCTCTATGGTGTTAACTTGGGAGCAGGATTGCTCACAGCCTAATCCTTTTGCCCCAACTTTACATTGTAAGTCTTCTATCTTGCCGATACCACTTTTGCTCATGTAATGTGAAATTAAGCTGTCACTGAAAATGCAGTATGCCTTGAGTTGGTCAGAGAAGAAAAGCAGGAAACCAAGATTGAAATTCACCATGATGTTAGTCCTAGCGAATTCATCGCTCAGGGTCTGCAATTAGAAGAAGCACAGTATGTTGTCCAGCACGTCTTGAAGTCCCTTGTCTGACAATATCTTAAGGGTATGACTGGTCGATGATATGGCTGTACTTGGAGCACACTCGACCAATCTCCAACATACTAGAGTTCAACAACAAGCCAACTGCATTTCTCGCAAGATCGAAGCTTGGATTGATGTACAGAAGGTGTACATGCCAAGAACTACTTTACTATGTGCTAGGGATGACGATCGTCGTGCTCCAGGTGTTGAAGTCCATACCTCCAAGATACCTTTATACCTTCCTTCTCATGCACTGTGACTCAACGCTGTACAAACCAACATTCAAAACACCGTCATCAACGATGAGCGCCGGTTGCGTCTTGCCCAGGCACATGATACCTTAGCGACTTTACATGATCACCTACTGTTGAAATCGTATCTGGTGATATGGCGCCAAAGGTTTTCCCATGGACAGTGTTATGGGACCAAAGCAAATGTGCTGATGCATAGGGTGGAGACCAAAATACAAGCAGATGCTGCATGTTACAGGCAGGTTTACATGGCCTTGGAAGCGGTATCTACAGCGTTAGGTCAGAAGGAGTGGAAGGCAGGACTATCTCCCTTGAAGGCGGAAGATGTCCATGGTTTGGATTCATATAATGAGACGACCTCGGAGGGACAGCGTACGTTGTCATGGATATGGAAGACAAACCTCCAGGGAGGCGAGAAAGGACTACAAGAAGGTGAATCAATTTGAAGTCAAAGAAATAGTAATCACGTACTGACATGCCTTTGTTCAAGCGTTGCACATTGAATGGTGCAAGTCCTGCATGCATGCTCAGCGATGGCAAGAGGAGTGCGATCTTCTGACAGAGGAGATCTGTTGGGTTCAAGTCACTTTCCAATATTATAGTGGCATGTGGAAGGGCCGAGCCACTTGCACAGATTTACCAGGAGCAAAAGCATATGCACTGAGGCAGGCCACTCTCTGGTCAGACCTTAGTGCAAGTGCGGCAACTCGATGGAACGAAGTATTGGCCTCTTTGCCAGCACCTTCAGTTGACTTTGATCCGACAATGGATCTTGACTTGCATGGCCATCGATCATAGGTACCACGTTCTTCGGGCTTCCAATAATATCTTCCTTGTACTACTTGTACCGCTTCTTTACCATTTTGTATTAACATTCAAATGTAACTGAAAGGATTTATCTGTGCTCTTCACGCAGTGTAGTACATGAACTCAAAGTCTAGATATGTAGATCCTCTAGATTCCAGTGCTCCTCCACCTCCACAAAATAATGTTCGACTTCCTTGAACCATCGCATGATCATATCCTCGAGCTCATTGAGCTTTGCGAACACTCCTGCCAGGGTCCAATTTTCAGGCGGTGGGCCATTCTCAACCCAGCGATTCTTGAGGCCCATAATATACAAAGTAAAGATTTCCTGGGTAGTTAAACATAAGCAGCACAGTCGAGATGGACAGAACAAGACATACAATTTTCCTTTGTTCCTGATCTGCCCTCATCCGCTTGTACTCCTTGGCTGTTTGTGTAGCACCACGTTCAATGGGCCATTCGACAAACCATTCATGCCAGATGCGCCGGAAAAAGGAGCGGATCCGGTTCTGGCGAACAGCACGTTCGAATCGAGGACCTCAATTGGCAAGCCAGAGCCGCTGTTCAGGGGTATATTCCAGCCGGATTGCGTATTCATAGAGTCCAGGGATGCGTAGGACTCCAATGATTCTGCTGGATAAAGAGTGAGCAAGAGTAATCAAAACAGCATAGTTATATACTCTTACACTTTGAGGGTGTGTAGATCGTTGTAGGGATGATAGAAGAGCATGGTCCTGAACAAGGCAAAGTAATCAATAAGGTGAATAGTACAGAAGTGTCAGACAAACGGTGAGAATGGGGTAGAAAAATCGTCAAACAAAGATTCAAAGTCAAAAAGTGATCTCATGTCAAGCTGGTCACTGTCAGCAGATGTTGGATCATCATCGGTAGCATGGATGGCTGTGGTATCAGACAACTGTTCTGTGAGGGGCATGGCATTTAGATGGACGAGCAACAGCTCCAGCAGGGCAATATATATCCAAAAAGGACCTACCCAAATAATGTGGCACCAGGCTTTCGGTGTACACAATGCAGGCCATTCACCTGTGTACAATGTAGGCAGATTTGTGTACAAGTCAGGAGGATTCCTTGTGCACAGTGGGAAATAATAACAGTTGAAGGCATTTGTGCACAGTGCAGGAGAGCCATCTGTACAGAGCCAGAGACCTATCAGAGCTCACAGTGGAAGAAGGCACAGTTGTACACAAACCAGGAAGCCCCCCCATGGACAGCGAGAAGCCATAAGATTGCGGGTTATTTGTGCACAAGGCAGGTGAGCCATCTGTACACAAAATTGGAGAGCCATCAGCACTCGTAACTGATTGTCAAGAGGTAGATGAGATATACTCTAACCTCTAATACATCTCAAAGGAAATGTTTTCGTTGAATTGAAATGAACTTATTACGATTTTGCGCTCTATCTTATCTTATCAGCTCTCTCGTAATCTCGCTATGATAATTCTCCGGACTTGATCGCATTCTACCATGTGGGTTCAGTACGTTTACCGTACCGTTGCAGACACTTGTAGTATATTTAGCACGACCCAAACTGTATTTAAGTAGCTCGACTGCAGGTCTTAAACCTCAGTCTCGAACTAAAGTTTATTCACCCGATAACTTAGTCTGAACTCACTCTCACTCAACTAAGTGATAGCTCCCTGCACATAAACCTGCGAGCAACACAAGGCGCCTGACCGAAGTGTGAGTCACGCCTAGTTGTTTGATCTTGTTTGTGTAATCGGTCGCTAACAATTAGTTCGAGACTTTCTTACTCTTCAACAACAACCACATTGTCGAACAGTAACGAATGAACCCCATCGAACAGTACCTCACCGACCTCTTTGGACTACAAGGCTTTATTGCCGTAGCCTATCTCGCATTCCTATATGGATACGAATACCGACAAAACCAGGAGCCAGTCTCCGAAGAAACTATCCCTGTCGAAGCCCCCAACCCGGAGGCTAGACGACCGAACACACCCCCTCCCAACTACGTTGACAACAGGCCCGAACCCATTATCCATTTCATCTTCATTACCGACGACGAGTGGATCACAGAAGACTCCGACTCAGACAAGTCCAGTGAGTCCAGCGCCGAGATGGAAGGATGGCCCACACAAAGAGGCCCAGTCATTGAAGAAGAAGAAGAGCAGGGAATCTATGAACAAGGGGTGGACCAGCGTGTTCTCTCTCCCATTACCGAAGAAGAAAGCGAAGGGGAAAGCGAAGGAAGTGACCCCTGGAACGCCCCCTCCCCCACTTCAACCGAAAACTCAGCCGCCAACCCTGGGTATGATTCAGACGGGCAGCGCGTCTATCAGCGAGGGCTTAGATACCATCTGGGAGAAAGAAGAGAGGCTGAAGATGGAACTGGAAGCAGTTCAAATGAGGAAAGCAGCGATTCAGAGGAGGACTACGACAGCGATGAGCTCCCAGGGCCACGCAACAACTGGTCCCCTCCAAGACTGGACTCCAGGGGAGAAACATGGGGCTACCACTACACCCGCAATGACCCATCAGACGACGAAGACAACTACCTCAACCTCGTCACCCGCCCAAACACCCCAATCATCGTCAACGATCGGGCCGGGGAAGCAACTACCGAGCTCGACAACTGCGGACCCACGTACGACGCCGACGCCAGCTGCAATGTATGCAGACAGCTGCAGGACTACGCCGACGCATGGCTCATGTACGAAGGAATTGAAGCCCCCACCTCAGTCATCCCATACGCCATCTATCCCCTTGCACCCGAACACCCCCACGCAGCCCCTATCCCCTTCGTTGCACCCTGGGTATGGGATAGACCCCGAAGACCAGACTTCGATCAGGTCATACTCAGGGTCAACGAGTGGGCAAGAATCATTTGAAACTGGAACCGTATCGTCACAGGAAGTACGGAGCCTTTCGAACGAGTCTGACCAATCAGACTTAGAAGAAGGAGAAATCTATGAGAACCCTGGAATAGGGCAGACTTCGATTTACGACAACAGCATCGAGTCGGAGAGTATGGAGACGAGGATGTCATTCCAGAATTCGTGGAAGGATCTAGCTCGGGAACCTACTGAGGCCGAGCTAGAAAATATGACCTATTTGGAAATGCTACGATGGACAGAGAAGAAGTTACCGTGGGAGCTGTCATGGAACAGCTCACCGCAAGGAAGGTACTTCCAAAAGGAGAAGAATTCACAAACCGGGGCCCAGGTAATTTACCGAGAAACCGTGTTCCACACAAATATTCTATGGAACCAAGTACACCCAGACGACTACACGGACCCCGGAGACAGATACCAGGTACCAGCACCATCAGAAACGTCCAGCGGAAGCACGGTGGACTTAAGCCACCTATCCATTCTCCGAAGGACAGGGTACGTTGACCCTAGCCAGCTATTCGCAGCAGCAGGAACACCAGGAAGCACAGGCGCAGCAGTCCCCGTGGTACCACCTCCCGCACCGCAAGGACCTTTATCCCCGCATCATAACCCAGCACTACGATCATTACCGCGTCCGGCAGCAATCCCTATCCCCACCGACCCTGTCCAACCACCCAACACGCCACCACCATTCATAGTTGGGGTGGCAAACACGAACCCCTGGGGACAAGTAAAACCGCAGCTAGCGGATCCCCCCGAGAAGTTCAAAGGAGAGTCAAGCGACGTAGACCGATTCCTTAACCAGTGCGAAGACTACTTCAACGTATTCCCTCAACAGTTCACCATGAACGCGCATGGACAAAACCCTAACAGGGTGGTGTTCTGCACCTTTCGACTCACAGACAAAGCATTGCATTGGTGGAATCATGCTAGAGACGAATACTATGATGAAACGTGCGGATACCTGCGATATCCCGCATGGCACGTATTCCGGCAAACAATTGAAGATCAGTTCAGAACCAACGCCGAGGTGGAACTCAAACTACAGGAGTTCAAACGTATCCGACAGAACACTTACAAGTTGGCCAAGGAATTCTTCCGGGATTTCGAACGTTTAGCCAAAGAATCTGGCAAACGCCATAATGAGGAATACATGATCGAGATACTCAAACCGGCTATTCGAAAGAACGTCAAAACCGCCATACACGCTACCGGTACTGCCCTACCCCGAACATATGCGGAATGGAAGTTCAGGGTGGAGCAGATGGACTATAACTACCGAGTAGGCTTAGCTGAAGACGCGGGCCGAAACCAAGGAACGCAGGGTCAGCAGAACAAGGGAACGGGAAAAGCCGGGAACCCCAGGAATTCCCAGGGTGACAAGAAGACAGGAATGGGCACCACGTATGGGGGCCAAGGGCAGCCTATGGAGATAGATCGACTGCACAAGGAAGGGCAATGCTTCCGCTGCAGTCACAAAGGCCATAGGAAGCAAGACAACAAGTGCCCCAAGGATGAAAGCACCTGGCTCGTCAAGCACCAGCCCAAGTTCTCTCGAGCTCAAATCCGCGCAATGTATCAGCAAGTACTAAAGGATGAAGAAGGGGAAGCCTCCACATCAAAGATCGAGGAGGTAAAAGACGAGCCGGCGGCGTAAGCGACAAACGCGCGTCGGCTAAGGACATAATTTCATTTAGTGGTGCGTCACAGAACCCCGCAGGTCGGACTAATGTACCGCATGTAGTATCTCAAGGCAATGACAAAACTTTCACGCTATCACAAAATGAAATTACAAAGTCACATATAAAGAAGAACGGTGTACAGGGGATTCCCACCATGCTCGAAGAAGAACCCCACTCAAGATCCTTGGCCACCGGTGCGAAAGCACAAGCAGCTAGTCCTGCGAAAGGCGGCGGGACACTCGGGATCAACCTCACTCCGTCGGGGGCAGATGACGGCGCGGGGAACAGAGGAAGAGCGGCCGAGCCCAAGGCGAGCAGTGAAGAACCCCACTCGGGGGCGGAATGTACGCGCCAGCCACGAGTGACCGGCTGCCCCCATCGTGGAACGGAGCCGCAAGAGGGAACGCGAATCCCCAGCAAGAAAACCGCTGCCCCGC